AAATGTGAGGAAAAAAGAGGAATAAGATTTCTGGGAATTTCCTGGAATGCGTTTAGTGCCTCATGTGCTGAGCGCTGAAAGGAGGTTACGGTGGTTGCGGGTTGTCATCTCTAAGTAATATTCTCTTCACTGTATTTGGTGCGAATCTGACGTGTTATAGGAAACAATTTCATATACATGTATTACATCACTTGAAGAAGTAGAACCTCCCTAAATGTCAAAAAGTGCGATGACGATGTTGAAAAGTGCGATGACGATGTTGTCTTGTGAAGGATAATCGGAAAATGCACGGCACCAAGCAGTACCCAGTACCAGGTACCGTACCTCGTGATAAACAGTTCTGGCACGAAGAGAAGATGTGTAGGCTGAGGATTCAAGGGCGGTCCAAAATCTATTTCTATCATCACCATGACCACGCACCTTTCCCTCGCATCGGTGATATCGTACAAGTATCTATCGTAGTATTATCGTCCATAGGGGCAACTCATGAGATCATACCTACCGGTACAGTACATACGGCTGACAAACTAAAGTAAACTTTTTGGGCCATCTAAATTATCACATGTGTTTGTAAGGAACGAAACCTGTATCAACAGAAGTGGTTGCTTCAATTCTCCCAGTTTCATATTTCATTATTTTCCCTAGCAACATGTTCAACGGAAAAGGGTGACGCGATTCATGTTAGGGGTGGCCCGGAATCGATTTCTATCGTCACCATGGCCCCCTTTCCCTCAGATGAGTGATATTGCACCAGTATGTATCGTAGTAATGTCGTCAAAAGGGCCAAATCATAAAACCATGCCTACAGTAGGTTGACAAACCAAAGTAAACTTTCTTAGGCAATAATTTCGTAAAATATTGGTACTTCTTCTAAGTTATCATATGTTTCTAAAGAATGAAACCTGTATCAACAGCAGTGCTGCCCTGTTGGCTTCTATTCTCCCAATTTCGGGTGGAATAATTGCCCCAGCCAAATTGGTGGCCATTTTTCGGCATTTAGACTTTGAGAGCTTGCCATTGTCGCATGACTGCTTGTCGGGTTGCGGACGAGCGCTTCAGGGATTCTCGCAACTTCTCGATACGTGCTTTGCACACCTGATCCAATTCTGCGGCGCTCTTGCTGGTGCAGGCACTACTAGCATCAGACGGCGAGACGCTACGAGAGGAAGCATCCTCCGTTGATTGGAAGATCGGCGCTGGCTCCAGCAGCGGGTGAAGTGGATTTTCGAAGGCAACAATATTGTTATGAGCGATATCAGGAATAGGTTCGAAAGAAGGCTCGTCTCGAAAAGTGGCTGAAACCGACTTGAATGTTGGTGTCACAATCGATGGAGATGCCGAAAAATACCTGGAAGAGTGTGCACTGATTCCATGTGGCATATCGAAGACGCACATGAGAGTGCTGTCCACCATCGTAGTACTATCTTCTTCTTCTTCGAATGCGGCTGCTACAGTGCTCATCGAGGAATCACTTTCAAGATCTCCTGGTGGTGGATACTCATCAGTCATCCTGTGCTCAGGAATGGTGAAAGGCTCGAGGGTGAAACAAGAATTCATGATTTTTAAAGTGATCAAAAGCAAGAAAATAAAAATTGTAGGGCAGATGCCATGCAAATGTGAGGAAAAAAGAGGAATAAGACTTCTGGGAATTTCCTGGAATGCATTTAGTGCCTCATGTCCTGAGCGTCATCTCTAAGTAATATTCGCCTGAAGATTGTGGCCGTATAAAGTGCGAAATCTCAAAATCTGACGTGTTTGAGGAAATTCTTTTTCATATTACATCACTTGAAGAAGTAGAACCTCCCTAAATGTCAAAAAGTGCTATGACGATGTTGCCTTGCGAAGGATAATCGGAAAATGCAGGGCACCAAGAAGAGCAGATCCTACAGCACTCGTGATGGACAGTTCTGGCACGAAGAGAACATGTGTTCAGAAGAAGAGGGTGAGGATTCAAGGGTGGCCCGGAATCGATTTCTATCACCACCATGGCCCCCTTTCCCTCGGATCAGTGATATCGTACCAGTATCTATTGTAGTATTATCGTCAATACTAGGGGCAAATCATGAAATCATACCTACCGGTACAGTAGTTGACAAACTAAAGTAAACTGTTTAGGCCATAATTTCGTAAAATATTGGTACTTCTAAATTATTACATGTGTTTCTAAGGAACGAAGCCTATATCAACAGAAGTGGTGGTTGTCCCCAGCAAAATTGGCGATCATTGAACTCGGCTGTTAGAATCTGAGAGCTTGCCGTTGTCGCATGACCGCTTGTCTGGTTGCCGACGAGCGCTTCATGGATTCTCGTAGCTTCTCAATACCTTCTTTGCACAACTGGTCCAATTCTGCGGCGCTTTTGTTGGTGCAGGTACTACTAGCATCAGAAGGCGAGACGCTACGATAGGAAGCATCCTCCATTGATTGGAAGATCGGCGCTGGCTCCATCAGTTGGTGAAGAGGATCGAAGGCAGGAGCGATATGGTCAGGTCCGAAAGGCTCGCCTTGAAAAGTGGCTGAGACCGACTTGAATGATGGTGTCACAAACGATGGAGATGCCGAGGAATGGCTGGAAGTGTTTGCACTGATTCCATGTGGCATATCGAAGTCAGACATGAGAGTATCCATGTCTTCTTCCAAAGCAGCAGTGCTCATCGACGAATCGCCTGCGAGATCTGGTGGATACTCATCATTCATTTTGTGTTCAGGAATGCTGAAAGACTCGAGGGTGAAATAAGAATTCATGATGGTGCAAAGTGATAGAAATCTAGAAAATGTGAATTGTGTCGATAAGGTAGTAATAAAGCTGCCAGATTTGTACCAGATTCTGATCACGAAGGGTAGCAGGGTACGATATCGCGATGGGAATGATCGTTTCGCTGCGACAATTCTCGTCGATTACGGTTAGTTAAGTCTGATGAAACCTAAAAAGAACTCCCAGAGGGGCTCCCATGTTGAAAACACCACACGTTTTTCTGTCGCTAAATGCGCTTACTTCGCAAAACGATCCCGGCGAAGTCAGAATTGACGCACTTGAGGAATTGGAATTAGCGGTTGCTAAACTCCTTAAATAGATGTCATTCGGGGACAGTGAAGGATTCGGTGTTCGCAATCGAAGAAATCGGGTCAAACATGTTCGCTTGACGTGTGAAGAGTGTGAGCACTGGGACCGGTTGATTTTTTGGCCTCCTTCTCAGAGCCACTTGGTTGGATGGGCGGGCGTTTGTGCCTCCTTATTTGACCTATCCGAGTTAAGCAGTCGAACGAATGGTCGAAAACCTCCACCTCAGAAATGCACGTCACCCGCAATATTTGAAGAATGCCGATCCTCCCGTCTGTTTTCTTTCCTTTTCTGATCACTGTGTCATTCCCCATCACAACCACACCGACATCATCATCATCATCATAATGAAGTCCCGTACCCTTGCGCTGTCAATAGGATTCCTTGCGTCACAATGTGACGCATTGACAAGTAATAGAATATCAGCTGTAGATCGGCGGTCAGAGTTGGGTGCAGCAACATTACTGCCCCTAGCCGAGGTTACCTTTCAACCCGAGGAAGCCAAGGAAAACGACCCAAATGTTGGCGTTCTTTTGCTAAATCTAGGTGGACCAGAGAAAACCGATGATGTCGAAGGTATGTCACCAAATGGAAGTGATATACATGTCTTGTGATTGAGATTATGCATGCTAATATGATAAAATGATAATACTCCTCTGTGCTCTCTATACAGGTTTCCTGTTCAATTTGTTTGCAGATCCCGACATTATTCGGCTGCCAGGGCCATTGACCTTCTTTCAAAATTCCATCGCCCTGTTTATTTCCAAGCGAAGAGCACCAAAGAGTATCGCGGCATATGAGAGTATTGGAGGTGGTTCGCCGATTCTAAAATACAGTAATGAGCAAGCAGATTTGGTGAAGCAATCACTCAAGGAACGGTACAATCTGTCCGTGAAGACTTATATTGGTATGCGATACTGGCACCCATTCACCGAGGAAGCATTGGCTGAAATACAGAAAGACAAGATTAATGCGTTGGTAATCATCCCGCTGTACCCACAATTTTCCATCTCCACATCAGGGAGTTCCCTGCGAGTTTTGCAAGAGGAGTTTTCGGCACACGCTGCAAAGTATGGTGACATGATCCATACTGTGGTTCCAAGCTGGTACGATCGGCCAGGCTATGTTAAGGCAGTCAGTGATCTGATCCAAACGGAATTAGATGGCTTCACCGAAGAGCAGATTGCGGATGCCAAAAAGAGAACTCCCGACTTGCCAGGAAAGCATATCCTCTTCTCGGCTCACGGAGTTCCAAAGTCATACATTGATGCGGGAGATCCTTACAAACGTCAAATTGAGGAGTGCGTCAAAAAGATTGGGGACCAGCTGTACAAGACCAACTCGGAGGAGGATCTTCAGATTCATTTGAGTTACCAATCCCGAGTAGGACCCATCGAATGGCTCCGGCCATACACGGATGATGTTCTTCCAGAACTTGGTCAAAAGGGAGTTTCCAACTTGGTGGTTGTTCCAATTAGTTTTGTCAGTGAGCACATCGAGACATTGGAAGAAATTGATTTGGAGTACCGAGAGCTTGCGGAAGAATCTGGTGTCATCAACTGGCGACGCTGCCCCGCACTGAACACGGACGAAGCCTTTATTGCCGACATGGCAGATATGATCTATGATGCTCTGAATGAACCTTTGCAAACCGTGACCGAAGCATGTGTCGCTAACAATGTCGAGGGAGTGGACCTTGTTCCTCTCGATACCATTGATGTATCTACCACTGGTGTTGCCGGAGTCGGCAAGGGGATTGACGAAGCTTGGTTCAATAAGGAACGAGCCAATGCTAGAGTCGCAATGGCAGGTGTGGCTTTGACAATTGTTCTAGAGCTCGTCAGCGGCCAACCACTGACACACTACTTGGGTCTGTGAAAGCAGAGCATTGCTAATAGCTGTACATAAAAATAAATTCAAGATGAGAAATATAATAGTTAAACCACTTTTCTCTATGGCTGCATTGTTACTAGCTCTATTTTATATAATGTGCGATTGGTTGAAAGCAGTTTTGTTCAAAGGTGTGCTCTTTCAAAGCGACTACACTTGCGTTGTAATTTCAAGGATTCATTCTTGTGTTTTCTGTTGATGATGGATAGTCTTCTCATCGAATTGCAGTGTGTGGCATAGCAAATCCATTATCAAGTTGCTTGGTTTATTCCTCAAGTTGCAGGAGAAGGTGGTATTGACACAAGGATTCATTCTTCGCCTTGTTGTCCGTTGACTGGCTCAGCGTTATCGGCTTGCTTCTTGAGAGATTCAGCTTCCGTTTGAAGTTGGGTTGCTTTCCTTCTGGTCTGATTTTGCTCTCCTACCAATTGGATTTCACGCCGTCGGAGCGCAGTCAAGTCATCCTCCGTCAGATACTCGACTTCCATTCCACCTCTGGCTTGGTCTACCTTCTTCTTCAATGAAGCTCGGACCTTTTCCTGTTTCTGCGACAAGGTGGAAGTCATTCGGTCCATTTCAAAAGCATTTTTTCGGACACTTTGTTCAATGCCTCGAAGAGCATTCGTGGATGTTAACAGCTGTGATTTTGCTTCAGAAACTTGCCTTTGGGCTCTCTCCAAAGCACGGCGTGCTTCCATTTCTTCCATTTTGTGTTTGGAAAGGTTCATCTTGGCTTCATCCTGCTTGTTCAATAGAGTATTCCATTCTTTATCCGTCGCCTCGTACTCTTTTAGCTTTTCTGAAAATTTCGCTTCTGCCACCTGCAATAATCGAATCTCTTGTTCAATGGTATTGCGCATCATGGCTCGTCCTAGAAGTGTTGGATTTTCACTTTCAATGGACAGCCTATTCAAAACATCAGTCGCTTCGTCGCTCGACAGAAAGAAATCTTTGGATTGCAAGGTAGCAAGTAGTCGTCGTTCTGTGAGTGCATCAAGCTCGTCCTCGATTTCGGTTCCTCGCTTTAGTTGGTCTTGAGCCCTAGAGACGCGACAAAAAGAGAAATGTTAGCATGTGTCCTCGCTTGATCAGAAAAACCAAACCATGAGGATAATGGACAACTTACTGACTCTGTAGATCTTTCGACTTTTCTTTCAGATCTACACCATCCATAAATCTACCCACTTCCTGACCTGCCTGAACCGCCTTCTTCCAGGTATCTGAAAGTTCCACGTTTTCATGAGAACTCACTTCTTTGGCCACCGCTTGTCCAACGGCCCAAGTGGTCGCCGTGGTTCGTCTTAGAAAAGGGGCAGCAAAGTTATCTACCATATTGGCCATGGCGGGTACCGCTCGTTCCAGATTTTCATTGGCAAAACGTTGGGCGGATTCGGAAAAGGCTTGGGCCCGGAGTTCACGATCATATCTACGTCGTAATTTATCGTCTCCTAAGATATTCCAGGCCTGTGCAATCTCATTAAAGTCGAGCTTGTCTGTTATTGTATTATTGGATCCTGCATTTGCAATTTGAGCATCTGGATGAGAGAGCTTTGCCTTTTTCACATAGCATTTCTTCAATTCCTCTCGGGTGGCAGTGGCTGGAGCTCCTAGAATTTCATACAGCGTCTTTGATTTTGCCTCTTCTTTCAAGGCTGAATAGGAGCCTTGATTATCCCCATTGTTAATGGGGGAAGCATATCGCAGTGGCAAGTGTGCATTCCTGGTTCTCAGTGTCAGTTCCTTTCCCACAAAACCAAAACATGCTGAAACAAGCAATGAAGATACGGCTAGAAGGAGCTGATAGCGGGCGACCCTGCTTGACATCTTTAGTCGATGTGTGAGTGGAGGATTTACGATATGTCAAACGGAGTGGTACCGCTTTCTTTGCTTTGACGCAACAAGTTTTCCGATGATGATTGATGATGATGAGGGAGGTTTGTGGAGTTTTGACCTCTCTGGTTGAATTGAAGACTTTTTCGAATGCAAAGATCGGCACCTGATTGGTCAATCGGTTTTTCAAAAATCTGTGGAGTCCTGCGCATTCACTGCGCAACAGTGTCTTTCACGTCTGTCGCTCCCTCCAACCTCCAATCCATCCATCAAATAAAAACACTGGATGATGCCAACAATAAGCCCAAAGGCCAAAAATTTGAAACCTACACTTGCAATAAAAAAAAAGAGCTGGGGGAACCAATAGATTGTAACTGGAAATGATACGGTGACCTTGAAGATATTGCCTAAATCAATCGACAATATAAACTGGAGAGGGAAGATAGACACAATCTCTACTGGCTGAATACTTCACAAAACATCCACAACGACATCAACATGTTTGTGGTGGTGACCTTGGTGGATACCATTCGGATACCCGCCAACAACTTGAAACTACCAACGATGGTAGCCCTTCACAATGAAATCGACCTTAAATATCCCAATCGAGTCTTGATGGATACCGGATTGGTGATTTCCCGGTACAAGGATATTCTCAAAATCAGCAACGGTCTCTGCGTCCCTGGCGACGGTGGCTGCCATCACGAATGTTTATTTCAATTAATTGTCTTTCGGCCATTTGTGGAAGAAGTGTGTACTGGGACTATTGTGAAGAGTACACCGGAAGGAATCCAAGTTAGTTTGGGATTCTTTCAAGATATTTTCATTCCAGCCTATTGGATGTTGCGACCAAGCGAATATGACGAAAAGGCTGGACTATGGGTATGGACACCCGACTATGGGGAAGATGCCGAAGATGCCGACGGCGATGGTGATAATGAAGAAGAAAAGGGGGATGAAAAGATGAGCAATGATAAAGTCAAGGAGGAGGCGTCCATCGATACCACCAAACCCGCTGTGAAGCAAGAGGATGACACTGCTGATACGGCCAACACCGCAAAGATAAAGTCTGAAGATGACATGATGGAGACAGAGTCGAATCAAGGCAACGACGACGATGAGAAGGAAGAAGAAAGTGAAGAAGAGGGTGGTCGTTGGGAGATGGACATTGGAGCAGAAATTCGATTCAAGGTCAAGTCCATTCAATTCACACAAGTGACCAATACTGCCAAAGGAATGCAAGCAACTACTACAACGACGGATCATTCCATCAATATTCCAGTATCCGAACAAGAGGATCCATCCCAAGTTAGTAGACCACAGGCACTGCGGAAACGAAGTACTTCTATGGATTTGAGTGAATGTCAAGACATACCTGCGGCCATGCAAATTGTCGCTTCCATTTGTGAAGATGGTCTTGGACTTATTAGCTGGTGGACTTCGGGTGGAGACGGCGAAGAAGACGACGAAGGTGACGAAGAGGAGGAGGAGGAGCAAGAAGAGGAAGAAGCTAATGATGAGGGCGAATAATGGAAGTCTACTTTTGTTGCCTACTGTTTTCACTTTTTTTGCTGCCTACCGGTACAGTAGGTTTCGATTCTTCCTCCATGAAGCAATACTGATTCATTCGACTCAAAATGGATTTTTTCACGTTGGTTTCAAAATAATCATCTCATCGTCGCAGTATTTTTATTGCCTTGTTGTCATTGCCCATTGGGTATTATTTGGACATACTGTATATATAAATACTGCAGCTAGAAAAAGAAGAATGGATCTCTTGGGTGATCTTGGAGCAGAAGCTCAATTGACATCGAGTACGTATGACATTTGTGTTGCAATGAAAAGCCATGCTTCCATCCATCCATCCATCGGACCACGACTCACTCACTCCATATACGCACACATCCATCAACAGCGCGAGCGGAAAATGCAATCTTGAAAGAAAAAGTAAAAATATTGGAAATGAAATGTCGAGCACTATCGGTGGAAAATGAGTCGCTGAAAGTAGAGGTGGAAATTTATCGAAAAGAAGCCTCGTTATCTGCTGCTGCAGGTGACGGCAGCGAATCCAAACCAGCGACACTGGTCGTGGAGGAAATGGATCACTTTGTAAAAGCCGGAAATGGAGTTTATGCACAGAAAAAAGAGATTACGCTCGACAATCTTCATGCTGGAATGAATATATCTTGTTGCGCCTTGTCGAATGATGACACGATTCTTGCCACGGGTGGTGCCGACAAGACCTTGGCGCTCTGTCAATGGGGTGGGGCGTTTTCCGACAAGAATGTGGTCCAAGAAGCGATTCATCTGACATGTGATGCACCTGTTATTTCGGTCAACTTTGCTGGCAAAAAGAGACAGCCATTTGTAGCAGCTGGATGCATGGACGGATCTGTCAAACTGTGGAAATATGACACATATGAAGGTTTGACGGCCAAGGAAGTTGGCGAGGGGATGATTCAGCACAAGCGATACGTCCGAAATGTAGCGTGGGCATCCGATGAGAACTTGGTAGCTTCGGCCTCTGCCGATGGAGTCGTTCAAGTGCACCGAGTCATTTGGGATGGTCTATCAGAGAATGTGATAGTCGAAAAAGTGGAGACACTGAATCTGCAGGGTGCTGTGGAGGCTCTCTGCTTCCATCGAGAAAAGCTAATCTGTTATCCCAGAGAGTCTCCGTACTTGCTATACTTTGATGTCAAGGAGAATTTTAAGCAGTCTAAGATCAATCTGAACAAGGGACAGGCTGGTTACACTGCCGGGTTTGACGAACATGTCAGCTTTGCCGTGATGGATATTGCTGCACAAGGAGACTACCTAGCACTAGCAACCGATACATCAAGAAATATTATTATGGAACTCGAGACTGGCATTCAAGTTCGAAATTTGTATGGACACAAGAATGATGGTTTCTCGCAACCAAAAATTGCTTGGAGTAAGAATGGACAGTATATTTACGGCAACACACAAGAAGAGGCCATGATCTGTGTTTGGGAGATATCCGGATCTACAATCGTGCAAAAGCTAGAGAATGGTCACACTCAGGCGATTCGAGACATGTGCTCAAGTCACTTGACAGATACTCTTGTCACAACCTCTTTTGATAAGCAAACAAATCTATGGTTTGCAGAGTCGGAATAGAACTACTATAGACAATTTAGCGACGGTATTTGACAAGTCCAATAGAATTCATTGTACTCAAGATATCTGCTATACTATGGTGTCAAGGAAGCGTCCACAAAGCGATGCATAGAAAATTGAATGGTGGACTCTGGGAGCGTCTCCGCGGCACGGTAGAGCGCAGCGGTCGCTCCAGTTGCAGAATCGTCAATCCCCTTTCTCGTTGTTTCGTTTCGTACTCTATCGACAGCAAGCTTCAAACACTCCAAGAATTCGTTGGCATTCAAATTGGCAGTGATGCAGACATTCAAACCGGGAGGATTTTGTAATGGATTGACACTCCATCCCAATTCGGACAAGACATCCTTGATTTTATAGACATTCAAGTCCTCGTCGCTGGACGACGCAAAGGCCACAATCACTGTGACGGGTTGTCGGTTCGTCGTCAAGAGTTGGAGCCCTGGAATGGACTGTATTCCAGCCGCTAGTTGCAATGCGATACCACGTATCGTCTTTGCCCGCTGTTGATATCCATCTTCTCCAATCGTCATCATTGCAGCCCAGGCGCACACAATCAAGCCGCCTGATCGACTTCCCGCCAAGCTGGGCGTGATGTAGAGCCCTCCAGACTAGGAGGAGTAGCTAAAGTAAGAGGCATGCTGCAATTCTCGCGACCGATAGAGCACCACACTAGTCCCCTTGGTAGCACATCCATATTTGTGGGTATCCACACTGATGCTCGTGACTCCTGGCAATCGGAAATCAAACAGAGGCAGTGTAAGTTTATCCTTGTCATCTAAAAAGGGCAGGACAAAGCCACCGAGGCAGGCATCTACGTGCAAACCAATGTCATACTCCATTGCCAGTTGCGACAATTGGGGGATCGGATCCACCACACCATGCGGCCAACTGGGGGCCGATGCAAACAACATGATGGTATTGGAAGTAATGTGTGACCGGAATTGGTTGACAAGGAGAGTGGTAGTCTCATCATTCAAGTTTTTATTGGTGTTGTCAAGGAGAAGCTGCGGTTTTATACCACTCTCAAGGAAATCCCAAGAAGATCGCATGCTTTGAAAATGGCACAGTGCGCCGTTGAGGAGCATACAATCTCTGGTTGGCAGCGATGTTGTTGTGGGCTTGATAGTTGCAAGTGGGCCTTGGTAGCACAAATAATGCTTTCCGTGCCACCCGAGGTGACACAACCAAAACAATCACCATGTCATGAATGGAACATGTTGGCCACCATGGAGACAATCTCCGCTTCACATTGATTGACTCTTGGGAAGGCACCGGGCTTGAGGGGACTGGACCATTGAAAAAGGCCATAGACTTGACTCATGAGACCATTCAGATCTGGTGGTGGGTGCAATGAATTATCATGATTGGCAGCAGGTTGCATCATGGCTGTTTGTCCCATTTCTGCCGAATAGGAATACAAGGTTCCCGAAACCTTGCCTGAGACGCACGAGTGATGTTCTTGTTGTGCAGAAATGGCAAAAGCTCCTCCAAGATTAGTTTTGAGGAGAGTCCTTTGAGAGGAAGGCGTCTTCGTACAGCTCTCGACGGATCTTTTCCCAACATGGCATCAGCGTTTTGAAGCATCTTGTCGACAACTACCTTTTTTTATCTTATTGTGCATGCATTCTGGAGCAATTTGCAAGATTCGTTGCATGCACTCTTTTTTCAGTAGTACTGTTTGCTGCTTTTGATGATTCGTGTCGAAGAGGAGGGGTAGCTTCCCCAATCCTCGAATGGTGCAAGACATTAGCCCATTGCAAAAGGTGTAAAGATACCATAGAAAATGCAGGATTCCCAAGGCGACTATTGCATCTTGCAACAAAAGATTTGCCATTTGCCATCTCCTTATCAATATCTCGCCGTCTTGTACCAATGCCAATGGTACCATTGCCCAAGAGCACTTGTCAATAATCTCCAAGAGCGAAGTACTACTAGCAAGTGTTCTCGTAGATGGTTCAGCGCAAGGAGTCGCATCGGTTGTTGACGAATTATCGACATTGAGAGAAAATGGCAGTACTCTTCACTGTCAGTGGTTGTGGGTAATACCACTTGTAGACGCCATGGAAGATAGACGCCTCCAACAATAAGCATCAGTAACACGATATGCCAGGACCGAGTTTGGATCTTCCGTATAGTACAAATGATGACACGTCGCACACAATGTCGAACTGGTTGCAACCACATTCCTTATTGATCCTACACACCAATGCATGCATCAGGCATGTTTTCCAGCTGATGATTCTTCTAGAACCATATTACCCGCGCACTCAAGAAGGAAACGTGCAGCCACATAAGCCACGGAATAGAATGAATCAATCACAGCAGTCACCGCATGCTGGGTGTACGAGTAATATAATAATATCAACATCTGCCAATCTGCATCCACCTTACTCTGTTTCTCCACCCCAACGTAGGGACGGTGGCCAATCAACACTTGCCAATGCGCATCCCCTGCCAGAGGGCATTGGTACAACAAACTATCAATCAGTCATCGCTTTGCACTTTTGTGAACCTGTCTACCGGTAAAGAACCATTACAATGAAAGAGCTGACAGTTGATCTTTTCTCTTTTGTCTTGCTGTAAAATCTCAATTCATTGAGGTTACAGTACAAAAGCAGAAAGGAAACGAACAATGACGAAAGATGATGTCAAACAGAGGATGCCAACCACCACAAGGATTGTTCCTCCCTTTGCCACTTGGAATGTTTTGTGGGTGATTTGAGGCATGACTTCATCGAAACCCCATTGCTTCTTGCAGCAAGTCTTACGTCGCTGTCGACGCAAGACGGCTCGTTTGTGCCTACCTATCATCACCTGGAAGTGGTATTCCTTGTTTTGCGGCATCCAAATTCCAATCCTCCAACTACGCCGCATCTTTGTGGTGGGACAGGTGGACTTGGCCCGTCAGATTCTACAAGATCCTTCTTCCGACAAGCCCCGTGAAATCTTTCAGTCCTTTGAAGGGATTATACCCAAACTCCCACCATGTTTACCTCGCAAACTCCCACCCTACACCAAGAGCGTACGCAAGGCGGCCCACAAGGCATTTGCCATGAAAGGTAAAGAGGAGGATGACAAGAGTCGTCGGATTCTTAAAAAATACATTCGACTGTGGCTACATGGTCGTCTGGCATCTAGTGCGCCTGTGGTTGTTATTGACCCAGTCCAGGAGGTATTGGCTGTGACCTTTTATGTCATTCTGGAAATTGCCTTTGGCTACGACTACACGGATGCCACAAAGAATAGTATGATTAATATTGACAATAACGATGCTTCGAAGCTATCGAAGATAGCCAACTGGCGCCTTCTTTTCAGGTTCTACTGCTTGGTGTTTCTTGGAGTGACTCTGGTGGGTTGTGGTGTGAAGCTGGTCCTTTTGAGTTGCGCGCGAAGCGTGCGACTCAAAGGACCAGTCTCAGATTTCCCGTAAGACGTGAAATCTGAGACTTGCTTGTCTGCCAGGCCTTGACACGAAACAATCGTGTCAAGGCCCAACAGGGTGTGGTGGGATGGGAAAGAAAGAAATAACTCTATCTTTCTGTCAGTATACTTGCACACAAGTTCGATATGTGTAGATCGGACTTAGGTTGCTGGTGCAATACTGAGATGACGATCGCCCTACCGTCGTTCATGGAGTCACTATTGAGTCCATTGGTTTGACCGCTTTCTTCCGTCTATGTTAGAGACTTTTTGAACTTTACGCATGATTTGGATACCGCCTTGAGAGAATATGCCTACAAGCAGAGTACCAATCCCTTTAGGAAATTGCTAGGACCCCTTCTTCCGGACTTTTGGAGAGCTCGCACATCATTGCACAAACTGCGACAATTTGCCCAGCAAATTTTCAATCATCATGCAACTAACAATCACAGCAACAAGAGCAACAAGGCTGCGGACGACACCTTTCTGTCGCTACTCCTAAGACACATTGACACTAGCATTGATGATGAAGGTGTACAACAGCAACATGTCATGAGCAAAATCATCATGTTCATGGCCGCCGGTCATGAGACGACTGGGGCCATGATCTCCAATATTATGGTTTTGCTCGCTACTCACTCTCGGGTACAGACCAAGTTGCGGACTTTGTTGCAACAACAACAACAACAACAACAACAACAACAGAATGAGTCGTCATCGTGGCTAGACGCAGTCCTCTACTTTTCCCACATTTGCAAGGAAGCCAATTGAGCCGTTCCCGTTGCATTCATGGGGTCCACACGATTGACAGGACGCACACACATGGTGCCCAGTAGTGACGACGCCAACTCCTCTATGGATCCACGAAAGATGACGATGATGATTCCCAAGGATTCCATTTGCTTTTTACCACAGTACTTGTACTTTCAGGATGAAGATGTCTTTCCTGATCCCTCTGTCTTCTGGCCGGAACAATGGAATGGCAGTGATAGTAGTAGAAGGAAAGAAATGGAACAGGCCAATAGCATGACATTTAGCTACGGTCCTCAGAGCTGCCCTGGGAAACCCTTGGCCATGGAAGAAATCCATCAGCTCCTGCCGCAATTTTTGTTGCACTATTCGCTCCACCCCGAAATTGAAAATGTGGGCGACGAAACCGAGCAATTTGACTATTGCGTCATTCTGAAGCGTTCCAATGTGCGGTTAGTCGTCAAGAAACTAGAAACTGCAACAGGAACTGAGGACATTTCAGAGAGTTTATCCGAACAAGAAATGGCGATTGCTCGTCGCCTGTATCAATTTTCTCCTCCAGCAACAACCAGCCAAGGAAATGCAAACGGTTCATCATGCACTGGAATGAGCATTATTGTACTCCTTCTCTCCATTCTTCTTGGAGTAATGCTATTAGCACCTGTCTTTAAACATCTTGATGATGGGGGGTCATTGCCAAACTCTCTAAAAACTGCCATCTTGACAGAACCAAGCCCCATTGGCTCCTGCATTTGCGGTCAGTCCAAACGCATCAAGTTCTTGACGGAGTACCTAGTGAATCATACCCAAGACTCGGTCACACTCATCACAGCCGACGTTTACGACAAAATCCGGCCAGCGGTTTGGCGTGACAAGGTCCAGGTGAAGTACACCTTTGGGATGCCACTCCCGAGCTACAAACAAATAAGTATTTTGTTGGACTGGACCAGCAAGGCACTGAGAGAACTTCTTCGTATGCAACCGGACTTGATCCACGTCACAACACCGGGACCTTTGCTCTTTCCCTCCATTCTTGCATCGCGATTGCTACGAAATACTACCTTGGTGATGAGCTGCCACACCCATCTGACAGCATATGCCAAAACATATTTACCACCTGGAATCAATGTCGTTGTGGATTGGATTTTGTGGCGTGACACTGCAATAGTGCATTTGTTTGCCGATGTCATGCTCGTGACGAGTCCTCAAATCCGTGATGACTTTGAAAGGCACGGAATCGCTCGCGTCCAAGTTTGGCAAAAGGGTGTTGATTCCGAAAAGTTCCACCCCAAGTTCTTCAGCAGCGAGATGCGACAGCGCATGACGAAAGACCGCTCCGATAAGTTGCTGTTGGTGTATATAGGGCGCTTGGCCGAAGAGAAGCGAATCGTGGTTTTGAAAGGAGTCCTCAAGAAACTCCCTAGTGCCACACTTTGTGTGATTGGGGCAGGGCCGTATGGAGACTCTCTGCGAGAGCAATTTGCTGGGACAGACACAATCTTTTTGGGAGAATCGCGAGGATTGGAATTGAGTCAAGCCTTTGCCTCGGGCGACGTCTTTTTAATGCCCAGTACTTCGGAAACTTTGGGTTTTGTCGTATTGGAAAGCATGGCTAGTGGAGTACCAGTGGTTGCTGCCGATGCTGGCGGACTGCAACATTTGATTGACAATGGTCGGACTGGGTTTCTTGTGACGCCCGAAATTGCTACTGCGTTTGTGGAACGTGTACAAGAGCTGGTCAATTCATTTTCTACGAAGGAGGGCATAATCGAAGGTGCTCGCATGGAAACGAAGCGATGGTCCTGGACACAGTCCATGACACAGTTGAAAGACGAAATTTATCCAAGAGCCATGAAGAGACGGCTGGAGCGATTTTGAGTGTAAAGTTGGCAGCCAACACGGCATGTTAGAGTTCATCTCTTGATATGCAATCAAATCTATGGTTTGAGGATCGGAAAAATGTAATGTAGCTTCAAACCTGATTGAAATGATTGTATTAAAATTAAATCTAAACGACAAATATCATTGTTTCTAGAGCAATAGTCCTTTTGTGAACGATACAAGGGTTTACTCATAAAACTCAAATACAGCATGAAGTATTGCTGTCCATAAGGATTTGCTCTTTACTCAGCAAGATCCGAAACGAGTTATAGGGCCAACTCTGCCACTGCCAGTGGAGGGACTGTAGTTGCATCGGGTATGGTACGCTGAACAATTGGAATGAATTTGATGCCGTTGACTCGTTTTGCTTGGAATGCTTGCTTTTGCTTGATATCGGAATACTTTGGTAATTCGTAGCTTTCGAGATCGATTTCGCAACGGACACTGTAAGGTGCCATGATGGAAGATACATGGGACAACACATTCGTCGCAACTAGAGTGCAAGTGTCCGCCATGGCCGATGCCGATTGAGTCATTTTGAAAACCTTCGCCTCGTGTTGGGATTCACCAATATCCATATAACCCTTGACAATTTGTTTGCTTCTGTAGACACCCATCTCCTTTCGCATGACATCATCAATAAGGCGTGACTCGGCAATGGCCGGGACCAAATCACCTTCAATAATGTCATAGATTCTTTCCCACTCGTCAATGGGAATTCCATGACCAACAAAGAAAAGTGGCGGCTCAGAGCGACTTGCATCAAGAACACATCGAAGGAGAATTCGAACTCTATCGTCACTGCTTCCAACCCGAGTATTTCCGGTAGGAGCTTTTTTACCAACTGATATGAGTTTCACGCCGGCAGTCCAGGTGTTCTTGACATCAAAGACTATCGTATCCGGTATGGAGTAAAGCATGGATGCAACCCAATCCCTACCATTTCCGGCAACTGGGGTTCCATTAATCAGGAAGATTTCATGACCAACTTTCAGCGCTGTCGATGAAAAGATACTGTCCTCCATGATGCCAGTGATTACCACACTTGTTTCTCCGGGAACATATCTGATGCCAAGTTTGGAGTCCGGAGAAGGCTTTGTAGCTCGAATCTGAATATAATTCTTAGTATCCTCGTTCACTTTAACATCGAGCTCCACTTCACCTTCAATGGAAGCGAGCTTGAGGCGGATCCATTCCATGGGCTTTCCATACACGGAGGAGTCATTGATTCTGATGACTTCATGACCGACCTTCAGATTCGTCGATTCAAAGATGCTGTTTTCAAAGATTCCTGTGATGGTCATCCCAACACCATCACTAAGATACTTGATTCCCATTTTGGAATCCTGAGTGGGTTTATTGGCTCGAATCTTGATGATGCCCATTATTGTTCCCGTTTGTTTGTTTGCTGTGGAAAAGTGTTGCAGTACTGGTAGTCTTGTTTGATTGATGATGTATCTTCTTCGAGAATGTCCAGCATCGTTGGATTCTTTTTTGGCGCGGGGCGCGCGAAGATGGATCCGAGAACCAGATTACCGTCCAATCACGATTTGGTTCCGCGATCACTCCGATAGAGCGCGGATCAGGAATATATCTAAAAATTGTGTCAAATAAAATTACCGACGAGCAAATATTTGATCCCAAACCTCATTTATGAAACATACCGGTACCTATGCCAACTGTGATTGGAATTCCGTGTGATGCAGCCGAAAGAATAGGAAAAGTCGGTTCACAATTTCAATGCAATACATTAACGTTCTATTCCAGCAGACCGGCGAACCTGTTCGACTCCAGAAGGAGTGGTCGTACATAATCCAGTCCCCAACCTTTCTACTCCTTTTCGAAGCAAAAGGCACATGCTATCTCGACGGCAGTTGTGGCCTATCCAGCAGCGTAGACGGTGGATCGGCGAAGATCTAGATGCTGTCCTTTTGATCGCTCTACGATTGTTACGGCTGGGCAACATACTAAAGACATGTGAACAAGCAACGACAGCCCAGCCACCAAATAAGAGTACGAGCAGGTTATACAAAGGCTGCTCTTGGCAGATTCAAAATCCATGCTATGTCTGTTATCATTGTTATGAGCAAGAGAGGAGGTTGTTATCGCCATACCTGCTGGCTTCCGGAGGTGCGAGCAGCAGGGTTAAACTCGAACTGCAAATCCTTCAGTAGTCGTATACGCTCTGCGTTGATGGAGGACAGTATCTTTCCCTTCAGCAACTTGTATTGACGTCTTTGACATTTCACCCACATAGCAAGTGATGGATTCGCCTTGTAGTTCTTTGGGACTCTGCTGTGTCCCTTATCTTTCCAAAATTGACGGAGCTCCTCGTATCGCTCATCCCAACAGGCAGTATGGGCATCCCATACAAAGCCTAAGTCTTCTAGAGCCCTCTGGCGCTTGTTGCATAGCGTCGAATGCAGACCGATCGCTTTTCGCTGATACTGATTGCGCTGTCGCTTCACCCAATTGGCGAGTAGAACGTTTTGGTAATTGTGCACCGGGACGAGACAATGACCATGCTCCTTCTGAAACTGCACAAGCTCTCCATATCGCTTGTTCCACTTTGCAGTCTGCTGTCGGCCATACTGCGCTTGTGGAGTCGCTGCACCACATCCACCAACTCTCACCTTTGGGGAAGATGAGGACTGCTGCCCTTCAGGTAATGCTCTTATTCCAGAAGAGCCAATGAGTTGGTGGTTGGACAGCATAAACGGACTAAAAAGCTGATGTAGGGCATTAATCTGAGAGGGATCAGATGCCAGAGGAGTATTGTGGATCGAAAGAGTAGATACTTTCTCAACTCCACTCGGTCCAATAGGTGTTGGATCAGGTATTACAGTCGTGTTCTTTGTTCCTGCGAAACTAGATTGTTGACATGGATCGCAGTCGATTGAAAAGACGACAGATTCTAGGAACAATGGATGCACTAGAGACGGGGTTGAGTTATGGCATGCCGATATGCACCAAGGAATACACGTTGCGCTTCCTAAGTGAGCTTACCATTGAGGAAAGACGGAGTATGCATTGTATTATCGAAGTCTTTGTAAATGTCTATCTTTGGGAGGGTTCTGCAAACAATAAAACCGAATTGGTGTTTTGAATGACTCGCAAATGTGGGCCAAACAAATGCTGTGCGGGAGCTCCCATGACTCTTGGTGTCGTCAAACCAAGGATGGTCAAACATACAGAGCTATATTGATAACGCTTTTACGGTAAATAAATATCTCGATGGTATTCACACATGCTCACTCACAGCGAACCGTGGAATAACCTGTCACAGTTTTTTATCTGGCGTTTTCGCGTCTGAAGTTTATCTTAAAACTAACGTAGACGGAAGAAAGCGGTCGAACCAATGGATTCAATATTGACTCTATGAACGACGGTCAGGCGACCGTCTCCGCAGTATTGCACCACAGCAACCAAGTCCAATCTCCTCATATCGACCTTGTGTGCGAGTATACTGACAGAAAGATAGAGTTATTTCTTTCTTTCTTTCCCATCCCACCACACCCTGTTGGGCCTTGACACGATCTTCGTGTCAAGGCCTGGCAGACAAGCAAGTCTCAGATTACACGTTTTACGCGCAATCTGAGACTGGTCCTTTGAGTCGCACGCTTCGCGGGCAACTCGAAAGGACCAGCTTCACACCACAACCCACCTGAGTCACTCCCAAGCTGAAGAACCAGAACGGAAGGCGCCAGTTTGCGATACTTATTGATCGTGACCGCGTGCATGCACTGGGGACTTTTAAAAAACTAAAGTTGACACAGTCCAAAGTAAGAAATCCCGCAACTTGAACTGAACGATTGAACCGCTGTTTCATGCATTCACACAATTGTGTACCTTCAACATCGAAGAAACATGGACGCAACACAAGAAACAACCGCCAAAGTCTCTCCTCATCTTGCAGGAATCTCGCAAGGATTTATTAGTGCGTTAATCGGTCAATCGGATTGTGAAGAAGCATGCTATGTGCTGGTGCGAGCGAATGAACCGAGTCTCTAGCTTTGTAGATGAAGTATAACTGGAGGAATCCAAGATTGATACGATTCCACCAACAACGCGTGTTTTCAATGTTGAAACTCTTGCAATTACTCTCATTTGAATGTCGTCATCAATTCGGCTTACAATCCAGAAAGCAATCTTTCCAGTTGCCATGGTGGTGGTACCCACAAACGGTGGAATCATGAAGCCACCAAAGTTGTCAATACATGTATCTATCGATTTTTGTCGTTATTTGGGAATGCTACAAAAAAAGGTTTCTGGTCAGAAATTCAGAACTTCGGTGCCCAAAAGAATATGGCGAATGAATGACTGCACTGAGCCACAAAATCGATTCTTTCTGGTCCTGCAGTAATGTAGCTCGATCGTTTAACCGCACGTTCAACTCCAGCAGTGCTGTGTCCAGTTCCAATGTCTGTCATCCTTATTTTGAGGCAAACACACATGCTATCTCAACGTCGACAATGACAATGCTTGAGCACACGCAAGTAAGTGCCTATCGAGCAGTGTTGACAGTGGATCGGTGAAATCTAGGACCTTGGTCGCTACCAGATAGCTTTTTGTACTTCCTCCACCAGTTGATGCTTGGTGGCAAAATTCTGAAACCATACGAACAATCGTCTGCACATGCGAGTACACGGGTGTAGAATACGGCTTGTTTAATCACATTATGCGTGTTGTTGTCATCGACAAAAAATCCCTAGTTCGATGAGTTTTAAGGAAAGTCTGTTATCGCCCTTCCTCAAGCGCGAGGGTTGAACTCGAAGTGCAAATCCTTCAATAGCCGGATTCGTTGTGCATGGACGCAAGTCAGTCTCTTTCCCTTCAACACTTTGTATTGACGTCTTTGACATTTCACCCACATAGCAAGTGATGGATTCGCCTTGTAGTTCTTTGGGACTCTGCTGTGTCCCTTATCTTTCCAAAATTGACGGAGCTCCTCGTATCGCTCATCCCAACAGGCAGTATGGGCATCCCATACAAAGCCTAAGTCTTCTAGAGCCCTCTGGCGCTTGTTGCATAGCGTCGAATGCAGACCGATCGCTTTTCGCTGATACTGATTGCGCTGTCGCTTCACCCAATTGGCGAGTAGAACGTTTTGGTAATTGTGCACCGGGACGAGACAATGACCATGCTCCTTCTGAAACTGTACAAGCTCTCCATATCGCTTGTTCCACTTTGCAGTCTGCTGTCGGCCACACTGCGCTTGTGGAGTCGCTGCACCACATCCACCAACTCTCACCTTTGGGGGAGATGAGGACTGCTGCCTTTCAGGTAATTCTCTTATTCCAGAAGAGCCAATGAGTTGGTGGTTGGACAGCATAAACGGACTAAAAAGCTGATGTAGGGCATTGATCTGAGAGGGATCAGATGCCAGAGGAGTATTGTGGATCGGAAGAGTAGATACTTTCTCAACTCCACTCGGTCCAATAGGTGTTGGATCAGGTATTACAGTCGTGTTCTTTGTTCCTGTGGAATCAAATTGTCGACATGGATCGCAGTCGATTGAAAAGACGACAGATTCTATGAATTGTGGATGCGAGGGATTGAGTTATGGCATGCCGATATGCACCGAGGAAAACACCTTGTTCTTTCTAAGTTGAAAGTGAGCTTACCATCAAGGAAATACGGAGTTTGCATTGTTTTTTCGAAGTCTTTGTTCATCTCTGGTGTCGGGGGTGGTCTGGAAACAAATGAATCCAAATTGGTGCTGTGAATGGTTCGAAATTGTGGTCAGTTGACTGCGTTCTTTGAGAACGTAATATGCACGCCATCTCGAAGAATCGTCACCAATTATATATATATAAAATAAAATATATTGAATATGAATTCACAACTATTGATGTCGAACATCGAAAAGAAGCCTCGCAGAATATATATAGGCCGATTCTTTGTTTCTGAACGTAACCACAAACAACGGTTGAACCTTCTATCCAGCGCAACTCTAGTCGGTTAATAATATATATTATGAAGACGAACTCTTGAGGAGGTATGAGAATTTTGATTTGGGGACTGACTGGTCCAGTTTCCTTCTTTTTTAAATATATTATTCAAAAACGATTGACCTATTTTGCGTCACCTCGTGGAGCCGCAGTCCGGGTAAAGAAATCCACGCAAACTTGAAGCTTCAACAAGTCTGTAGTAGACTTGCCAACTGCTTGAGTCTCTATTACTGATACCCACTCAGAAATGCGCGGTCAGCATGGCGGAGAAACAGAGACAATACAGAAGATGGCGGTGCAATAATTCTAAACCTCCAAACGGCCAAATCAGCCGCCGTGTAAGTCTCTCTACAGTGTAACTTTTGCGCAGGGAATGGTCCAATCGGTCAAAGCGGATTGTTTCAGATTGGCTAGTAGAGGCATTCGAAAGCCAAGCGAGATGTTATGCGGCGCGAGCGAGTCTGTTGCTTTGTGGATCAAGGATAACTGGAGGAATTAGAGATTGCTCAAAAGTACGATTCCACCAAAAAACGTCTTCTCCTACCAGTAGAGCAGGTACAAGTTGCCACAACGACTGCGACATTTTGTAGTGATATATGTCTACTTTGGCGTACACAGGAACATTTGATTGACTGTAGTTGGATCGTAACCAATATGCTGTTGAGGAATCCAAGAGATCTAACCACGGCCTATCATCTTTTCCCAAATCGTAGTCCAACAGTTTCGAGATTAGCGAAAAGAGCCACGATTCTCGTTGGTAAAGCATACGATCATGTGGTTTGAAACCGATGAACCAAATGTTCCAATCCAATCTGAAAAGGATAGAAATGAACGTGAGATTGACATGAAGGAATTGTTCCAACAGAATTAAGACATGCTCATTTTGAGCTTGATAGCACCTACCTGTAATGATACGGAGCACAAAAGCAAGGTCGCCTTGCAAGATTTCCTGGTTTGCATGGGAACTCTAATTCGATCCACCCATACTCTTGCTGACCAGTGCTATTCGTGGAGCTGTAGGCAATAGATACAATGGGTTCGTATCGTGTTTTGCCAACGGATCCAAATGCACCGTATGTGTTGACAAGCCGAAAGCTGCCAAAGCTAGCATTCATCTGTTGGTGCTGCCCTCCAAGCTGCAAAAGATTGGCCACGACGGGCATTGAGAGGTAGCCAATAAGCAACAGTAAAACGATGTATGCACCTTGATCTAGTACCCCGTGGAACCAACTTTGCTCAGACCGGGACTTTGATGGTTCCTTGCTCGATTCCTCGACTGTTGTATTGAGAGTCTTTGCGATGGAAGACACCCCTTGCCCATCCATAGTTATCACAGTGGCTTCCAGAGCCCCCGATCGTCGTTGTAGAAACCGAGACCAACATGCATCATCCAAACATGCAAGTGATGGAATAATGGTCAAGTGATTTAGGGAGGCGAAATTCCCAGACAACAAAATATTAACCATGAATCCTCCTTGAACGAAACCTCCGATCCGAACCACATACAAACTCAGCCGAGACAACATTGTGTAGATCGAGCTGTCATTTTTGCGCCCTTGTGCGCTATCTTTGTTGACTCTATGATCACATAAAGTTGGGCATAAAACCATCCAGCTTGTGTATACTTGTACAAAGAGATCCAAGTCCACAGCATGATGCAAATATGGATATCGCGGCAAAAAGTGAAAGATAAAACTGAGGGGCGACGGGATGGGTTGGGTCTCAAAGTGATAGTAGAGACAAGTCTTTTGTGTCCAGCATGAATCCCCTCGGATCTTAATTAGTCCAGCGCCAATTGATATCCGAAAGCAGAGCCAGCGAAACAGCCAAAGCACAATCATGGAGGGCTGCGTCCTCTTAGACTTTGCCTCATTTTTACTCGTAATCGGACTAATAGCAGTCCAAGGATCGCATAAGAAAATGGCCAGGAAACCAGTCTCGAGAAGTTGAGATTCCCATCCGTAGCTGTAAAAGCTGGTCCCAAGTTGCCCCGTCGTGACAACGGAAAAGTACAAGATCCACAAGAGAAACTGTAGTAGCATTGAATCTTGTTCGAACATCACCACCAAAGCTGAAATTGTCATTCCAGCGAGATACACTCGTTCCATGTTGGCATCGTTGTGGTCAATCCACCAGAATATGGATGGGTATTCTTGGAATCCCTCCCAAGACGACTTGCTGTCGTGTTTCAAAGAGTCAAATACTGCATCAGTAGGCTGCAACCCTTTGGACCCCATCAGCCCTGGATTTTGAAAATAGGCTCCGAGAAAGGCAATGAAATACATGCAACCCAGTAGCCGTAGAATGGCCCATCGCGAGACATGGTAGCTGGACGACAATGGGGGATACCTTTCCAGTATTGAATCATCATCATTATCCTTGTCATAACCTGCAGAGGTGGAATATTTTGCTTTGTTGTCGCTCGAAGCGACTATCGCCGCCTTCGATCCTTTCTTCTCTAATCCTCCGTTGTTCGACCTGGAGCGTGGATCATCATCTTCTGTCTTGGTCATTGCTTTGTGTTTTCAACACATTATATCACGGAGAGAAGAGATTTCTTTCTTTCGATTGTTTGATATTTGGTCGACCAAATCGACCCGAAACCCATTCGATCGAAGTACAGACTGTGTTTTTCAAACCAATCGAAAATCGCAATCACATTTTCTGAAATTTGAAGAGAAGAAAACTGAAAGGCAACACATCCCGCCAACCATCCGACCATCAAAAGTCGTTTCAGCACCATGGCATCCGAAAAGAGAAAGAGCAGGAAAGAAGCCAAAAAGGCAAAAAAGGCCAAGAAAGTGAAAGTTGAATCATCTGTCGACAAAGAACAGAATAAGAAGAAGGAAACGGTGGAGGCAACAACGGACGACACCAAAACTGAAACCACTCCACAAAATTTGAGCGACACTGAAAACAAGGATGAAGACAATGTGACAAAAAATGAGGAAACCAAGTCAAAATCCAAGGATAAAAAGAAGAAAAAGAAGAGGGGAAAGAAAACAGATGACACACATCAAGAGGATGCTGAAGCGACCAATAACGAAGGCGAATCGGTACAGGATGACGAAAAGGAGAATGAACAGGTAGCAGACTCCGAAGCATCCAACAGCAAAGAGGGTGACAAAAAGGGAAGCAACAGTGATGACGGAAAAGAGAGTGATTCAGACGACGACGATGATGATTCCGATGACGACCTCCTGGCAGCCGCTGCCGCTTGGGCACAAAAGGAGGAGGAGGAGCGCGCCAAGGGATCGTCATTGGAGGGTGCACTTTCACCTTCAGCGGTCACCACAGTCCCAAAGTCTTTCTCATTACATATTACGCAACTACCATTTGATGCCAACGACTGGGACGTTCGACAAGTATTTGCCGGTTGTCATATTACCTCTGTTCGATTGGTGTATGACAAAGATGAACAAGGCCGCAAGACCCTTTTTCGTGGTGTCGCCTTTGTAGACATGTTGGACCAAGACTCTTATGATAAGGCACTCAAGTTGAATAGAACATCAGTACGGGGACGCAGATTGAATATTCGACCGACGCGGTCCAAAGAAGAACTGGCTAATATCGTGACTCAGACCCAAGCGTTGGTGCAAGCCAAAATTCAAGAACAACGAGACAAGAAGGAAGGAGGTGACAGTAGAGACGGAGTGAGAACAAACAGAGATAGAAATGACAAGACCAGCAACAAAGAAGGCAAGCAAAAACGCGTGGCCTCCAAGAAAAAAGAAAAGAAACAAGAAAAGAAATCCAAAAAGAAGCCGACGAATGCCAAGCACAAGACACCCAGTGACAGAAAGGAAGGCAAAGTTGGATCAAAGACGGACAAGAACGATGCCGACCGAAAGCTTTCCAAGAAAGAGCGAAATCGGAGGGCTGCCATCATTATGAGTATGCGAAGAAAAGGTAGAAAATGATGATAATGTTGAAAGAAGATTCAAAACAGAAATGCTATTTGTCATACACATTAACTGCACACAAAGAAGTTACAACTTCTTTGCAACATACACATAGAGAGAGACTGCAATTCATCCATCCAGACGTGGGAACATGTCGTTTTGAACCAAATGCACATTTTTTGTTCCCCAATCTACCCACTCTTTCGCTTAGCAGCCTTCTTTTTGGTTCCCCGACTCTTATCCAGGCAAGTGGCCACAAACTGTCGCATTTCTTGAAAGACGGCAGGCGAAAGTTTGTCAATATTCAATTCACATTCGTCTTCAGTGGCATTCTTGAGCAGAGCTTGTGGGCATTTGGTATCGACTTCGACCAAAATCTTTCCCAAGTCTTCCTTGCTAATCTTATACAAACTCTTGGCGAATTCCCGCTTATCACTGAGCGAAATTTTAGCTGCACTGCCCTCTTCCGTACCGCCCATGGTGACGTCTAAATTGAAGTCGGCCACCAACTTGGAGTACTTTTCTTCCCATCGTTTGCTCAAACTCTGGGCCAAGAGGTGAAAGTCACTTTCATCTGCATTGTAGGTCATGCAATTGGCCCAAACTAATCTAACGTCTTCAGCAGCCTCTTGGAGACTTGTGTACTTGCGATCAGTAATCTTCTTTTTGACAGTGCCAAGGTCCATTGGCTTGTCAATGATTTGTGGGTAATCGTAAAGACCTTATGATTGTGATTGTGATTGGAAGGATTGAAGTGCGTCAGCTATACAATTGTAGTATTACCCAGAACTCGTCTGTGACACATGAGCAATATCTTACCTATTTCTTTCCATTGGACGGGTGTTCGGAATGGTTCTGCATTGGGAAGGCAAATGATAGCGGCAAGACAAATCCATTTCTCGTTAGCATGTACTGATTCAAAAGCAAACATAATCCCGTGCATGGCAGATATGACATTTCTTACCTGCTTCTGTTCTTTGTGCAATTGATTGGACAGCCTTTTGCATGGCCGCCCATTGAGCGTCTGTTGGTGCCGACATGATTGGATATGTTGTTGTCGAATAATGGATGCTAATCGGATAGTTTTGAGACAGTTGTGTCTACTTCTCACGAAGACTGATTATGAGTTCAGGATTCACTGAACAGTCAAACAAAGGAGACGGTCCAGAAGAGAAACTCGCAACGATTGATGCAAAATACTGTTTCTAGTTTCAAGGGTCAATCAATATTACGATGGTAGCGGATGGTGTTTGGCATGCGTGTGGTTGCAACAAATGAAATAATCTGGGGGAGTAAAGTAGATAATCCCTCTAATGCACCCAATATCACACAACCCCCCCTTACTCCTTTTGACGTACAAGACACGAGGTACAGTACTGGATCAGGAGGCTCAAGGCAAACGTAAATGAAAACGGAGAAGTGAGAAAACGGAAGATGAAGATCAACGAACGCGTCGCTGACACTTTTAAAAATGAAGAGTAAAACGTTGCTCATTCTCACCTTAAAAGAGCACGAGGATGGAATATGGATCCGCCGACTGGTCCAATCCTTGCAAGCGACGGCTAAGGATCATCAAGTCTTCTTGAGCAGTGAGACAGACACAGATACTCCCAACACTATAGTCCAGGAATCGCCATCCCAACAAATTTTCATTCGAGTGCAACCTGTGGAGGAATGGCTGGCACAGGGATGGGTAGTATCATTGTCACCTAGCTTTTTTGAAAACGTCATGGGAATCATCAACAGGGTCTCGGATGCGGCGAGTCCTGCACTTTTCAAAGCCACTTGTGCGATTTTGGGAGCCGCACAGCTCCACCAGATTCCAATTGTCAATGGACCAATTACCTACTCCTTGTGCGGGAACAAATGGTGTCATCACATTTTGTTTCAACAGGCTAGACTAGAATCACCGAAAACGATGGCTTATTGGAACGAAGAAGGCGATAAAGCAAACGACAGTGTGGGTCCAAAGATGGAGGCACTGGCTGCGAATGGTATGCAGCATGGAAAGATTGAAACAGACCTTCTTATCAAACCTAATTCGGGTGGGTTTGGTGCTGGTATCCAGCGTGTCAAGGTGCCTTTGGAAGAACCGCTTCCAGTGTTTGAGGATTGCATCACCTTGGTGCAAGACTACCATCCACCAAAAGACAATCAGCTGTATCGAATTTGGTTCTTGCTCGGCAAAGTGCAGTGCGCCGTCGTTAGGTCCATTACGGATAGCGACAATGAATTCATCAATGCTTGTTCAGGCGCCTGCTCGATCCAAAAGCCCCCTTCAGCTTGGCTAGTCTCAGAGAATGTCCGAACAGAAGTGGAAGACCAACTGTTGCCTTTGCTGGCCGATGCTCATTGCGGCAGCATCGAGTTTCTATATACTCAGGACGAAAGCAATAAGCGACTCTACTTTGATTTGAATCTACTCTCGACGCTTCCAACAAGAGTGTCCAATACAGGAGGTGTTTGGGCAGATGATTATGATCCGTGGATGGAATTGGCCAATGCTATTTGGAAGGTGGTTGCCGAAAAAGAGGAGAATCGAGCCAACGCGTGAACAAAACTTGCAGCTCGGTTCTGGTTTATCTTTCTTCTATCGCTTATGTCTATTATTTCCTACGCCAGTTCCAATGACTGCCTACTACCCATCTATTCTGCTGCTTTTGCGGCACCAGATGTAATGGGAATATATTTTGGCAAAGTCTTCTCTGGTTCCTTCTTTGGGACGGTAATGGTCAAGACTCCATCCTTCAAATCGGCTCCAATCTTTTCCTTGTCCACATTGGAGCCAATGGAGAATTGACGTTCAAAGGAGCTAGTTTCAAAGGAGGTTCCATCCTTGGATTGGAATTGACGTCCGCCGCTCAAGTGAATCACCGTATGACCACGATGAGTATCGTCGAGCTTCATTTTCAAGTCATCCGCCTTGACTCCTGGGAGATCGACCTGAAAGACATAGTTTTTGTCATCTTCATGAGATCTCATTCCAGACGGTTTCCATCCAGCAGCACGAGGCATCAATTGCTCATTGCGAAAGAATGGAGTGCGATCGAATGCATCATCAAACATAGAAGTAAAGGGGTCGTAGAGAAGGAGCGACATTATTCTGTATTGCGGTTTGCTTTGTGGGAGTATGAAGTTGTTGATTTTTTCAAATTGTGAGCACAAGGGAATGATTTGATTGATTTCTCGTTTTCCATCACGAATGGATTTCGAATTCGATCGAAATGCCAAAATGCTTTCTTTCGAATTCTTTGTGACATCGAAAAGTACGATTTCGAAGCAGATGAATTTTTATAAGACTATTTCAAAATACATTTTTTTAAAATAATAATGCAGCAAGTCGACTTATTCGATCAACATATGAATAATCATACAGTACATCGTACTTGCACTGTGCATAGCAACTACCCCTGGTACGAAAAACGTCTCGTTTTTGTGAAAACAGGGGTAGTCACTCTCTCGAAGCATCATATCAAGCTACTTTATTGGTAATCAAGACATTTGCAATATAGTATGTATGCTGTATGGTCATGTAGCGCCATGTAACTTATTGCGCCTTTCTCGTTTCGAATCCCACCCAAGCAGCCGCGGCGCCCAAAATGTAGAGCAATATATACCCTTGAGATCCATTATATGTGTTTCCCCTTTCTTTCGAATGTCCGAATAGAGTTGGAAGACCAACTGTTGCCTTTGTTGGCCGATGCTCATTGCGGCAGCATCAAGTTTCTGTATACTCAGGACGAAAGCAATAAACAACTCTACTTTGATTTGAATCTACTCTCAACGCTTCCAACAAGAGTGTCCAATACAGGAGGCGTTTGGGAGATGGTTACAATTTGGAAGGTGGTTGCCGAAAAAGAGGAGAATCGAGGGTGGTTGCCGAAAAAGAGGAGAATCGAGCCAACGCGTTAACAAAACTTGCAGGTCGGTTCTGGTTTATCTTTCTTCTATTGCTTATGTCTATTATTTCCTACGCCAGTTCCAATGACTGCCTACTACCCATCTATTCTGCTGCTTTTGCGGCACCAGATGTAATGGGAATATATTTTGGCAAAGTCTTCTCTGGTTCCTTCTTTGGGACGGTAATGGTCAAGACTCCATCCTTCAAATCGGCTCCAATCTTTTCCTTGTCCACATTGGAGCCAATGGAGAATTGACGTTCAAAGGAGCTAGTTTCAAAGGAGGTTCCATCCTTGGATTGGAATTGACGTCCGCCGCTCAAGTGAATCACCGTATGACCACGATGAGTATCGTCGAGCTTCATTTTCAAGTCATCCGCCTTGACTCCTGGGAGATCGACCTGAAAGACATAGTTTTTGTCATCTTCATGAGATCTCATTCCAGACGGTTTCCATCCAGCAGCACGAGGCATCAATTGCTCATTGCGAAAGAATGGAGTGCGATCGAATGCATCATCAAACACAGATGTAAAGGGATCGTAGAGAAGGAGTGACATTATTCTGTATTGCGGTTTGCTTTGTGGGAGTATGAAGTTGTTGATTTTTTAAATTGTGAGCACTTGACCTGATTTGATTGATTTCTCGTTTTCCATCACGAATGGATTTCGAATTCGATCGAAATGCCAAAATGCTTTCTTTCGAATTCTTTTTGACATCGAAAAGTATGATTTCGATAGCAAAATGGAAAATGACTAATACATTGTAAAAAATACAGCAATCGACTTATACGATCAACATAATCGTACTTGTACGTACTGTATTTCAAAATACTTGTATAGCACTACGAAAGATGTCTTTTTTGTTTTTGAAAACAGAGGTAGTCACTCTCTCCAAGCATCATACCAAGCTACTTTCTTGGTAATCAAGACATTTGCAATATAGTATGCATGCTGTATGGTCATGTAGCGCCATGTAACTTATTGTCTGCAGACGCTGCGGGCCCTTCTCGTTTCGCATCTCTAGCCGCAGCGCCCGAAATGTAGAGCAATACATACCCTTGAGATCCATTATTACTATCCCCCATGTATTTCAAACCATAATTGGTCACCGACCCTAAATGGTTCTTCATTCAATCATTCGGCTACATTCAAGAAGAAGAACCTCCATTGTACATTGATCGGTCGTAGCTGAGTCCATAGTCGATAAATAGTTCTTCTGACTCGTAGACATCTCGCTCAAGTATAAATGTAACAGTTCTCGATTCTCGATCTTCGTCCGTTACCACATTGACATCTCGGCCCTTTGGTGGCTCATTAATGCGGCACAGCGTGGTCGGAACTTGGACAAACGACAAGACGGAACTAAAGAACAATTGGCTCAGAGGCATGCTCGGATTTCCTCCTTTGCAGTTATCTTCGATATCACCAACATTGTTCGTTGGATCAATAACAAATTTGTTGTCGGAGAATCTCCATACGTAGCCCTCGCATTGTGGATAGGCGCGTAGCTTGTCCAAGTTTTGAGTAAGCGGAACCACAACTCCAGGGTATGTTCCAATGGGGGTGCCTTTTCTCATGGTGGTCGCGGCATAGCAGCCCAATCCTGCTCCAGGAACGGTGCTTTGCTTTACTTCGAGGCATTTTGGGTCCACCAGCAATCCTCCCCTTGGACGATCCGCAACAGTGATGAAACCAAAGTACGTCGTCAATGCTGAAGCTGCTCGAATGGCCCATAATTCAGCCGGCGAGAAGGAGCTGGCCAAGAGTGGCATAGATGCCACAATACAGATGGATACGACTAATCGAATGTTCAATATCATGTTGAGGTTTTTGTGTTTGTGTCGACTACCGGTATGGAATGGTTGATGCTTGATATTTATCTGTCAATGGTTTTGAGCTGAGGCGTGGTCATCGCGCAGGTTATTGCGGAGATATGGTGAAAATAGACAGGATTTAGATTTTGGGAGTTTTCAGTCGGGTTCTCAACCGTCGGCTTTTGGAAAATTGAATCTGAAGGTGCTCCATAGTTTTGGTCGCGAGGATCGTGTCGGCTTTTCCATCGTGCACCTCTTCTCAGTGGAAACTTTTAACCTGTACCTATATCTACGTATCAATCTTCAACAACCGCTCCGTTTTCCTGCTCCAGGAGCTAAGTTTAGTCATTTAGAGGGCGCAAGCCAACTTCTACTTAGCGAAACGCACATTCTTCGTCGGAGTCAGATTATGGACAAAAATTATGTGTAAGAAGTCGGACAACATTCGTGTGTAGATCAGCCAACAAGATTGATAAATTGAAAAGAGTTGAATGCAAGCTCTTCTCATAATCAACAAAACCAGAATTGAGTACTCACAAACAAACAAACAAACAATTCAACATGCAAGTTCTTCTTTCACTCTTCGCTGGCATCATGGCCCTTAATGCAGTCAATGCTCAACCCTTGACACAGAACTGTGGTAGTGCACAGTGCAAGTTCGAGGAATCTGTCTCTTGTCGACAACTCATGACTGAGAATACCTTCACAGGAACCTGTTGCGCCTTGGACCCAACTCCAAGTGGAGGATGTACAGTTTCTGTCTCTGCTGGAATTTGCTACTACGAACCCCGTGCCCCATGTGAGGGATGCGCCCCAGGAGCTAATGGAAAGTTTTTGGGATCAGGAAACGCTGATGGATGCCCCGTGACACAATTCGATGCCCTTCTTTGGGACGAGGCGACTACGCAACCAACTGAACCTAAGGCTGATCTTGCCGAGACTTTCGAGCCTACTGCTACACCGGTCGCAGGCCCAACACCACCACCTACTGAAGCCTCCGATCCAATCGCCGCGAACGAGGAACCAGCAGCAAACATCTCTTCTGCATCAAGAATGGGAATGACAGCCGTCGTTGTGGCATCATCTGTTGCCCTGCTGCTATAGGAAAGGTCACCTTTCTCAAATCTTCTCCCATTGAATGTTTTCCACCCTGTATTTAAGTTGTGATCCATTTAGACGTATAGATTACTTTTCTACTACTATTCTCTTGTTGCACTTGCGTCCACGTAGCTGGTTCATCTTTCTCGGCGTACTTGCTTACCTCGACTTCCAAAGAGGTGTCGTGGGGGGAACTTTTAAAAACTGGATTTAAATGGGTTCCGTGTTGGTCGATGAGATGCACATGGTTTCTCGCCAAAAAAAACATAAGTAGCAAACGGCTCTGTTCTCTACTGCACGATCTAACAACGGATGGATGCTTGGGATGGTAACCATGATGTACCCAAATTATCTGGGTAGGAATGGAAACAAGGTATCTTTCTTACAGCCCAAGATCAATGAATACAGCTGCATTAGTTCTTGTTTCTCGTTCTTCTTAAAACGCCAGGAACTTTTCCTTGCCGTGTTATTGTTTGATAAAAACATATAGATGGAAACAAATGGCGCAAAATTTAAAGCTGCCGCCAAGAACAATGGGGAAAGATCCCAGTAATTTGCCTCAGAATTGCTGCGATTCCACCTCCCGTAATGGCAATCATATTTTGTCCAACCAAGCCACCAATTTCCTTGTCGTTTTCGACCGAATGTTGGAAACGTAGGCCATGGCGACTGGCAAGGTTCTACTCAAGAGCCCCTTGGCAAAGATTGTCGCAACAACAAAAACCAAAATGTGTGACGCGCCAGATACTTTCCAGTTGTCGCAATCCGCAATGACAGATCACCTTCCACATTTTAGGAGCACAGGGCGACGTCGGACAGCGTCCCAGCAATAGCAGAAATGATTGAAACACCCAACATTCCACACATAGGCAGAAAGTAGTTCGCTTCCGAAAAGCCAAAAGGTTCTGTATTTTAAAAAAAGGTCTGGGTGATTCGCTGGTGTGGCCATGAATGGATAATTGGGAGTCCATACTGCTATGAAAGATGAGAATGACAAAATTAGAATTTGTTCGGCATGAAATCAACAACAAAAAATACAAATTTCAGAAACATACCGCATCTACAATGGCAACAAATTTTAAAAACCAAAAGTGACCATTTCAAGACAATTTTTTCCGCAATCCTGCTTGTCTCTCATATGCGACAGGGAGAACTTGATTTTCTTCCTCAATGAGGAGCTTGCTTTTTTAATGCTTTTTATTCTCTTGTCCCTTGTCTGACACCAAAGAACTACCCGATTTCTTCTCTACCTGTTCCCCCCCGGCAGTTGGATCCTTAAATTCGTCGGATGGTTGTTCATCCATGATTGTATTACGATTGCGTTGCAACGGCAACAGAATAATATGGTTGAAATTTTTCGGGGACATTTTGAGTGACATTTGTGACGGCGAACGTCACGAACATCACACAATCGATCGATTGATTGATTCGAAGCATCCCGGGCGGGACGCGCGACTAGTTCGAATGCCACAATTCAATACGAAAAAATGAAGTACAGTGCAGGTACGAATACCTAGCACCAAAAGCTCGAGGTGTCATTCGTAGTAGTAGTAAACCATTCGTATTCGCATTTATTCATACTGTATTTCGACTATAGGGACTTCCTTGATTTCTTGTTCTTCTTTTTCTTGCTGGAACTTGTGGGAGTTGTTGTTGCAGCCTTTACTAGTTCTTTCTTGCCGGCTGCATCACCACTACCTTCAGAATTTCTACGCTTTTTTTGCTTCTTCTTACTGACAGATGAGGCATTGCTCCCAACAGACCCGATGGAATCCTTCCGTTTAGATTTGCTGCTGGAGCTTCCCGCTGATCCCACTGATCCGATGGACTCTTTTCGCTTAGATTTCTTGGTTGCCGACGATGATGAGTTTGCTGAGTTTGCAGACCCGACACTTGAAACAGAATTCGATCGCTTCTTTTCTTTCTTCTTCTTGTCGCTCTTTGGAGTTGAAAGCTCTGCTGGTTCTTCTGAATTCTCCTTATCTGTTTGTGCGGCCAAGCTTCCTTCGTATCCAGGAAAGTCGTAATCAATACCCAAGTCTTGCAACTTCTTTCGCTTCTTCATTTCACGTTGGACCAATCGAGCAGTGATCTCCTTCATCTTACTAGCATTGCCCAAGTTTTCACGTCGGCGCTTTCGTTCGACCTGCAAATCATTCTTACGTTGGGCAATGAGGCGGTCAGTATCGAAAAAAAGCCCATCGTCTGGTTTGTCAATCAAATGGCAGACCAATCGCTTCTTTCCCAAAAAGTATCCCTGCAATGTTTCTGCCACAATCTTGGCCGTTTCGGGATCGGAGAATTGAACAAACCCATATCCACGCGAGTGACCCGTCTGGAGGGAGCGGCTGATGCGGCTGTGAATCACATTTCCAAATTGAGACAGAAAGGTACGCAAATCACGTTCTTCCAGCTCAACGGGCAAATGTCCAACATAAAGCACAGTGGGTTTCTCATATTTCTTGACAATCTTTTTTTCACCATCTTCGTCTTCGTCATCCGAGACGCCATCCTCCATTTTCAAACCTGATGACTTGTCGGCATGCTTTTGAGCCTTTTTGGAACGCTTTCGGTCGGCTTTGGATTGTCTTCCGCCGCTACTTTTGGACAAGGCTTCCTCTTCTTCATCACTGCTATCCCATTCAGGACCTAATATGATAGGAAAAAGCAAAAGATGAGATAATGCCAAAACATGATACCTTTAAGAGTAGTATGATAAAACATGCAGCCGGTAGTATGCCAAAGGAAGGGTCCAACGACTGCTCTACCAAAACTGGAAGCCGATCCCAGATTATACCGCATCCACACCATTCCATTATCTTCTGATGGTTTTACGATCACAATCCTCACCTTTCAAGGCCGACATTTTGGCTTGTAGATTTCGATGAAGTGTTTTCGACATGGTTGTTCGTCTTTTTCTCAATCAATTTTCTGCTTTTGACAATTCTCTTTTCAGCGTTATCAAGTGAAACTAGCTGGTGCAATACGGATCAATGGATTTCAGTACAGTAGTATTGCTTCCTTCACCGATGTCTTTTTTTTCTGTTTGCAGAAGTGCAACAAGGAACAAAATGAAAAGGTGACAGCTTTGGGTGGAGAGAGACTCTCGCCATCGACAGACAGACCTTTCGCAATCTATTGTCCGTCCTCCCATCCGATGCATTAGACGTATTCATCACAAAAAACAACGCAACAACAAAGAAACACAAGTTGTTTCATTGATATCATCGTCAGTTCCTCTCCTTTTTAAGCAACACCACCACGCTGAAATAATGATAGCATCACACCACTGTCGAAGACTGGTATCCAGAAATGGATCTGCAATGCTGAGGACGCGTTCCTCAACCTACAAATCATCGTCACCATCATCGACTGTTATTATTCATGATCGATTCTTTGCTACCATTGCTGACACTGCCGCGAGCGATGCAGCAGCAGCAGCTCCCGAAAAAATGAGCGGAATGAGTGATCAAAAGCGACGATTGGCACAAGCTGCTCTTCAACAAATCCCTAAATATGGTTGGACCCAAGATGCTTTGACGTCAGCTGTCATGGAAGATCCACAGATGTCTGTGTCCATGACAGGGTTGTGGACGCCCATTGAGTTGGTGAATTGGCTCATGGACGATTGGAACTCCCAGTTACAAGAGAAACAAATACATGATAGCCAAAGAATGTCTGCCTTTGATGCCATTCAGTGGCGATTGCAACAAGTGATTCCATTGGTGAAGGCAAGTCGATGGCACGAAGGCATGGCATTGGGCCTTTCCACACCGGTGACGACACGATCACAATTACACGACTTTGTGGAACTGGCAGCACCCAAAGATGCGACGATGGCCTACAAGACTGGATTGGGAAGTATATTTTTGTCCACAGAACTATTCATGTTGACTGACTCGTCAGAAGATTTTGAAGCAACATGGGAATTTTTAAGAAATCGATTGACCGAATTGGATAACGGGAAAATGGTTCACTTTGTAGATATGAATCAAATCATGAGTACCATTAGCACTGGCGCTGGAAATCTTAGCAGCAGTGGTAGTGGAACCAATGTCCCGATCGCAGCGGCATCGGCCATTGCATCGTCCCTATTGGAGGGTGCGGCTAGTCTGCTTCGACCCCCAACACGTTCTAGCACAAGTCACAGGAGTGGGACAAAAGCGAGCGACTACAAACCAAAATAGAGACTACAACACTACTTACATATACGCTGTATACTTGCTTTGGTTGCTTGCTCTGTCCTTGTTTGGTCTATTGTGTTGTTCTAAGTTTATTTCTCAATACTACCTAAGTTGAAGGTTTCTCGAATGATTCTTCTTCTATGAATTGTTGGGTTGAAAGCTAGATAGCTCGCTCGCTCGCTAGCTACTAGTAGCTAGCTAGATCTTTCTAATGATTTGCGTCGCATAAAGGCCATGGCCTGGGTCAGAACAGCGTTGGTAGCCATTCGTCGGTCTTTCATTTCATCTTTGTCGGTTTTCTTTTCTTGTTGTTGTGGTTGTTTGCTCCTACCGCCGCCCAAACTGTACACCCGGCGTGGTTTCTTGGCTTCTGGTGGTTTGGTAAAGAGTTGCAATGGTTCCACAATGACATCACTTCCTCCTTGCGAGGGAGACGAGGGTGTCTCCCAATCAATCGAATCAAAACCACCAATGCTAGCAACCTTATTGACTTCTTCCACTTCTTCCTCTTGTTCGGGTGTTTCAGCAACTACACCAGTGGTGGTTGGATGTTGCGGAGTTTCGGCCACTGTTTCTGGTTGTCGTTGAGGAGTTTCTGCAACGACACTTTCGTTGCATCTTTCGAGGAGCTTGGCAGGAGCACTGGTGTCGGGAGTTTCGGCTACCACTGCATTATTCGTATAACACCGTCGACGCACCGGAGTGGCATAGGCAGCCTTCTTTGGTGCAGGAAAGGTGGAGGAATCCGGTGTTTCGGCCACTTTTTGACAATGATAGCGTTGGGGTGTCAAAAAGGGAGCATTTGGTGGACGCTTGTTTCCATGATTTCGTTCGTTTTCGCGACCGTCAGCTTCCAGATATGGTTTGCGGACAGGTGTCGTCGTTGTTGAGAGTAGTGAATCAGATCGACGTTTGCGGGTGGGTGTCTTTAGCACAGCAGCAGCAGCAATCGTGCTTTCGCTCGTTGACGATCTGTTGGTTGGGATTGGAGACAAAGGAAAGAGCCCTTGAGATCGCGATCGTTTTGTTTTGACATTGTCTTCCTCCTTTGCTCGGGATAGCTTGCAATCAGGAGATTGGACGTTGGTTGTTTGCAGCAATTGAACCGGCAATGGAAATTCTGCTGCATCTCTTCGAATAGATTTGACAGGATCTATCGGCTTTATCTTCTTTGGACGACGATCCTCCTTTTTGGCTGTAGTCACAGGTGCTGGTTTTCGGGATGCTTTGTTGGCCGTGGTGGTGGCGGATGGAGTCATGCTGGCCTTGGTCTTCTTCTTGGAGGAAGTGGTGCTGCTTAGAGATAGCTTGGGTGTCTTGTTCACAGATCCCTGCTTGGCCGATTTGTTCTTTCCAAGATGTGGAGTCACCAATTCGGAAGAGGATTTTCGGGAGAGAAACCGATTGTTCTTGCCAGTACTACTAGCACTGGCTAGGGCAATGGATGATTTGTTTCTTACTGGTGAAAGGTGTTCCAGCACCTTGGACATACTACTTTGCGCAGCCCGAGATCGATGGTAAAAGTGACCAGCACCGGTTTGAAATCGATTCTTCTTTTGCAACAATTTAGGTCGACCAACCGGCTCTTCCTTTTTCTCTTCCTCTTGTTTTGGTTTCAAGGTTTTCTTTTTTTTCTTTTTCTTTTTGGTGGTGGTCAAAATATTAATCGATGGGAATGGATCCTCGGTTTCCACAAGTTCGAGGTAAGGATTGGATCGCTCCAAATCGTCATAGACATGAGTGACCACTTGAGGAAGCACTTTCCAAATTCTTGGCGAAAGGCACTTGGATGTCAAAAAGGCAGTCATGCTTTCGTTCCCGGGAAGAAAAAAGGCAGCTTGCGATACAATGGTGGCAATGTGATTCAAAAGTTGCAACTCCTTGTCTTGGGGTGTGGCGGTTTGCATGCGGTTGACAAGAGCAGGTGTTTGTTCCATGACCTTTTGGTATTTGGCAAGTTGCTTGATTCGAAATTTGGAAGCCGAGAATTTGGACAAGGATGATTTTGGTTCCTTCCCACCGTGCTTGGACTGTTTCAGTTTCTTCTTGACTGCCTTATTTTGGTTGCCAGGTCGGTTCATTCTTTTCCATTTTCGCTTTATCTTTTCCTCCTTCTTTTGAGCCTCTTGTCGAGCATATTGCAAGACTAGCAATCGTGGGTATAGCTCTTGGACCAATCGCTCTCCGTGTTGGATCCACAGCTCCAGTAGCAAAACTACGTGCCATTCGATTTGTCGCAGCATGCTGGACTGAGAGGATGAGAACGATGATATGGTGGACAGCTCCTCGTCTTTGGACTCTTGCGTATCTGTAATGGTTCCGTCATTTTCAAGTTGCTGTGGTACATCCGCTAGTTTCGGTCTAATAATGGTCCATGGTTTGGAAATCTGTCGATCCATAATTTCTTCTTGTTCGCAGAGCAACCGATGCAACAGAGTACCCAATTGACTTCCATTCAAAGCTTGGGTTTTGCTCTTGTTGACAATCCACTGGCGAGACACTTCCAATGCATCGTCGTTGGATGGAGTTTCATCCTTTGGTTGCTTCTCGGCAGACATTTCATTTTCTGGAGTTAATGCCGGCACTGATGGAGGAGGAGCTGTGGTGATGTAGGACTGCCTCCAGGTGTTCCATTCACCGTCCGGCTTTACTATTGGTGACAAAGGCATTGAGGTTGCATCCTTTGTCTGAGGCTGCTTTCCTGGATCTGGACTTGTCATTTGCCTCGATTTGTGGCTTGTACGTACTGTATTGCTGTGTGGCTTGCCTTTTGATTGTTAGATTCAATCAATCAACGGTGTCTGCTTTCAATGCCTTTCTCGAAGCGACGTAAAGTGTGAAAGATTGCCCTTCCGGTGGTTTTCAAGTCTAATAATATGGCTAATAGTTTGTTGTGATGGTGTTACGTTGCAAACGATCAGCAAGCTTCTGTTCAAGACGATCGATCTTTCCTTGGTTGTCCTTGGGAGTGTTGGTGCGGACAACCGTGAGATGACTTCGCGCCATTTTTTGAATCTCAATGTCGGAATCATCGAACAGTACAGTAAGTGTCCGCGAAGTCCGAGTGACGTCAGCAAAACGTGTTGAGCTACGAGGTGATGATGACGATGATTTGATTCATTCTTCTTGTGCCGATACGAAGATGATATTCAGGACAAACACAAACAACTGGCAGTTACTAAACTGATATATCAGGAATTGAATGCTCCAACCGAATATTTCCTGTGCCTTGAATTGACATTCCACAACACGATATGCAACAAATGATGATATTCACAATCGTGTCCATCATGGTTCTGGTGATAGTATCACCAACCGCCACTCTTGCATTTCACACGCAACGAACCATCCTCTCTAGCAGCAGCAGCAGAAGTTCCTCGTGCTATAATGACGATGCACTAACGGCGACAAGTGCATTGTATTCCAATCCACCATCAGCCGCCAAGGAAGAAAACGTAGAAGAGACTCCTTCCTCCTCTTCCAGCAGCAATCAAAATGATGACAATGGTGATTTGTTTCTGTCGCAATTGGCTTCCAATCTCAATCAAAAGGTCGAGGAGGCCCATCCATCCATCAAGGAACAAAAAGAAATAAACATGGACGAATTAGACATGAAAGCCAAAATGAAGCAATGGGCTGGAAACTACGACCAACCAGCCATGCAAGCCAAACTGCAGGATCGGATTGCCAACAATCCCGTGTTTCTGTTGATGTATGGCACTTGTTCGTATTGTGCCAAGGTCATCGATGCCTTGAAGGAATATTGTACTGCTTCTAGTAATGGTAGTAGTATTGAAAGACGGAACATGTTGATTGTCGACTTGGATGCCTTGGGTATGGAAAAGTATGCCCTCCGCACTGAAGTCATGGAATTGTTTCCAGGTCACAATACGATTCCCGCCCTATGGGTGGGCGGTCAATTCATTGGTGGATATGAAGAACTGCAAGCCTTGCAAAATCAAGATGGCAAGGATCAATTCAAGATCTTGTTGGAAGAAGCCATGAAAAAGTCTGCACAATGATCAGATCAATGAAGCAATGAACAAAGTAGGACTACAAACAGCGATACAACAACATATAGAAAAAGAATCAATCATCCATCTATTGTTTTCGGTGCAACGCAAGCCTTCTGCTGCAACAATTTCATTTTCGTGGATGCCTCATCTGCGGGTTCAAATGCGCATCCAAATTATGCCAGCAAAATGAGCGGTATGAATGAGATTGGCACGTCTGCAGAACAACATCATTTGGCACACGCACACCTCCAAATGCATTACGCAAACTTTTCCCAAAATGATAGACCATGATCAACAACTACTACCACCACAAAAGCTACAATTGCTCAGTAAAGCAAGATTACAGAATGGAAATACATCTCCTTGCTGCTGGAGGCTCGATTCTCGACTACCAAGGCGATTGCATGGTGAATGCGTCCAACGCTGGAGGAATTACCCTCTACCGGTAGACGAAATCAAATGGTCAATCGCAAGGCAGGCTTTCAAATGAAGGAGGCTCGAAGAAAATTCCAGAATGGAATTCCCACGGGAAGCGCCTAATCGACTCCCAGCTTCCACCATCATGATTCACATGTCCAATGGGCCATTCCTGCCACCGGGCCAGTCTTTCGAGAAAATGCAATCTCCAAGTCGTCCTCATTATCATTGGACGAGAAATATCAGCAATTGCAGAGTTGGGGAGGCATCCAATCTTGGTTGCAAAGACATTGGCTTTTGTCTCTTATCGTGTGGAGTCTTTCGAGGTTCCGAACCTTTGGGAAATCTAATCGAACTGGCATTGGACGTGATTGTTCACTACTGCTTCAAAGAAGATTCTTCTTTGGAACACTGGATCCAAAAGGTTGTCTTTGTAGCATACACACAAGAAGAGCAAGAGGTGCGAAAACGACAAGTCAAAGAATCGGAACACGTTTCCAGAAGACGAAGAAAGCATGTGTCTAATCCAAGTACATATGTGCATGGAAATATATAGTCCATAGGCGAATGATTGGGATTGCTGATTCAGCGCCATGGAGTGGTCACCACTAGTCAGAGAACTGTGTCCACGTGTCATCGTCCTAATTCGGAAGAAGACAGTCGTGAATGAGTATGAAGCTACTTCACTTGGATATCAAACAGAGTGGGAATCTCAAAGAAGGCTGAACACGGAACACGATGTAATAGATATAGCTAATAGTAAAATGAAGTTCGGTCCTGGATATTGCCTTGCATGTGCAACTGTAGAGGAGGATACATATATATAGTAGGAATTGATCGTGCGTTTCTGGCATTCCTGACTCAGTTTTCGTCAGCATCATCTCTTCCACGAAGTTTGAGAATGCTATTTTCTAACATGCCTGCTCGGAAACTATACCTCCAAAGTATGCACCAGCCGAAGGACTGAATCCTTCTCAGGCAAAAATGAATGTTCATTTTGATGGAAATAGTGTAAAAAATGACGAAAACTCTGGTCGTAGATTTTATTTAGTCGCGATTTTGAACTCATCACGACTCAACGAATCGCTAGATCTGGTGCAAACCGCGACATCCTATGCTCTTTATATCGCTGCTATAGATCATTCCCGTGTTGCGGATTGTCAGACGCGATAACTATACTACCAAGGGCAATCACACTTAACTTCACTACAAGTAGATCGTGTCAAAAGTTATCCCGAAGAGTAGGGAAGAACGCGACCCCAATCTACTTTTCCCTACTCTTTGTTGTTGGAGGTTACAATTTTGCAAGCAGGAAGTCAAACACAGTTGAAAAATGAGTTCCAAACTCTATTGTCGATTATTGCTCCTATGCTGTTTGTTTTCCAACTACGCGTTTGCGGTCGGGAAACTGGAGCGGGTGAGTCTTCTTCGGGGAGGAGGAGAACAAGGAGCAAGCACCACAGAGGAGGACGAAGTAGCCAAACTCAAACAGGAACACATGCTCTTGCCCAACTCGAATCTTCCACGGCAACGCGTAACAGAGTCTGGCCAATTCAAAGCCAATGGAAGAACATACTCCGTGAAGGATCTTCAGCCCTTCAATGTGTTCACCTACGATGGCACCATCATGGTGGATGGTGAGCCACAGCCTTTGGAAGACGATTCCAACCGTAGTCGCTTGTTCATGCGCAAAGGAGAGCACGGAGAGACAATCTTAGTGTCAAGAGAGGGCGAAAAGGAGGACACGGATGGAAGGATCAAGTCCATTGACGTTCTTGGTCATGACGGCACGGAAGTCTTCCTGCAGGCACTTAGTGACGGATCTCTAGTTTCCATCCGTCAAGAAGATGTTGATCGACAAAAGCTAAAGGGACTTTCCATTGGTGGTATCCGAGGTGATGAAGACGAGCTCATTCTGGATCCGAACATTGATGATGACAGTGGAAATAACCGAAAGCTTCAGCAAGGATGTTCATCGTACAAGGTTGTCGAGGTTGCAATTGCCTATGATTCCAGCTTTTGCTCCCAGGTGGCACGGGGATCTCCAGATACTGCAAGAAGTGTTGTGGAAGCAGCTGTGGCCAGAGCAGCACTTTTGTTTGAAGAAATCTGTATCCGTGTCCGTCTCAGTCACTTGGAAGGTTACTGCACTGCCAGTCAAGACCCATATCGAACGGCAATGGCTACCAATGATATTGGTTGTGGGAGTCGCCGAGGTGCTCTTCAAGTCTTTCAAAACATTTGGCAAAACTCCCGAACCAATATTAATCGGGACGCGGCTCATTTGTTCTATGGAACCAACTTTCCTGGATCGGTATGTGTTTGTTGCTTGTTGTATTTGTTTGACAACTGTTTTCTCTCCAGGATGCCCCCCTCCTAATTACCGTTTGCGTGTTTAGGCTATTGGGTGCGCAAGTACTCCAGCCCTTTGCAATTCTCAATCGTATGGAGTGAATCAAATGTCCATCTCTTCCAATCCAATCTTTCAAGGCAACTTGTTTGCTCACGAGTTGGGTCACAACATGGTAGGTGGAAAAAGGTTTGAAATGAATGAATGAATGAATGCAGTATTCCACAAATCTCACAGAACAAAAACACATACTAATAGGGTTCTCCTCATGTGAGTGACCCCACCAACAGTGGAAACTTCTTGATGGAACCCAGTTTGAACAGCGCCAGCAATGGCCTCTCTTCCCAGTCCACTCGATCCATTCAAAACTACATCAGTCGACGCAGCTGTGTTTCCACCGAAGATGGAGACAGCAACGGTGGTGGAGGTGATACTGGAGGAGACAACAATGGGGATGACAACAACGGAGGAGGCTCGAATGGAGAATCCTTTCGTCTCGAGAGTTCCCTCCATCAAGGTTTCTGCGTGGCTGTTCAAGGTAATGTCAATCTGACTAATGGTACTCCCGTCAACTTGGAGCGCTGCAACGATTCTTCCAGTGCCCAAAATTGGATCTGGGATCCACAAACCCGCCTGATCCAATCCACTGCTCCTGGAAACAAGTGCCTCTATCCTCTTGGAAATGCCCGGAATGGAGCCCGGATGGTAGTTTGGGATTGCAATCCATCCTTTTCGTATGCCGAATGGTCTTACTACAGCGACCGTTCCCTTCGCCCCGATTTTGCCACTCGCAAATGCCTCGATGTCTTGAATGCCAATGGGGAAACCTTGCAAATGTGGCAATGCAATGGTACTCAAGACAAGCAGTGGTTGGTTCGTAGGTAGAAAGGAACGCTTTCCTTGATGCAATTGTTACTCTTTATAGTGATCACCCCTTTACTATATGACGGTGTGCACAAATGGGGCTTCATTTAGGGAGCATAAAACGTAGAATAGTATTGCATTCAAAACGAACCATGCGATCGAGTTCTTTTCAACAGGTTTGTTGCATCGCCCTCTCGGCTTGCCTTGTTCTCATTTTTTCAATGAATGGTAAGGGCAGCGTTGTACAATTGAATTAGACCATGCTGTGAAGAATAGCGTATGGACCAATACATGAAGTAAGTTGGTCGTTCATTCGTTCTCATTCAGTGCAAGGTCATGGCAAATTCACCATTCATTCGACCTGTTCGATTGCCCAAAAATGACGACTTTACGAGACTCACGCGCACACGCTCGTTGATGACGCAGGCAAGGACGCCGCGAATAAATAATAGTTCCACCCTCGAAGATTTGATTCGATTCTGAATTCTAAAAACGTCTGAGCAACATACGGATGAAAGCTGAGCGGATACATGAACATTACACCAAGCAAGCACTTCTCTGCTGCCGTATATACTCGAAACCATAGTGCTGTGCATATAATCTTGTATGTCAACGTAGAGGAGAGTTGGAAAATGGCCAAAGCGTCGATAGGCAAGTCAAAAGGAGGATGACGCAAGCAAGCTACAGTAATAATGTCATGCAACACACACGATTTCTCATTCTCACCTTTCCTTTCATTCTCTGTTGCTTTTATTTCTCTCTTCGATCAGGTGCCCAGAGCGTCGTGGTTGGGCTCTCGGTTCTATGCTCTGCCGTTTATCTGATTTCATCGCGGCGACAGCGAAGGCAACGTAGTAGTGTCCCAGAAAAGTCTCTACCTGAAGAAACACACGGTCATCGAAGTGTGGAAGACATTTTGGCAGAGATTGAAAATATGGATATTCACAACATCGAGTTGGATCCCCATGCGATGAAATATCTTGCAACTGTCGAGGCCTATCTGAAATGCTTTGACCAACTAACAGAGTTGTACAACGATGTCGACCCAAGTCACAAACTTGCCAAGTATTACTTGCCCGACATTAGCCGTCCTATTCAACAACATTCCATGAATGGTGATCCTGTCAAGGATCTTGACGAATTGTATGAAGTTGCAGAAGTCATGCTTCCTGTCTTTATCAACAAGATGGAAAGTCTTGTCAAACAACAACAAGCTAGTAGTAGTACTCCTACCACTTCAGAGGAGGAGAAAGAATCATCATGCGGCATCGAGTTCAAGCTTCCTCCATGGCAACACAAACTCAAGAGGAGACAACGGGCGTCCGAAAAAGCCAAAGATGACTATTCGGAAAAGGGACCTGGTCCACCCGAATCGTGGCTCAATGACATTGTACGCGGCAGCGTAGTGTTCAATGACATGGACCAACTCGTAGAATTTCTCGAGCTCATTCGAAACGACGATTCCATTCAAATTGTGAAATCCAAAAATCGTTTTCGCAATCCCACCATTTCCGGGTATCGGGATTGGCAGTTGCAATTTTTGATTTCCAATGGTGGCATTGAACACACGTGCGAACTCCAACTCCATTTGGATGCCATCAAAGAAGCTGGTGTTATGCTTGGATCACACGATTACTACGAGTTTTTTCGATTGTATTACGCTGCTGGAATGATGCATGCTACTTTGGAAGAGCGGCTAGATGATTTGAGAATGACGACAGGCCAAGGCGGTTCAATGAACAAGGAATTCTTGAGCAATGTAACGAAGAATCCGCTCGAATTGTCGCAGATGCTGCGGCTTGCCGATCTGTTTGAGAACCATGTGCATGATTATCAGCTAGCCATGATGATTACAAATGCCATCAGACCAAGTTTGCAACCAAGAGATTGGTACACGAGAATGGGAAATCTGTTTTGGCAGCAAGGGAAGTCGGAGGATGCAGTTGCACTCTACGAAGAGGCATTGGTCATTCAATTGCAGGCAGTTGGACCGGACCACATTGATAATGCTGAGACCTTTTCCAGCATGGCTGATGCGTTGGTGAAGCAAGGCAGGCTAGGAGAAGCAATGGTATTGTACCAGAAGGCCCTAGACATTGCAATCAAGACATTTGGGCCTGACCATGCTGCTGTGGCAACAATTTATAATAATATGGCAAACATTCTTACAAATCAAGAAAGATTCGACGACGCTCTAACGATGTATCAACAAGCGCTGGGTATTCGATTGAAGGCACTTGGGCCAGACCATGCGCTCACGGCACATACTTACGCCAGCATGGCAAGTGTGCTACACCATCAAAACAACCTAGAGGAATCTTTGGCCTTTTATCAGATGGCATTGGTCATCTTTTTCAAGGCACTTGGACCTGACCATGCCGATACGGCACATACCTACGCCAACATGGCAACTGTTCTAAACAAAAAAGGCGTGTCCTCTGGGCGAATGGGCACAACGAGTAGGGAGCATTCACGCTCAAAGAGACGTAACTCCAAGGAGCTGTCCAAGAAAACCGTGTCTTCGTTGACGGAAATCATGGGCGAAGCTGACCCTGGGGCGGAGGAAAACAAAGCCGAGGATACTGACGAAGAGAAAGCGAAGCTGTCACGAAAACCAAGACAACGCCGAGCTCGTCGTAGACGGAGGAATCAGTTTGGTGGGTCAAGTTTGGAAGCTATTAGTGAGGACGAATCTGAAGATGATTCAGAAGGTTTATCCGAGTCGGAACCCGTCGGTACGCCGTCCCTTGATTCTTCTTTTCCAGACCAACCAACCCCTGCTTCTCCTAGTACTATCAATCTGGAAAATATGGAAAGCAGGCCTCAGGAAGAAGCGATAGCGTTGCCCCAAAATGTGGTGGAACTTCCAAGTCAAGCAGATATGGCTAACTCCTACATGAGCATGGCGGTTGCCCAACAGAATCAAGGGAAGTTGGACGAAGCAATGGAATTGTACCAAAAGGCGCTAGAGACTCTGTTGGAGGTGTTTGGACCTGACCATGCCAAGACGGCAGACGCCTACTTTGGCATTGCGAATGTCCTAAAAGATCAAGATAAGCTGGAGGAAGCAATGGTATCATTCCAAAAAACATTGGAAATTCGGTTGGAGGTTCTCGGAGATGACCACATTGACACTGCAGATACGCACAGTGGCATTGGTGAGATCCTTTGCAAGCAAGGCAAACTGGATGATGCTCTGATTGAATGTCAAAAAGCGCTCGACGTTCAATTGATCGCTGCAGGTGCTGAGGATCATTCTTCGACAGGAAATACCTTTCACACCATTGCAAAGATCCTCTTCCATCAAGACAAACTGGTGGAAGCAATGGCACTGTGCCAGCATGCAGTTGCAATTTATTGGAGGACCCTTGGACCAGGCCATCCATCGACGGCAAAAGCAAAGGAACTCATGGAACTTGCCCAACACATGATGACGGAGAAATGTGTCAAGCGAAAGCGAAAAGAAATACTGAGACCGGCCAATCAAACCGATTGATGCTCTTCATCATGCATGACATGACGGCTTGCAAGCGTAGAAACAATCAAGACTTTTCTGAAAACAATTATCGTCCACAACACAATCGAAGAAATTGTGGTAATTTTTAATTCTTTGTATAATTTCTACTTTCCATAGTTTCTCGAGACTCTTCTTGCCCAAAGCTTTCAGAAAGGTCAGGTTCTTTTATTGTCTTTACCAAGAAAGGGTAAAATGTTCCCAATGAGTATGGAAATGCCACAATGGACTCGACAACTCTCTCGATCAATGCCACCTTGATCAGATGCATTCTCGCCCAGTTTGATTCTCCAAAGAACCATTTCAATCAACGAAAGCACCTCGAGAAACTCCAAATTCACAAGCCCATCCAAAAGAGACTGGACTTTGCGGCTCATGGTCGATGCACAATCAGCCTTTAGGACTCCTTCCTTCATGGCCAATAGCTCTTGCTTCCATCGATCCAGCCCCAGAACAGATAGTCTTTGTCCCACAAGGAGATTCACCAACCATCGAGTCGCATGCCTTCCTTCCTCAAACGGATTCTTGGAAATATATTCCAAAACGGTCGATCCAAACAAATCCTTGGTTCGAGGCACATCGAATCCAGATGCTAGGTGTTGAAGCAGTTCCAGTCTTGGCGTCTGGGCAAGTGCCACGATATGCAACGGAGTCATTCCAAAAGCATCCGTTTCAAAGAGAGCACTTGGATTATCACTCAGAATATCACTGATTTGTTGAATCGTGTCTTCTACAAGATGGTAGCTTTGAAAGTAGCAGACTCTGTGGAGAGGAAGCCCATCGAACCGGTTTTGTAGCTTTGTGGCAAGATCTTCCCAATTTTGTGCGACTTTCGCAAGCTGAAATGTTTGAGGAATTGCTTTATTCAAGAATCTATCGTGCACAGTCTGCGTTGGAGGCAAATACAGATTCACCAAAGATGACCATCCGAGGATGTCTTCCAATTCCTCATCAGCAAAGGGGTGCAGGTCCTCATCTGCAAAGGGGAGTAGTTCGATCGTTTCCAATCCTTCTGGAAGTTCCAGTGATCGCAAGGAAGCGCACCCACCAAAAACTGAATTGGTGCTTTCTTCTCGGCATCCAATGGAAGTGACATTCGGCGACACCCGGATATGTGTCAACGCTGAACAAGATGCGAAAGCACCGCTCCCAATTACTTTTACTGTTCTTGGAATCTTCATCTCTTTCAATTCCGTGCACATGAAGAAAAGTTCAAACTCGATCACCTCCAGCTTCGGTGGTAGAATTAGGGATTCCAACTGTCTACAGTATTTGAAAGCTGCAGGCCCAATCGTTTCAACTGTTGCAGGAATTTCCAGATGACGTAGTCCTGCACCAGTAAAAGCATGGCCTCGAATGACTTTGAGACCAAGTGGCAAATCGATTGTGCATAAACCTAAACAAAGATGGAATGCCATATTTAGAATCTTTCGCAATGTAGAGGGAAGTTTGACTTTTGCCAACGCTTTACAGCATGCAAAGGCATTTGCTCCAATGATTTGAGCACCTTCTTCAAATGTCACTTCTTCCAATGCGATGCAATACTCGAAGATCCCGTCAGGAAGGACGCGAACGGATTCATCAACGCGGACAATCGTAACATCGTTTGGAATTTGATCTTTGGTGGTTGCCGCTGTGACAACAAAGACACTATTTTGTTCAAGCTTCAGTCTGGCTTTCTTCTTTGGAGGCATCTGAAAGGTGGAATACCCGTTGGAACTTGGTTGTATCTCTCTCACTCAGTAGGTCTCGTTGATGCAACGACAGTGACACAGAGGCAAATCGAGCGAGACGAGATCAACACTTTGATGCTAGGAAGGCCTAAAGAAGCTCAAATCGTAAAACTGTAATAGTGCTGTGTTGTACCGTACTGCCTGTGCCCCAGTCAACCTAATTGTCACAGCCTACATAGTAACTCTTCACACCAGAAAAATCAAACTCAACTGTAGCATGTCGACTAGGATAATCTATATTGCATCTGTTTTTATCAGTGTACTTCTTTTCCGAGAAAGGGTAAAACAACGTTCGCAACTAGAATGGAAATGCCACTATCGACGCGACGACCGTTTCGATCAATGCTGGCTTCTTCTGATTTGCGCTCTTGATTCGGTCTACTCTCGTCAAGTTTGATTCTCCAAAGGAATAATTCAATCAACAAAAGCACGTCGAGAAACTCCAATTTCACAAGCCCACCCAAAAGAGACTGGACTTCACGGTTCATGATCGATGGGTAATCAGCCCTCGCAACGCCTTCCTCTAAAACCAATAGCTCTTGTTTCCAAAGATCCAGTCCAAGGTATGCACCTCGTTGTTCCACAACTTTCTGCATCAATCATCGAGTCACCTGCAAATCTTCTTCAGAACTGTTCCGACGAAGATAGTCCGTTGGAGTTGATCCAAACTAATCTTCTGCCGACAGGGCTAGATCGACAGACGCGAGGAGCTCTTGGAAAAGCTTCAGTCTTGGCGTTTGAGCCAGCCCCACGATATGCATTGGTGTTATTCCAAAAGCATCCGTTTCAAAGAGAGCGCTGTGGTTATCACTTTCCGCTCTAGCAGGAAAAAGTCCATTCCCTCATGACTTTTAGACCCAGTGGTAAATCAACGGAAGTTGAGCGTCGGCAACGAACAATGCATATCGTAAAACCTGTCGCAGTGTAGAGGGAGGGAAGTTTGACTATGGTCAACACACGGCATCGTGCAAATAAGACAAATTTTCCAATGGTATGAGGGCCTATTCTTCAAAGGTCATTTCCTCTAATGATATAAACTCTTGAAGATCCCGTCAGGAAGGACGCGAACGGATTCACCAACGTGGGCGCAATCCTAGCATTCCAGGGAACCTGATCTATGGTGGTTGAAGCTGGTGTGACAACAAAGACACTGTTTGGTTCAAGCTTCAAACAGGCTTCCGTCTTTCGAGCCATGTGGAAGTTGGAAAACCCGTACAATAGGATCTTCGTTCACTCAGGTCTCGTTACGCGACAGATGAGCGTGATCATAATGACGATATGAAATACATTTGAGCCAACTCCACAAAACTATAATAAGATGATGAGAGTGCGAGTCAATATATATTGGTGACAATGTCTGTCATCTGGTGTTTTTGGGTCAAATGGGTCAATCACTCAGCAACAATGTCTGCCTCTATGATGCCTTATTTTTGTCAGTGTTGCGTGATCAGTATCATACTGCAACGAAAGAGAAGGTTTTATTTGGAGACAAAAATGCAAGTGCAACAAAGATGGAGAGCGTCATCCAGACTCTCACCAACCAAGATGAGTAATATGGAATTGGAAGACGCCAGAAACAGCAATGAAAATGACACGGAATCCCTCTTGCCATCCTCTTCCTCTGAAACACCCAAACGATTGGAGTATTGCTGTGGCCGGATACAAGCGGAAAAAGTGGGCAACATGCTCATTTTATTTCCGGAACGATTTCATGCCGGTCGGACTTCTTGGGGTGTGGTCGGTCCAATGTGTCCAACGGGGCCCTTGTTTGTCTGGGGCATTCTGTGCACTGCCAGCTTTTTTGTGATTCGGAAAGCGCTGGACATTGGGCCCATTACCACAGTCATGTGCTGTGCCTTTTATGTGATATCAACCTTTAATTTATTGAATGTGGTTCTTCGAGATCCCGGGATTTGTTTCTACAAGGAGATACCCAAGCACATTTCACCTGAAGACGCCAGAGATTGGATGTACAATGATCGGTGCAATGTGTATCTTCCACCAGGTGGAAAATACTGCTCGCAGTGTGATGTCTGCATTGAAGGATATGATCACTTTTGTGCTTGGATGGGTACAACTATTGGGAAGAAGAATATGATACAGTTCCAAATATTCAATGCAATCTGGTTGATTTATCTTTTCTACGCTTATTTTTGGCTTGTGATTGGACATCTTGCCACCAAACATTCAGAGGAGAAGTAAGAGTAAAAGGGACGAACAACAATGAAAGTGACTTTCTGTTTTCATTTGGAAAGTGTCTCCTTTCAGTTCTCTTCATGTGACGGTACTACTCTCTCTACGCTATGAATGCCGTAGTGTCCGTGATGATGACTTCGATTTCACGTCATTCATATAGACTGCAACCATGTCATCGATGGCTGCACGGAGAAAGAACCAGTCTCTGAAACAGAAACACCTGGACTTGTTTCAAATTATGGTCGTCGATACCTCTTGGGTACAAGTAGAATACAGCAAGTGATGACGATGCATCTAAAAAAGAGTGGATGAGATTGGTACCAGTCGTTGCACTATCCTTCATTCAGCTTGGCTTCGTCCTTATTTGCGTTGGCAACTGAAAACAGATCCTGCACGCATACAGTGCTCTGCTGTGAACACAAATGTTCGACCGTGGTTGCTGACCGAACATTTCACACTCAAATCATTATTTAGCGACACTTGTTCAACAGTGGTTTTCCTACCGAACATACTATGTAGACGATGCTTCGACGGCTTTTCCTTCTGGAAAAAATCAATTCCAATAGAACATCATGATAACACGGTCCTTCCAAGACATAAGCATCCTTTACTTTACTTGAGGAAGCCGTATCATTCAAGAAGATATTTCAAGAAGCTTGCGATGTTTGATCGTGACGTCACGAAGGTACAGTAACGTCGTTTTGACATTAGCGTCCACACAAAAGATACGTTCCGTTCTCGGAATGTTGAGAAGCTATGACAAAAGCTCTGACATACTCTCACGCGCTTCTACTGTATTTGTACCAGTATACAAAACGCCCCTTTGCTATTAGCGTCTACACAAAAGATACGCTCTGGGAATTTCGAGAAGCTTTGACACGCTGTGACATGCACTGACATACTCGCACCTTCTTGTGCTTCTCTTTCCCAACACACTTGATGCATACCTGGTACGCAAAACATCGAAAATCTTGATGTTCGCGAGGTTCCCGTTCTCGACCTTCACAGTATCGGCAAATTCCAATATGTAGTCTCACAATTTTGACTCTCGCAGAAATCAAAACCACATCCAAGGAACTTGATTTCAAATTTTGTTTGATACTACAGCGTCATCACCATGCCAGGATTCAGCTACAGACAGCCAAATGCCAGAACCAATCCCACTGAAGTGCGTGATGGTAGTGGGAGAACCATTGACGACGACTCTTCTGCCAGCGGGAACGATGCAGTTTCCAAGACGTTTGGTCGAGGTATCGTCCAAGATTTCAAGCGTACCATTGGTACTTGGTGGTTCAAGGAAATGACCAACTTCAACACCAAGACCGTTGCTGTGTCTTTCTTCCTTTTCATTGCTGTCATTGCTCCTACCATTACATTCGGAGCCGTGTACGCCAAGGCTACCAATAACTATATTGGAGCCGTCGAGCTTCTCTTGGCCACTGCTTGGTGCGGAATCTTCTACTCTTTAGTTTCTGGACAACCAATGGTAAGTCTTGGACACTTGGACTGCATTACGATCGACACTTTCGAACCTTCTTCTAACCATGATTGCATTCTTGTTCATGGTGACTACCAACAGATGATCAACGGAGGAACTGGTCCAGTCTTGACCTTCCAAACTGTCTGCTATGACATTGCCAAGAACCTTGATGTTCCATTTTTGACTTTCAATGCATGGATCGGTATCTGGGTTTGCATCTACCAAGTCTTGGCCGCCTTCTTTGATGCCAACCGTCTCATCAAAAAGGCCACTCGCTTCACCGACGAAACCTTTGCTCTATTGATCGTGTCCATCTTCCTCTTGGGTGCCATTGGAAACCCTTCCTCCAAGGTCGGTCTCTTCCACTACTTTGGTACTGACCATCCACACCACGAAAACATGATCGAGGAAAACGGATCCGAGTACGACTACATGACCGTGGCTCTATTGAGTTTGATTCTCGGTTTGGGTACTGCCTTTTTTGCCATTGGACTTCGTCAGATCAAATTCTCGGCCTTTTGCTGCAACGACTACGTGCGCACTGTCATTACGGATTTCGCCATTACCATTTCGGTGGTCGTCATGACCGCCTTGAGACACACCGTTTTTGAGGATGTCCAAGTCGAAGAACTCAAGGTCCCCGACACTTTTGCCACCTCCTTCTCGTGTTGTACCGCAGACTGTACCAGCTACTGGCCTACCGAATGTCCCGATCAAGCCGAAGCATGGGGACGTCGACCATGGGTTGTGGACTTGTTTGATCTGAATGACAAGATCTACGTCATCTTCATCGCCGCTGGACTTGGTATCCCCGCCTTCATCTTGACGTTTTTGGACAACGGAATCACTTGGCACATTGTCAACCACCCAAGCAACAGACTTTCCCACGGAGACGCCTACAACTACGACACTTGCATTTCTGCCATTATGGTGTTGGTCAACTCGTTGCTTGGTCTTCCTTGGTTGGTCGCTTCTACCGTCCCATGCATCATGCACATTACTGCCATGCAAGAGAAGAATACCAAGGGCGAAGTCAAATACATCCAAGAATCTCGCTTGACTGGTTTGTTCACCCACACCTTGGTCTTGGCCTGTATCTTTGCCCTTTCGGTGATTCGCTTGATTCCTCTGCCAGTCCTTTATGGAGTCTTTTTGTTCATGGGATTGGTTGCCTTGCCCGGTCAACAGTTCTGGCAACGTTTCTTGTTGTTCTTCCAACAGCCTACCAAGATGGACAAGAACCACTACACCAAGAACGTGCCTGTGGAACGCATCCACAAGTACACCCTGGTTCAATTTTTCTTCTTTGCCGTGGTGTGCGTCGTCCGCGAGATCAAGGCCATTTCGATTGCCTTCCCAGTCATGGTGTTGCTGTGCATTCCCGCTCGGTTGTACTTGCACCCCCGTTTGTTTTCCAAGGACGAGTTGATCTTGTTGGATGGATCGCCAGAAGAGATTGAAGACTGGTTGCTCAAGAATGACCCCGAAGAGATGGCCGCGGATAAGGCTCAAAAGTCGGCACAAGCGCAGCACGTTGCCGACAATGGCCTTGCACTTCCTGCACAATTGGATGATGAGGATGACGAACAAGAAGCTTAGGCGTGGATGGTCAAACTGACACTGTCGCCTGCTGAGGAAATGATGGAAAACCTAAAAAGAATACACATATGAACATAATAACTTTAGAAAGATTGAACATACAAATCAACAAAGTCCAACAGACATCGAAAGTACTAACCTCTTGATTTCAAAGTCTTCTCATACTTCGTATTAAGCATTTCTTTTCATTCGACAGTGCCACCAGATATCACATATAGTATAACTCGTTAGAATGCAGTAACGGTACCACCAAATATGAATGCATAAATTGATTCAACCATGTACCGACCTCTTGAGTTCAATGTTTTGAAGTTGGGGCATTCTTCGTAGCGAGCTTATTACATCCGACAGTACTACTGTATGCTGAATAATATCATTCATTCATATACATGTACTCTCATTACATCGGAATGCCGATCCATAGGTCTTCGTCGTTCAATCTGTATCTTATTCTTTTTCATAAAGATGCGCGTGACGTCACACAAGAAGGTACACGTGTACATTTCCAGTAACGTTGGCGTTTACTCGTACACAAAAAGATACAATTCGTTCTGGGAATTTTGAGAAGCTTTTTAACCAGCTCTGACATACTCGCACCTTCTTGTGCTTCTCTTTCCCAACACACTTGATGCATACCTGGTACGCAAAACATCGAAAATCTTGATGTTCGCGAGGTTCCCGTTCTCGACCTTCACAGTATCGGCAAATTCCAATATGTAGTCTCACAATTTTGACTCTCGCAGAAATCAAAACCACATCCAAGGAACTTGATTTCAAATTTTGTTTGATACTACAGCGTCATCACCATGCCAGGATTCAGCTACAGACAGCCAAATGCCAGAACCAATCCCACTGAAGTGCGTGATGGTAGTGGGAGAACCATTGACGACGACTCTTCTGCCAGCGGGAACGATGCAGTTTCCAAGACGTTTGGTCGAGGTATCGTCCAAGATTTCAAGCGTACCATTGGTACTTGGTGGTTCAAGGAAATGACCAACTTCAACACCAAGACCGTTGCTGTGTCTTTCTTCCTTTTCATTGCTGTCATTGCTCCTACCATTACATTCGGAGCCGTGTACGCCAAGGCTACCAATAACTATATTGGAGCCGTCGAGCTTCTCTTGGCCACTGCTTGGTGCGGAATCTTCTACTCTTTAGTTTCTGGACAACCAATGGTAAGTCTTGGACACTTGGACTGCATTACGATCGACACTTTCGAACCTTCTTCTAACCATGATTGCATTCTTGTTCATGGTGACTACCAACAGATGATCAACGGAGGAACTGGTCCAGTCTTGACCTTCCAAACTGTCTGCTATGACATTGCCAAGAACCTTGATGTTCCATTTTTGACTTTCAATGCATGGATCGGTATCTGGGTTTGCATCTACCAAGTCTTGGCCGCCTTCTTTGATGCCAACCGTCTCATCAAAAAGGCCACTCGCTTCACCGACGAAACCTTTGCTCTATTGATCGTGTCCATCTTCCTCTTGGGTGCCATTGGAAACCCTTCCTCCAAGGTCGGTCTCTTCCACTACTTTGGTACTGACCATCCACACCACGAAAACATGATCGAGGAAAACGGATCCGAGTACGACTACATGACCGTGGCTCTATTGAGTTTGATTCTCGGTTTGGGTACTGCCTTTTTTGCCATTGGACTTCGTCAGATCAAATTCTCGGCCTTTTGCTGCAACGACTACGTGCGCACTGTCATTACGGATTTCGCCATTACCATTTCGGTGGTCGTCATGACCGCCTTGAGACACACCGTTTTTGAGGATGTCCAAGTCGAAGAACTCAAGGTCCCCGACACTTTTGCCACCTCCTTCTCGTGTTGTACCGCAGACTGTACCAGCTACTGGCCTACCGAATGTCCCGATCAAGCCGAAGCATGGGGACGTCGACCATGGGTTGTGGACTTGTTTGATCTGAATGACAAGATCTACGTCATCTTCATCGCCGCTGGACTTGGTATCCCCGCCTTCATCTTGACGTTTTTGGACAACGGAATCACTTGGCACATTGTCAACCACCCAAGCAACAGACTTTCCCACGGAGACGCCTACAACTACGACACTTGCATTTCTGCCATTATGGTGTTGGTCAACTCGTTGCTTGGTCTTCCTTGGTTGGTCGCTTCTACCGTCCCATGCATCATGCACATTACTGCCATGCAAGAGAAGAATACCAAGGGCGAAGTCAAATACATCCAAGAATCTCGCTTGACTGGTTTGTTCACCCACACCTTGGTCTTGGCCTGTATCTTTGCCCTTTCGGTGATTCGCTTGATTCCTCTGCCAGTCCTTTATGGAGTCTTTTTGTTCATGGGATTGGTTGCCTTGCCCGGTCAACAGTTCTGGCAACGTTTCTTGTTGTTCTTCCAACAGCCTACCAAGATGGACAAGAACCACTACACCAAGAACGTGCCTGTGGAACGCATCCACAAGTACACCCTGGTTCAATTTTTCTTCTTTGCCGTGGTGTGCGTCGTCCGCGAGATCAAGGCCATTTCGATTGCCTTCCCAGTCATGGTGTTGCTGTGCATTCCCGCTCGGTTGTACTTGCACCCCCGTTTGTTTTCCAAGGACGAGTTGATCTTGTTGGATGGATCGCCAGAAGAGATTGAAGACTGGTTGCTCAAGAATGACCCCGAAGAGATGGCCGCGGATAAGGCTCAAAAGTCGGCACAAGCGCAGCACGTTGCCGACAATGGCCTTGCACTTCCTGCACAATTGGATGATGAGGATGACGAACAAGAAGCTTAGGCGTGGATGGTCAAACTGACACTGTCGCCTGCTGAGGAAATGATGGAAAACCTAAAAAGAATACACATATGAACATAATAACTTTAGAAAGATTGAACATACAAATCAACAAAGTCCAACAGACATCGAAAGTACTAACCTCTTGATTTCAAAGTCTTCTCATACTTCGTATTAAGCATTTCTTTTCATTCGACAGTGCCACCAGATATCACATATAGTATAACTCGTTAGAATGCAGTAACGGTACCACCAAATATGAATGCATAAATTGATTCAACCATGTACCGACCTCTTGAGTTCAATGTTTTGAAGTTGGGGCATTCTTCGTAGCGAGCTTATTACATCCGACAGTACTACTGTATGCTGAATAATATCATTCATTCATATACATGTACTCTCATTACATCGGAATGCCGATCCATAGGTCTTCGTCGTTCAATCTGTATCTTATTCTTTTTCATAAAGATGCGCGTGACGTCACACAAGAAGGTACACGTGTACATTTCCAGTAACGTTGGCGTTTACTCGTACACAAAAAGATACAATTCGTTCTGGGAATTTTGAGAAGCTTTTTAACCAGCTCTGACATACTCGCACCTTCTTGTGCTTCTCTTTCCCAACACACTTGATGCATACCTGGTACGCAAAACATCGAAAATCTTGATGTTCGCGAGGTTCCCGTTCTCGACCTTCACAGTATCGGCAAATTCCAATATGTAGTCTCACAATTTTGACTCTCGCAGAAATCAAAACCACATCCAAGGAACTTGATTTCAAATTTTGTTTGATACTACAGCGTCATCACCATGCCAGGATTCAGCTACAGACAGCCAAATGCCAGAACCAATCCCACTGAAGTGCGTGATGGTAGTGGGAGAACCATTGACGACGACTCTTCTGCCAGCGGGAACGATGCAGTTTCCAAGACGTTTGGTCGAGGTATCGTCCAAGATTTCAAGCGTACCATTGGTACTTGGTGGTTCAAGGAAATGACCAACTTCAACACCAAGACCGTTGCTGTGTCTTTCTTCCTTTTCATTGCTGTCATTGCTCCTACCATTACATTCGGAGCCGTGTACGCCAAGGCTACCAATAACTATATTGGAGCCGTCGAGCTTCTCTTGGCCACTGCTTGGTGCGGAATCTTCTACTCTTTAGTTTCTGGACAACCAATGGTAAGTCTTGGACACTTGGACTGCATTACGATCGACACTTTCGAACCTTCTTCTAACCATGATTGCATTCTTGTTCATGGTGACTACCAACAGATGATCAACGGAGGAACTGGTCCAGTCTTGACCTTCCAAACTGTCTGCTATGACATTGCCAAGAACCTTGATGTTCCATTTTTGACTTTCAATGCATGGATCGGTATCTGGGTTTGCATCTACCAAGTCTTGGCCGCCTTCTTTGATGCCAACCGTCTCATCAAAAAGGCCACTCGCTTCACCGACGAAACCTTTGCTCTATTGATCGTGTCCATCTTCCTCTTGGGTGCCATTGGAAACCCTTCCTCCAAGGTCGGTCTCTTCCACTACTTTGGTACTGACCATCCACACCACGAAAACATGATCGAGGAAAACGGATCCGAGTACGACTACATGACCGTGGCTCTATTGAGTTTGATTCTCGGTTTGGGTACTGCCTTTTTTGCCATTGGACTTCGTCAGATCAAATTCTCGGCCTTTTGCTGCAACGACTACGTGCGCACTGTCATTACGGATTTCGCCATTACCATTTCGGTGGTCGTCATGACCGCCTTGAGACACACCGTTTTTGAGGATGTCCAAGTCGAAGAACTCAAGGTCCCCGACACTTTTGCCACCTCCTTCTCGTGTTGTACCGCAGACTGTACCAGCTACTGGCCTACCGAATGTCCCGATCAAGCCGAAGCATGGGGACGTCGACCATGGGTTGTGGACTTGTTTGATCTGAATGACAAGATCTACGTCATCTTCATCGCCGCTGGACTTGGTATCCCCGCCTTCATCTTGACGTTTTTGGACAACGGAATCACTTGGCACATTGTCAACCACCCAAGCAACAGACTTTCCCACGGAGACGCCTACAACTACGACACTTGCATTTCTGCCATTATGGTGTTGGTCAACTCGTTGCTTGGTCTTCCTTGGTTGGTCGCTTCTACCGTCCCATGCATCATGCACATTACTGCCATGCAAGAGAAGAATACCAAGGGCGAAGTCAAATACATCCAAGAATCTCGCTTGACTGGTTTGTTCACCCACACCTTGGTCTTGGCCTGTATCTTTGCCCTTTCGGTGATTCGCTTGATTCCTCTGCCAGTCCTTTATGGAGTCTTTTTGTTCATGGGATTGGTTGCCTTGCCCGGTCAACAGTTCTGGCAACGTTTCTTGTTGTTCTTCCAACAGCCTACCAAGATGGACAAGAACCACTACACCAAGAACGTGCCTGTGGAACGCATCCACAAGTACACCTTGGTTCAATTTTTCTTCTTTGCCGTGGTGTGCGTCGTCCGCGAGATCAAGGCCATTTCGATTGCCTTCCCAGTCATGGTGTTGCTGTGCATTCCCGCTCGGCTGTACTTGCACCCCCGTTTGTTTTCCGCTGACGAGTTGATCTTGTTGGATGGATCGCCGGAAGAGATTGAAGACTGGTTGCTCAAGAATGACCCCGAAGAGATGGCCGCGGATAAGGCTCAAAAGTCGGCACAAGCGCAGCACGTTGCCGACAATGGCCTTGCACTTCCTGCACAATTGGATTCCGATGAGGATGACGAACAAGAAGCTTAGGCGTGGATGGTCAAACTGACTCTGTCCCCTGCTGAGGAAAGGTTTGAAAATGAAAAATGAATGCACAGATTCACTTTCCTGACATTGAGGAATGTTGGAAAACCTAGAAAGAATGCACATATGAATATAATAACTTTAGAAAGATTGAAAACACAAACGAATGAATGATTGAAGTACAACATCCACAGCACGAACCCTTTTATGAATTGAAGGTCTTCTCATTGTTCGCATTGAATTTCGTTTCCTTCGGCAATGGGATGAACCCACATACATAAATGTATGAAGTCAAACATGCACCATTCTCTTGGAAAATGCTGCTGTTCGCTTACATGCTATCATCCATTCATTCGTACTCGTAGATTGGATTCTGAATGATGAATCATTCATGATAGCATTCATCGTTTGTTTTCAATTTTAAAATTTCATTTTCAATGATGTTCCCTAATAACTTTGACCCCTTCGAGCACATAGGTTCGACTACTGCGAGCACTAGGTTTCTTCCAGCTTCCTTTCCAATCGGTGCGATCGGATTTCGAAAAATGGGCAAAATGAGCAAAACCTCATCCTGGCCTATTGCATACTGTCATCTTTACACCATCCATCCATCCATCCATCCATCCATTCTTCTTCCAATTGAATCAAACACATAATCAACAATGAGCGCATATGTCGATCCGATGGGGGCTACAGTGGAACACTGCAACGCCATGGCCACTCAATTCCCTGATTTGGCCGAGAAATATTACAATGTGTTTCGCCAGTGCTGTCAACAAAAGCTATGGCATCAATTAACCTTGTGCATGATGGAGTTTTACACGGCCGACGACACCAATCGACCAATTTCGGGTGACAACAAAAGCACTTACTTGGCATTGTACAAGGAACTCGTGCAAGCCGTGGCTGGAAAGTTGAATAAATTGTCCGTCTCCCAAATTGCTGCTGCGGTTGCCTTTTCCGGTCTCTCGCAAGAAGAAGGAACCGCATTGTTGGATGCCTTGCTAGAAACCACCCCAAAGACTGACATTGCTTCCAAGTTGTATTTGGAATCCAAGAGATCGCTTTTGCTATTGAACGACTCTCCTGACAAGGAAACTCTTGCCTCTATTTACGCCCTGATCAAAACCAACAAGGAACTGTTGGATCAATTGATTCAAGATTCTCCGGATGTCATTATTGTCAATCGTGCGCACTACGAAATGACAATGTCGTATTACAAGATTGTTGGTCCACCAGAAGCCTTTTACGAAGAAGCCATTCGGTATCTCAATTATTACACACCCGAGGACAAGGATGCCGACAAGGCCAAGTCACAACAGTTGGCGGTCGATATTTGTCTGTCTGCATTGACAGGAGAGGGCGTTTACAACTTGGGACAAGTCGTTAGCAATCCCATGTTGTTGGCCCTCAAGGAGACACCAGATGCTTGGTTGATGGAACTCCTGGAAGCTTGTGGCAATGGACAAGTTACGGAATTCAAGGAACTGGTATCCGTAAAGTATCCTGCTCAAATTGCTTCCCAGCCAGCTCTCGTCAATATGGGAGTACAAATGCAAGAAAAAATGACCCTCCTCGCACTGGTCAAGATGATTTTTGAACGACCTGCCAGCGAACGAACTGTGGATTTTGCCACTATATCCAAAGTGTTGCAAATTTCCGTGGATCAAGTGGAGTGGGTCATTATGCGAGCCTTTTCGGTCAAGCTAATGGAAGGAAGTATGGATCAAGTGGATGAGATTGTACATGTCACGTGGATCTTGCCCCGTGTCTTGGACAATGGACAAATGTCGGCTTTGGCCAATCGATTTGGGGAATGGGCCGTCAAGGTGGCAAAGACCAAGGAAAGCATGCAAGCGGATGGTGGGGCATTGACTCAATAAAGAAACGAAAGAAGGAAACTAGGATTGTTGATGACGATGCAAGAATAATAAATAACAGACGAAATAAACAGAAAACTTTTAAACAGAAAACTTCTAAACCAAACTATTCTTTACGGAAATATTATTCAAAAGTACCACAACATTCTCAGCCGACGCTTGTTCGATCTATTCCATTCCATTATTATGTTGTGTCATGCTTAAAATAATTTCTGTACTTTACTTCTTGATGAAATGTCCAATGAGTAATACCCATACCAAGTAGTACAAGAGATACCATAGCCATGAAACGTTGAATTTGACAAATTGCTTGTAATTCTTCTTCCCGATACATGTTCTACATTAGTAGAGTGACACATGATTCACAGTGAGATGGTGAGTCAGACGATGAAAGATCAGAAAGATGACAAAATATGTATGTCAAGCAATAGCAGTACATCTAGCTACTCACCCCATCCAAACGCAGTAATGGTCATATCCCTCAATACAGACATCGCATTGCGTACAATGGGCTCCATCAGGTGGTTGAAAGATATTACAGAAATCACACCATCGCCATTGTCGGGCTTGTTCTTCGTCCAACGTCTCGGGAATGGCTTGATAGAAACACATTCCTGGATCTCGAAAGGCAACATCCACCAGCCGATAAGTACAAAAACAATAGAAACCATAACATGTCAAAGTCGTCAAAACACCAATGGTCAAGGCTCGTTGCACAATCAAATGAGTTGCCACACAAATCAGCAACCAAACGCAAAAGGGACCCATGGGTTGAGGACCCAGGACTCCCCATGGAGCGGATTGGTCATCGTTGAAATAATTTTCGGGAAACAATATTGTCATGTTGCCAACGGTTTGAGGTTTTATCAAACCATTGAAATATTCTTTGCTGACGGCTTGCATTTTGGCGTGTTTCGTATTGTTGTTGTTGTTGTTGTTGTTGCTTTGGCTAGAAGAGGGGCCTCCTGGAAGAAGAGATTCCGTATCATCCACATGCTCATCTTCTTCCATAATTTCCAAGGGTTCCATATTCGTGCTACCGGCCGTCAAGGAAGCAGTGGCTGTACTCATTGTCTCATCGCCGGAAGAGGATGGTGGTGGTGGCGGAACCGGTTTTCCAGTGGCAAGACCTGATGGTAGCGGTGGTGGAGCTGGGATTCCTACCACTGGCGTTCCGTTGGATGCACTCATGATAGCTTTGTCGCTTGCAATCAATATATTTGAAATATAATTAATCGATTGCTGCTAAACTATATGAATCCCTATTGGTGAGCTCACACACACAAGAGGTACTGACAGTAGAGAGAGAGAGAGAGAGAGAGAGAGAGAGAGACTGTGATGATGATGAATGATGATGTTGTGCCAAAAATGTCTGGACTTGATTTTCGTCGAATGAATCAAAGTACTTCAACAGTCTCGATAGAGATCGATGTGGTCGAACCATTTGCCCATTACATACTAACTGTACATCGATTTGACTATAGCTAGAGAGGCTAGAGTTCAGAAACAGTATACTACCGGAAGCGATATCCAATGCTCGTATCGTACAGAAGAGTTGAGACTAAAAAGAATCTACCATGTACTTCAAGCGTTGACGCCGCACATATGAACATAAATCTATACCCAATTATCGAAAATGCTACAGCAACTGGCTGCATTTCCATTTCCAGTCTATGCAACGCGCTAAAATAATATTAGTACTGTAGTTGTTTTAAAAAAATTTGCGAAAATCTGATGGTAATTGATGTTGAAGGAATGCATGAACCTGTTCTTGGGGATAGTGTTAAACGCAGGGCCCAGAGCAACACTTTCTAAAATTATTTATCGATTACGGTGCAGTTTTTCTTGTAGAGGAGTACTATTCGTGCTTCACAGTGATGTTTCTCTCGCGCACAAAAATCATCGAGGTCTATGCTGATTGATCGATTCAGGAGGGCCTGGGGTGCAATCACTACTGAATGTAGTACACACAATCTTTTCACCGGTGCTCTTGTTCTCAGCTTCCTTCTGTTCCTCAGACTTGGTGGCTTCGTTGACCATTTCACGCACATCTGTGATCTTGTCACCGATCTTTTCAGTGATGCTCTTCTCTGCTTCTTTCTGTTCCTCCGTCTTGGTGGCCTCGTGGACCTTCTCACGCACGTCCTCACTCACGTCTGTGATCTTGTCAGCAAGTTTGTCAGTAGTAGTGGTTGGCTCTACTTCCTTCTTTTCTTCAGTCTTGCTGAATTTCTCGCAGACACCTGCAATCTTGTCACCAATCCATTCAGTGGTGGTTTTGTTCTCTGCCTCCTTCTGCTCCTCAGACTTGGTGGCTTCGTTGATCTTCTCACGCACGTCCTCACTCACGTCTGTGATCCTTTCAGTGATGGTCTTCTCTGCTTCTTTCTGTTCCTCCGTCTTGGTGGCTTCGTGGACCTTCGCACGCACGTCCTCACGCACGTCTGTGATCTTGTCAGCAAGCTTGTCAGTAGTGGTGGTTGACTCTACTTCCTTTTGTTCTTCAGTGATGTTGGCTCCGCTGAACTTTTCGCTCACATTATCAATTCCTTGCTTGGCTGTGTCGATAGCACTATCGAAGACGTTTCCATTTTGTTTATCGTTAGGAGCCATGATTTCGTTTCGTTTTGTTTCGAGTTTCCTGTATACTGTATTGCGTTTGTGGTGTCCAACGTTTTGGGATTGTGAGGTTCATTCGTAAGATACTACTGTACATGACAACTGGATGATTGATGGATTTGTTCGCCCTTCTTCGTGTCAAGAATCGAACGAAAATCTCAGACTCAAAGCTCAAACGGGACTTGAACTAATTCACGACTCATGGAGTAGTACGTATAATTGGTACATGTGTATCTACTTTAGCCGATAGAGATTGCAAAGATGAAGCCCCATGTCATCTTGAATAAATGAATCATCAACGCAGAACCCAATGACTTCTGGTCTGACAGTAATGTAATCAGCAAGTCTACTTAATCAACAATTTGCCATTAGGGACCTAGGCTACTTTGTCTGCTATTGAGATGCTCATGCATTTACATGGTAAACCATTTGACGCTGATGCATTCATAGTGTTGTACTAGAGCCTACATTGCTTTTACTGATGATACTACACCTTTTATCGTTGTTGTTGACAATGAGTCACGACATGCATGAATCCTCGAATTTTACCAATTTGTCTCTAGTCTATTTGCTAGTGAAATACTACTTTATCTTTGCACTCTGGTACGCTTAATCCGCAGCAATTTGAACGTGTCGACAAGGAATCAAATCAGTTTGTACATCTTTTGAACACGTGAATTGCTACTGATGAAAACACATTGAACATGGTGGCGTTGAAATGAGTCGCAGTGCTTCGTTTCAGAGGCAAGAAATTAAGCCCCATAAATAAACCTAAGTACACGCATCTTGGGCCGCGGGAAGCTGCATAGTACTGTAGCGTGGGAGCAAAACTAACAGCGGTGGGTCCTGGAGAACACGATACGATACTATCTTGTGAAGAGAAACATGACAGCCTATTGTCCCCAACTATTTCGGGGCACAATTTTAAGAGTTCCCTCGAAACAAAACGTCATTGACCGACTATGATGATGGCTTGATCAGTGGAGATCACATCTGCCTGGTGGTCAGCTTCCCTAATCTGAATACAGCAGAAAGAACAGCAAACGAAACAACAGTCAACAATATGGTGTCATTTTGGGATTTCAGAGTTCTACTTGTTGGGATCATTTTCTTTGTCTGTGAACATGCAACGACGAAAGTATCTGGGTTAAGTCTTGTCGTTTGGATCAGTTCTAGAAAGAATAATGCGGTTATGGTAGGGCGGGAGCTTTGCAAATTGCCAAGATTACAACAACAATCGATGCTATCAATGATTGGTACTGGATTTTCTTTTGAAGATGGTGAGCAGATTTTGGTGAGTGTTCAGAAACCGATGGGAATGGTCTTGGAACAAGACGACAACGAAAGTGCCAAGATTGTGGTGACCGAGTTGGATCCCTCTGCAAGCGCGGCAAGGGCTGGAATCCAAGTAGGAGATGTATTAGTTGCGGTTCAAAATACCTCTGTGGAACAAGTCGATTTGGACAGCGTCTTAGGCTTTATTCAAAATGGTCCCCGAGTCATGAATTTGCGGTTTCAACGACCACAACAAGGCTGAGGGTATGGAGCACAGTACCATATTTAGCGGCAAAAGTCTACGAAAGGCATTGACGTGCTGATTTGACACGAATCATCCATGAGCTATGGCGATTTGTTTGTGAACACATCTGGGTTCGCCTCTGGGGACCAGTGAAGGTAACAGCATGGGGGCACAAAGAGGTTTACATGTGTGGTGGAAGAATGAAACAGGTTGACTAGACACCTGGGGCGACAAAAGCAGAGAAAATAAGCATTATTTTTAAGTGTTAAGGCAAATTATGCCCAATGGGTTTCATGGGTTTCATTTTCTCCACTTGAAGTTCTGGAAATTGCAGTCTTGGCGAAAGAAGCCTCCAACTCTCTTTTTCTTCGCTTCTTCTCGTCAATCGCAGATGAGGGTTCGTAGGATTTTGCCACTAGCTGCAAGCCGTCCCAATCCTTTTTCGCCACCAAATTATCAATCTCTTTTGCAAAGGGTGTATCGAGAGCGGAAGCTCGCATAGTTGCTTCCATTGAAGTTGCCGATTGAGCCGAGCTGGTATTCGAGCTATAGCTTGATGTGTCGGACATATCCACCAAAACTCCACCAGTGACACCGACTGCTGACCATTCTCCCATATTATAAGGAGTTGGAACAGTTTCTTGGGCAGCAGCATTAAATTGAGTATCAGGTTTGAACGACACCCCACTCCTTTTCGCAGAATCTTGCGGAGACAGGCGGAGATTTCCAGAACTAGGAGGCGAAGATTCTTTCGAGGCAGACCCTGTGCTACCGGTAGTCCTTTGTGATCTGCGTTTCTCTTCTTCTTTTGTGTAGCTATCATCCCCCGAGGGTTCACCTGGTTTCTGTGACGAAGTATACGTGTGAGTTCTCGAAGTTTCGGAGCCATTGTGGAACATGGAGTAGGCACCAATGGACTCACGCGTTGATTCGAGAACAAGTTCGGTTTCATCATCTCTTGGAGGTTGGTTTGATCTGTTTTGAGGCAAGGTACGGGAGGACGACTCGTTTTTATGTGTGCGATCGGACATTACCCGCACGCCACCAACGCCATCGCCAATAAGAGCTCTGCCAGCACTGGCCTTGAATTTATTGGCCATCTTATCAGCTTTACTGCCAAGAGCCTCCACATCATCGCCGTTGACAAGATCGTCTAAAGCGGACTCTGCCCCGATAGCTTTCGCATGATCATTCACCGACGACGTTGGCAAGCCATTTGAAGTCTTGTTTGTGTAGTCCACTTGTCCTTTGTTCATAGGGCTGAATGACTCCAACGGTCCAGCGGCGATTTCAGAAGTGAGATCCACCTCCGTCTCATCTTCATCGTCGGGCATCTTCCATACCTGTAGCTCTGGTATTTGTGCTGGTACTGGTATCTTAGTTGCACCGTACGAGAGTCGTGATGCTCTGGGACTAGCGAGGGCACGAACCGTTCTTTGGCTGTTCGCATACTGCTCATTCATGTAGTTTAGTTCACGAAACCTCTCTTGCATTCCACGGATTTCAATTTCTAGTTCGGTATTGTGCGTCAAAGTCTCCCGTAGCTGTATCTGTAGATTATCCAGCAGTTTCTGGTTCTCGAACTATCATGAATACAAAGGAAAACAGTTGTAAGCAGTGAATGCTTCAATCGAAGAAAAGACTGCATCTTGCTCACCTTGGGATGTTGCAGCAATAGAATTCCAGAAGTTGTATGCTCTGTTTCCTTCCGAGATCTTGTCTCCATGTACTTGTGTTTTCGTACATACCAATCTTTCGGCGCGAAAATGGCCAATCCAGCACAGACCGCACTGACCGTAATGACAAAGGCGAGGGAGCTAAAGACGACAGTTGGATTGTCCCGCGAGATGGCAAGAACAGAACCTCCAATCATCCAGCTTTCGAGAAATGGGAGAAGTGACAGAGTCAACCACTGAAGTTCATTGTACTCCAACACCAAAAATCGGCACTTCAATGCTCGAACAATTCCAATGGCCAGGATGAACATGTTCAAGAAGTAGAGCACGCTGGCAAAAGCAAAGGATGTAAACTCTCCTCCCCGGCACATGCCATATGTTTCGACAGTACCATCTGGGTAGATCATACCGCCGTCCAATTCCTGCCGAACCCATCGCAACGGATCGGAAACGGTCCAAGCAGCAAGGATGGCTCCATTCAAAAAGAGTAATCGAGAAGTGAGCTGTGCATCAGTCCCTAATGACACAAATAGAACTTTGTTATTCTTTGGATCCCTGAACATCTTTGTGCATTCTTCAATCTTGCAGTATACAGAAGAGTAAAAGATGGTGAAACCGACAACATACGCCCATGGGCCAGCCATGCATGTAAAATCCAGAAAATCTTGATCAAACATTTGATCGTCCAGGCCGATTAAAAGAATAGTCACTCCCATGAGAAGCACTCCAACGGCACACTGAATCAACAGAAATGGCTGGAATGCTCTCATCACCGGATTTTTTCGGAACAAAATTGTCCAGAAAATCAATGAAATTGACGCAACAATAATGAGTCCACTCATTCCCCAGGCAACAGTCCGATAATCTTCGTCAATGTAGTTGAAAGCTTCGCGCGGGGCTGTCAAGAAGCCGATGGAATCTTGATACGACGACGTGAATTCGGGTTGGCTGGCAATTAGGTTTTCGACTCTGGCAGTCATTCTTGTTGCAGCCTTTTCCCTTAGGCGCATTGATTCTTGAAACTCTAGATTGGGTTTGGTATCAATGTCCGACATGTATGAAGAGACTTCTTCGTCAAATATATTGAAGAATGCATCGGCATTTGGCATCCGTAGATGCATTACAGCATTCAGAGAATTCATGGCTCGACTGCTCTCAGTGTACTCGTCAGCAATAGTTGGTGCTACTCCACCATCATTAATCCATCGATATGCTTCCGTATGTTTGTACTGGTATGAGTCCAACAGGGTTGTTCGTTCGTTCGGCAAGACGTCTTGAAACGACTGCGACTGAAGGTAGGAAAAGAAATCGGCCATCTCTCGGTTGTTGGCGGTTGAGTTGGACACTCCCGATACCCAGCTTCCAAAGGCAGAATACGGTGCTCTATTCACGATACCGATATCATCGTATTGTTCCCCAAATGGACACAAGGAGGGAGTGCAATTCTCCAGTTGCCCAGTCACTCGATCCATGACTATGGGTGATCCTGGTGTTGGGGCCACTCCAATGTCTGGACTCCCAGTATACGAAAAAATACCGCCATCCCAAGTATACGTCAAGGCACATTCTCCTTGTGAAAATCTCCCACCCTGGCAGTCTTCTGTTGCTTCGTGGCCATGTCCAGAAAATAATCTTAGGGTTTCTTCCATGGCATCCCCCCAAACCGGCTGAGAGGTGATTGGGTCAAACAAAAAGCCCGAGGATGACCCCATGGTTTGTGTCATTGTTGACAACACAAGAAAGGCCCAGTCAGCATTGTTCCGAGTTCCGCAAGTGCTGACACAGCTACCTTGAAATTCAGTGTTCTGGTCAAAGTACTGTGTAACTTGTTCGTATTCGTCCCACGTCCGGGGGACTGTCACATTATGCTGCTCCAACAAGTCCTTTCGATAAAACATGCGGGCGATGTTGCCATCCAAAGGCATAATCTTGGTGGCATTACCATAGAGAGAGTATCGTTGAAAGAAGGGCAGGACATCATGTGTTGTTGAAGTGGTGAGGTAATCGTCCAGTTCCCACAACTCATCGTCCAATGAGCCGACTAATTGAGAAGGAAACATGGCGCCATCCCATGGGTCATCGTCGCCCAATAACAAGCGCTGTTGCAGGGCTCGAAAGGGATCTTCCTGGTCATCGCCTCGGTTGACAACTTCCACCTGAACAAGAACATTAGGATTCAATTGTTGGAATCCAGTTATGTGATACTGTAGATAATTTACAAACTCGGGAGGTGTAACAACCTTAAGAATTGAAGTTTCTGTGTCCTGCGGTGAAGTGCTACTGCAGTTGGAACAGTCACAGTTGTCATCACTTGTGGTAATCGCAAACGAAGGCGAAGGTGAAATTTCAGCAGATGGAAGAGAGGATGGTGAATCGGTCGGAATGGCTGTCGTTGGTGCTGAGCTGGGAATTTCCGTGGAGTTTAAATTAGGGGCAACCGGTGCCGCTGTGGGAGAGACAGAAGTTGCATTGTCACTCATCTTCCGTATGTATCTGATGTTTGATGATTGATTCACGTTGAACTTTGTAGCTGAATCAAATCAATCAATCAATCAATCTATCAATCTAACAGAAATGACTTACTCCTTAGTTCCTTTGACTTAAACTTAGGAGGGTCAATGTTGTTTTGTAGCTATATGCTTCCACTTTCGTCGTTACAGTGTTCAAGCAAGTTACAGTATCCAAGCCAAACGGAGTGTTCCGTGGTTGAAACAGGTTGTCGTTGATTCGAGGCCAAGACTGGCATTATGATTTTTCGTGTGTGCCTGGAGAGAGATCTTGACAAAAATACTTAACGGGAACGCGTAGGCCTGGTACATGAAGAACGTAGGAACTCGGAAGATGAGACACTTGTGAAGCCCAAACTGAAGACGAAAAAGAAAGACCAACAGGTTATCTGATTTTATCTGTCAACAACTGGAGCCTCCCATCGACAGACATAGAAGATAAGCTACATCATCGACTGCACTTGACCAAACCTACAATACATACGCATCCAGGCATCACCTCTGAGTATCTGAAACACTCAGCATCATCATGGTGTCTCAAAGCGTGGAGACTCGCAGATTACAAACTGACACGATAGAGACTTCTGATGGTGATGATTCAGATACGAGTTGTTGTGCAACCTGTTCCTCAGCTCCTCAGCAATATGTACGGATAGCCACTTGGCCAACAGCTGCGGAAACTCTAAAGTCGTATGCAAACATGTACAATTCTCTTCACAAAGATGCTCTCAAGATTTTAGTGGATACCATTCCTTCGATTCGCGATTTGCAAGATTCCATTGAACTTACCAAAACATCTCTGGCCATTGACAGTCATCCCCGAGTAGATGGATATGTGGTACCGCCCATGCTGCTTGGAACATTATCAGAAGAACTGGCCTCTCTTGATTTTGCCACGGAAAACTACTTGCCCATCTATGAACATTTGACGACTGTGGATGGGACAACTGCAGCGATTCCACTCTTTGCCGGAAACCAGCTATTGTTGTTTTACAAAAAAGACTTGCTAGAAGCCAACGAATTGGGCGACGAAGCACCACCAAATACTTGGGATGAATTGACAGAATTTGCCAAAAAGCTAGATGGTGATGGTTCTGTGACAGGATTATGTCTTGGACGAATGAGCGAACACGCCTGTCGTCAACGATCCAGTATAACTGGAATGCCATGTCACTCTCAAAGCATGTCATATTGGAGCATGGTCCTGGCTTCATTAGCACAAAGTGCAGGGGCATCTTCAGGCTGGTTGTTCAATGTCAAATTGAATGGGAAAATTGTGCCACTGTTGAATCAAACTTTGCAACCAGCCTTGAATATCATTGAGGAACAGCTCCAATATGGTGGCGCTGATGCATTGGAGAGTGATTCCTTGGATAACCTGAAAGGTTTCCGACAAGGGGCTTGTGCGATGACGATATTGGGCCATCATCCGCTCGATTTATTAAAGGATCCCAATGTGGGTGTTGCATTGCTTCCGGGTTCTTCGATGGTGCTGGACCGTCCAGCCGCTGCCTTGAGAGAGTGCACCTACCGCAGCTGTCCCCATGGTCGAGTCAATCCCAACAAACAGGGAGAAGGAGTGAATCGAGCTCCGATTGGAGCCTTGGACATTGCCATGGGGACCATTTTGGATGCCAGCAATCATAAAGGCGAGTTGAAGGAGTTCTTTGACTTTGTGGAGGAGCATCGCTCGTTAAATGATGAGATGGGCGGAGGACGACAGCCACTAACGTATGACGAGTTGAGAGCTCTTACCGAAATTGATCCTGACTTGCAAGCCTACGCTGGTCTCATTGAAACTACGACAAGTGATCCAAATGTGGCTTGGCCATTGACGATTCCAGGCTCGTTTGATCTCTTGTCAGAATTGGATCAACAAGTCTACAACTATTTGGTCCAGGACAATCACACCGCTGACGCAAGCAAGGACTTAGTCCGGAAGGTAGACAGGGCGTGGGGTATCCGAATGCAGCAACAAGATAGTCGAGTGCACGCTACTCCTTTATCCATCCTTTACCAAAGATCATTGCAGGGCGTCGTGACAGAAGAGAAGATCGATCTGTACATTGGCATTGGATTCCGTCTTGTTTGCTGGGCGATGGGTGGTTTTGCCTGTCTTCTTTCAATAGCTTTTGCCATTTGGGTGTATGTGAATCTAGATCAGCGGGTGGTGAAAGCGTCGCAACCTCTGTTCTTATGGTTGGTTTGTGCAGGGGCGTTCATCATGGCTTCCTCTATATTCCCATTCGGAATTGAAGACGATATTGTTTCCTATCGCGGAGCTTCCATTTCGTGCATGTCCAGTATGTGGCTATATGCACTTGGATTTGTCATGATGGTTTCCGCACTTTATTCCAAGATTTGGCGAATCAATCGGGTACGTGCCTCACTGCAACTCTGTTCTGAAAATTCACTAGCATTTCTCTTACCAGTTTTCTTTTCTCGGGCAGATCTTTCGATACGCTCACAAAATTCGGCAAATCAGAATCGAGAAAAAGCACATTATGGTTCCATTTGGTTTTCTATTTTCCATCAACTTTTTATTGCTGGTAATTTGGACAATAGTAGATCCATATGAATGGATCCGTGAGGAGGCAAATCCAGGGTTCACGAATGGATTTTGTAACTCGGATCACTACTGGGCCTTCATCGCCATGTTAGTGTTCGCCAACTTGCTTGTCGCCTGCTATACTCTGATCCAAGCGTTCGAGTGTCGAAAATTGTCAACTGAATACGGAGAAAGCAATTGGATTGGTTTTTCCTTGGCCTTCATTGTTCAAGTCTGGTTGATTGGGCTTCCCATTCTGCAACTGACCGGAACCACACCTGACTGGCTCTTTCTTACAAAAACATGCATTGTTTTCTTTAGTTGCGTGAGCACCTTGCTCTGTGTATTTATTCCCAAGATCCAGTACTTACGGGATGAGGCAACAAAAGAAGACAACGAAAGACAACTGAGTGGTAGTGGAAGAACTAGCATGTTTGGGGCAGTGGTGAAGCCCTTCCAATCCGGCTTTGGAATGATTCGCATGGGGTCGCAATATATGATCTCCCGATCCTCGCAACACAATACTTCCGAAAACATGGAAAAAAGGAAGAACAGGACTTCGGGAGTGATTGGCATTCGAATTGTTCGAGCTTCCGGAGAGTACGCCCAAGATATGGAAAAATTGCAAAAGAATCTCAAGACTGCGGAATCCCGAAGACGAATGCTGCAAGACCAACTGGAAGGCCTTCAGGAACAATTTGAGCAGTACATCATATCCCATCATCCTCATGGTGCCCACGTTGGGGCCCATATGGATGCACTCGCAAACTCAGAAAGAACTAAGTGAATAATGTAAAAATTAGTGTGACAAGATTCGTTTAAGACTAGCATTGATATGATACAACTCCACTGACGCAGGACTTGCAGATTGGTTTGTACAGCGTTCATGCAGTGATTGAGAAAGATTATTTTGTGCGACAATCAATCATTCAATCCAACGTTCTGAAAATTGGCTGCGAATTGGGGTTCATGTCAGGCAACCACATGAAACGTAACCTTGTGTCTGCTCTCATTCATCACAAGGGGCCTAGCCTCGAATCGACGCTCACAAGCAGTCCTCACAAAAGAACATAGTACCATTCAACTCAGCTGAAGAAATCATCACCGTCAAGATCGCTATCATCGTCGTTGTCAAAACTGGAGTAGAGCACCGCTCCCATTATTCCTTTTCTCTCTCCAGGTACGTGGTCGCTCATGATAAGCTGATCTTTGAGGTCCTTGGCACGACCCATCAAGCTACCTCCTTTGCCAGAGAGCTGACGCATCAGCCCAGCTCCACGAAGTGGGTTCCTTATTCTCACTGGTGAAAGACTTCTCAATCCGCGACGCTTGGAAGACTTTGCTGAAGTCGCAGATGATTGGTTTGACATTAGAGATTGGTCATCTGATGAATTTTCTCCGCCCAACAAGGCTTCATCAGTGTTGCCATCCGACGACTCTTTCCCTGCTGAGGATCTCTTCTTTTGCTTTCGTTTCGATTTAGCAGGGAGATCTCCAGAATCACCCTTGCCCTTCTTGTCCTTCTTCTTTTTCTTTTTTTTGGTGATGTCAGAGTCTATCAGGATTCTGTCATCAAATGATTTTGTTTTCCTATGAGTTTTTGTCTTCTTGGGTCGCGTTCTGCTGGATGTAGGCTTTGCTTCCTCCTCTTCTTTTGCTGGTTTCTGCTGCTCGGCGGCTGCTTTTGGGGTGTCGTTAAGCTCACCACTTGACAGACTCACATCGTCCTCTATTGCCAATGCATCCAATGAAACGGAATCTGGTGGGCGTGCACTCATTGAGAGGTCGGCAATGGATTTTTCGTTGCCATCGTCGTCCACAAAACTCAGTTCCATCCATGACTTGTCATCTTCAGTTCTTTCGACAATCGAAATATCCTCTTTTTGACTATGTGATGAGACTTTTGGAAAAGCTGAATCCTCCATCTTCCGAAGACAACAACGAATTCAAATCGTTCCTTGCGAACTCATCGAGATTATGGAAGGTCGAGTTTCTACCTACCGGTATATTCGGCATCGGTTTTCGGTGACTTTCATTCCTGTTTCTCTATTCTCCATTGATTCTTCGACCCATCCGAGTAAAATTCAACCTGATACGGGTTTTGAACAGAACTGAACAAATACGTACAAGATTGGGTTGTATGCATAGTCTCGAAACGATTTAAAGTGGAGCGTCATATGAGGAAAATACGGCAAGAATTCGAAGCTCTTGAGATTTTGCAAGTGAAAGTAAACGCTATTAGACTATTCGGCACAGTTTTTGTATTTTCAAACATTTGAAACTCCACATGGTTCAAACAAGCTTCACTCTTCTCGTCTCCACGTGCCATCTATAGATTCAACTCCTTTTGATACTCGTTTGAGGTAGGCCGTTTCGTCAATTCTCGAACAGCAATCGTAGCATATGAGGACGAAGGTAACGTGAAGCCTACAACCATGGCCACTTTCAATTGATTATGCTCTTCACTCTTCGGCTTTATTTCAACATTCTCATCATTTAACTTCATTAAGTCCGTTTGTAGCAGTGGCTGCAAAGGATCGAAATATTCCTTCACGTCATAATCGAAATCCTTTGGACGACAGAAGATCTTGCGGTAGTCTCCATAGATTGCCAGATCTTTGTCCTGTATCTTCTTGAACATATCAACTGTAACTCCGAGCTCGGACTCCATTTTGGTCTTCATGAACTCGCCGAGCTCGTTCTCTGGAAGAACACTCTTTGTGCCGATCAATGGGGCAACAATGTCGTCGAGCGTATATGTGCCTTTATCAATGTCTTCTTGCGTTATTGTCTTTGTGTTCCCTCTGCCTTCACCAAGTACCAAATCCCCAACCATGACATTGTCCTTGTCCATCGACGAAACCCTGAACGAGGCCGCTTTGTTCCAAATCAAACTTTGCACTGCGTGGACAAACATCATACGCAAATTCTTTGGAATGCAGCTAAAGGCCCGCTTGTAGTCCAGTGGTTTCCTTGACAAACTTTGCATAAGTGATGTTTCCGCAGTCATAAAACGATTCAATGACCTAATGACTCGTTTGGCACATTCTGCTTCAGCTTCTGCGGACTCGCCTTTTTCAAAGCGATTCTGCCAATCTAGGCGACCTTCAGCGGCATCTTTTCTGTCACCAGGCTTTGGTTCCATGATAATGTCGGCTGCCTTCTTGTAGTCTCCTTGAAGCACGGCTACACCGACTTTGTGTGTATCGTTGTATTTTCCAAAACGTTGAGTTCCAAAGTAGTTCACAAAACCCTTCTCTTTCATTGACTTTGCGGCTTCCAGAAGTTGTTCTTTCTGAACACTGTCATCATCAGTCCTTTGAACGTTTCTCAGAACAATGTCGAATCGATTTCCCGTCAGCCTTCCCAACCGTAGTTCTTCTGAGACATATTCAAAGTTTCCAACTTGCACTACACTGTATCCCCGTTGATTTGTGTTTCCACCACCTGAAGCGTTCCGCCGAGACGCAATTTGTTGTGGCTCGATGCGATACAACGTGCAGAATTGTGTGGTGATCCCTCGTTTGTCTTTCATTCCCGCATATCCGATCCGTGCCTTCCCCCCCTTGCGACTCAGATCTTTCACCGCTGTAGTAGTATCCACATTTTCTATTTATTTCCGAATTGGAGTGAGGTTGAGTGGGAAATCTACGATATACGGTACAACCTCAGAATCCCAACAAACAAAACATACCTTTGTAGAGCACAAACTGAAGAAAGTCAGGGCGATCCTTTGGCCATTCCATTTTTCGCTTCTTCTTGCGCGGATCTGCAAATGTCTTATAGTTGGACATTTCCTTCTCAAACTTGCAGTGCCAAATACGTATGTGACCATCAGCGCTATCACTGCGAGCACAAGGAACAGAGTTGCGTACCCATTCATGAACGAATCGACGTTGATCCTTCTCCAGAGCCGGCATGGTGATGTATTTTTCTTCGCAGTCCTCTTTCTTGTTATGTGTCTGTAGGATATGCATTAGCTTTTCTGCTATGGATTCGTCCTTGATCATGTCCACAAGCTGAGATTGCAACGCTGGCCAATCATACGGTTTTCTCCCACTTGATACTTCCTCTCTCTTGGCTTCTTCCTTCTTGGCTTCTTCCTTTGCTTTAGTTTCAGTTTGTGATTGATTAGAGGAGGTTGGTACTGTAGTATCTGTCAGTTTCGCGATCTTTCCATCAAGACCCACTTCGTGAACCAAAAAGTCTGCGTATCTTGCCTTCATCACAGCAGAGAATCCTTTGCCTGAAGTGAGGTACTCGGAAATACCAAGCGTTCTTTCAGTTTCATCGACCTCAGCACACTTCTCAACGAGACAATTTTCTCCTTTGTCATCTGCTTCGTCATCTTTTGGCTGCGGATCCGACGACATCTCTGCCTGTTTTTTGTGGAGATTGTTGATGTTCTCGTCTTCGTAGATGCAATTTGCCCGATTGATTGGTTGGTCGAATAGTTCGACTAACTTGTGTCTGGCCATCATCAGGACTACCGGTATCCCGAAACTACTGTAATTTGTCAAACTATACAAGTACTACCTGGCACCGTGCGATGGTACTCTTTGCTTTCTGTGCATCGCCATTAGCTAATTAGTTCTGCCTTTACACTACTAGATTACCGCCCACCAAATCATCAATGTCGGTAATGATCCAGTTGCCATGTATATTTCTGAAATTTCCAAAGCTTGAGTCCTTCGCCGTCTTGACAATCATTTCCATCCGAACAAGATGAGGGACGTCCTTTTCTCCGTCGTCTTCGTTTCCCTGTACTACTGTTCCGCTAGCTGCATCTTTCACATAAAATCGTTCCTTGCACCAGACCAATACTTGTGCAATAACAGTGCTCTCCATTTTCCCAGTTTCGAGATGCTCCTTTCGAAGTTGGGCAAGATCTGCTTGTTTCTCCACCGCACTCTTCTCTAGCATGCTCTTGTAGAATGTCAATAAACTTGGATTGCTAAGAATGTTGGATCTTGAAATGTATGGGATGCAATACAGTGATACCAACTCAGCTGAATATGGTTTGCTCTTTAAGAAGATTTCATTTCCGTCTGCAAGATTACTGGCAGATGACTGGTACAGATTTAGCAACTGCTTCTCCAAAATAAAGTCCAGCTCTTGCAAGTCTGGAGTTTCCGATGATTCTTCTTCTGGTTTGCTGAGCGTTTTCTGAAAATCAATCTCATCACTGACATCTTTTGGATTTGGTTCATTAGCAAGTTTCAATAGCAAGCTGTTCACTCCCTGCACAAAAGCCCAAGAGACAGACTCGGTCAACTCTGCCTTGAAGTGGCTGAAAAAGAGTAGCTGCCAAATGGGAAGGTCCAGAAACATGTACGAGGTTGTCATGGCATTCAGCGTAGAATTTCCCAAAGGAGTGTTCGCAGTACTCAGCAAGTGGCCTTTGGTCTCATGTTCCTCTGTTCCTGGGATAAATCGAGCAAGCTTGTCTTCTTCGTGTCTCCAGGGAAAGATTGGAGTGCTTGTTGTAGCTTCACCACCTTCGTCGGACGAACTTCCAGCAGCACTTTCCACCTCATTCCCGCTGTCGGACATTTGAGACAAGAAACGACATTTCAATGCAGAATTGGGACGATGCTTCTGTAGGAGTGATTTGCCGACCAAGAGTCGATTGGCTGCCAGCATTCTCTATTTTTCTATTGATCAAAAGCAACAGGAATTCCAATAGTCATCGAGCTTAACAACAGTCGACCTCGCTTTTCTTTCGTTTGGATGCGTTTGCGTTGTTGCTATTGGTCAACACTTTCGGATGGACTCCTTCGACTTGATGGAATGAATTCTGACATCGAAATCTGACGACTCGTATGACTCCCGACATGATCTGGATTTTATTTTTTGCTTGGGAAACATTTCATTGACGACGAACGAAATCCGTAGTGCTCTTTTGTTCAACAAAACCATGGCATCTACAGAAGACCAAGATATCATTCCCACCATCATTGCGTTGGCAGTGATTGGAATCACAATTCATCTCACAAATGCGGTAGGAATTCTGACTACCTTGATTGCCAAGCTAAACTTGAAGCGAAAAGCCATGCAAAAGGCTTCAGAAGATGCAGATGCCAGTGTTACTGGTGTCTTCATTCACCCCGGTAAGCCTTATTTGTCATTTAATATGTTTGGCTTTGGGAATAAGCCCTCATTGTCATTGTAATCTTCTACAGTCAAGTCTCTTCGAGCCGTATCTTTGCCACAAGCTCAACTGGACTACAAGGGTTTTCATGGGGACCGACGATTTATGGTGTGCTATCCAGCTCCTCGGTGGCAAGGAGATACGAGACACCGTTTTTTGACGCAAAGACAGTGCCCTTCGTTAGCGACGGTCGTGGCCAAATTGGACGAAGATAGTTTGGTGTTGGAATGTGGCGATCAGTCGATTGAAATTTTCACGGAAGTGGAGGCGGGCTCGAAACGACGTACCTTTGATGCTGGTATTTGGGACGATCAAGTGGCAGTCGAGGATATGGGAAATGAAGCTGCCAAGTTTTTGCAGGCCATTGTGGATGCTGACGAGGATTGTCGCAGTGGTGATGAAGGAGACTCTCCTGCCTCCAAGAGCCTGTTCCAGAAGGTCCGACTGGTGGAGCATTGCGTAAATGATCGAGAAGCACCTGCCAAATTTGTTCCCTCCAGTGCTAAAACTTGGTTGGGAAAACGCCCACAAGTATCACTGACGGATGGCTTTCCAATTCTCATTGCCTGTGAAGCGTCTTTGGAAGAACTCAACAAGAAGCTTAAGGAGGCTGGAAAGGATCCCATTTCCATGTCCAATTTCCGTCCCAACATTGTCATTAAGGGTACCAATCCCTTTGAAGAAGATAAATGGAAACATATATCTATTGGAGATAAAGTCTTTGCTATTGTCAGGGCTTGCTCACGCTGCAAACAGTCTTGTACAAATCAACAAACGGGAGCTGTCTCGACAGAGCCCATCGAAGTGATGAAGTCCTTTCGCGCCCTGGGAGAAAATGAAACGGACGTTTTCTTTGCCCAAAATGCAATCCCTCTCGGCACAGGAACGATCAAGGTTGGTGATGAGGTTCGAATCATTGACCGAGGTGATCCAATTTATTACTGAGAGTTTACCGTGGAATGTCGTGTCAGTACATACTGCCGTAGTAGTAATATGCTGTAGAGCTTTCAGACGACAAAACTGTATGTTGACCATGCATGCATCAAAATTTGTATTATAATACCTTTAGCAGAAAAATCGACTATGAAGAATGAGTCAATCATCTTATAGTAGCATGCTGATGGACGCATATGGATTCACAAAAGTTTGTCAGTCGAGCTCCATTCGAGATTTGTTGGAATTGTCGTTGTCATCATTAGCATCATCGTTCTCCTTTCCTGTTTGTGATGATGATGTTCGTGGTTTCAAACGCCGTTTGGTCTTTCCACTCGGCTTCAAAATTTGAAAGGAACAGCTAAGATTCTCATCAATGGACAGCATGCCCCCGGCATTGTCAAATTCGCCACAATAATTGGCGGCTGAAAACAACGTCACAAGCTTGCGGCCCGCAAAAAATTCGTATCCATCTTCGACCACTTGGTGCGCTCGGACAATCAAGTCCAAATCATGCTGCTCCAAAAACTTGTTGACCACGTCAATGCCAAAAACGTAGGATACTCCTCGATCATTGGATGCCCATCCCTGTAGTAGGTACAAAGAGGTAGAGATTTTGTTAGATGATTGATTCATTGCACCAATTGGGAACCAACCACACACACAGCTAACAAATAACAGTAATACGCACCGTAATTCCTGCATCGGGATCACTCCATAGTAAATCGCACATGATCCCTCCATCGGGTACATCGCACGGTCGTTGAATGTCGGCAATTTGTTGCAAACTGGAGAGTTCGGGACTCAATCCACCGTGCATACAAAGAATCTTTTCGTCCACCAAGGCCGTAATGGGAAAGCAATTGAAGACATCGGAAAAGACCTTCCAAAGCTTGATGGAAAACCGTCGTTTGCATTCGTCGTAAAATCCATAAATCCGGTTGATGGAGGCCGATTCGTGGTTGCCACGTAAAAAGAAAAAGTTTTCGGGATACTGAATCTTGTAACAAAAGAGCAGACATATAGATTCGATGGATTGTTTCCCTCGATCGACATAGTCCCCAAGAAAAAGATAGTTAGCACAGGGCGGAAAGCCACCATATTCGAATATACGAAGCAAATCGTTGTATTGTCCATGGATGTCTCCAATAATCTTGATGGGCGCTTCAAGCTCTAGCAACATGGCTTGCTGGAGGAGTATGGGCCGTACCAGCGTGCATAGCAACCTCACTTCGGCTTCGGATATGGCTGCCGAGGTTCCAGGTGGACTCCCTCGTACCGACAAGAGGCGTTGACATATCGCTCGGACTGGGACCAATGGTTGGGGAATCAATGGAAGCGACGCATCAGGTGCGTGGAGTCTGGAAATCTGCTGGTGGTGTCCGACGTTTGACATCATTCGAGAGTATGACTTCAAGGACTGCGGATTGTGATCCTGTTGATGCGGAGTTTCGACCTGCATGTGCTGCGGGGAATGCGGGACCGGGTAAACCTCCATCTTGGTGCAGACCGGACCTGGATGATAGATTCTGAAGATTAGATGGAACCAGTTTTACTTGGAATAGTAGAGAAACGTGATTCTTTTTTTTCTTCAGCTCTGTCTGTCTCTCTCTCTCTCTAAGGTCTAGTAGACATGTGTGGTTGGTGTATGAATGTATGTATTGGTGAATGGGGCTGTGCCAAGTGTGCCAAGTGTTGTCAGTGCTTGTAGCCTTTCTCCCACCGCCGGATCAAGGATCGTGATGTAAGCGTTTTGTCAGGAATGGTCGCTGAAAATCGTGAGAAAAGAGCCCGGGCGCGTCGACTTTCCGCTTGACAGGAATTTTTGCTAGACCAGAATTTGTTTCACTTAAATAGAATTGCCAACGCAACTTGAACAGAATTTTTTCTCTTGTAAGTGGGAGATGCCTGCGACTTTTTATAAGTGGAGAAATTGCCACTATTATGTGAAGAAATTGCCAGCGTTATACTGCGGTTACAATACCTAGCCGTTGCACATGCGATAAAAATAGAGACGCGGTTTGGCGCGAGTCTGATTTTTGCATCGTTGCATGAAAAAAGGAGCCATGGCACTGACATACAATGACGAAACTTAGTAACACTGCCAACAGCAAAATCAAGGTAGAAGAATCGTGGAGGACGGAAGAAAAAGAAAATGATACGCCCAAGAAGTTGTCACATGGAATTGCACCCAAGGGTTTCCATCGCAAGCGCGACAAGGAAGACTCAAGTGTCGTCAAGGTCAAATTGGAGAAACTCAAGGGAGACATTGAAACAAGCGTCCTGTCGCAAGGAATGCAACAACACGCACTTTCCCTAGAAACCAAACGAAAAGCCTTTCGAAAGAAAACAACGCTCAAGTCTTGGCCGTTGCAAGACTTGGCCATGGATCACTTGGATCATCTTTTGGGGAAGAATTCTTCGCAACAATTTCATGGTGGAGATCATTTGTTATCGGATTCCTCCAGTTCCATGGAATCCATGGAACACAACAAACGACGACTGTCTCCCAACGACAAAGCTAAAACAGCAACACCAATAGTGAAACAAGAAACGAACGATGAAGAAGAAACGACAACGACCTGTACAACAGACGACATCACCACCAACATGAATGAACCTCTATGGTCTCGAGAACCGCGAATCTTTGCCACGGAAAAGTCGCAGGGAAAACGAAAATACATCGTGGGGCATTTTGGCCGAGTCGCCGATTGGTATTGGCGCAAGGCAAATTCCAAACATTTGTACGAAGTGATTCGGGAACAGACTCCGTGTCGACTCTACTTTGATTTGGAATTTTCGAAAACTTACAATACCGATATAGATTCAGATCAATTACTTTTGGAGTTTCGTCAAGAGCTTGCGGCAGAGTTAATGACGCACTTTGAGATTTCCCTGGACGCACAGCAAATAATAGACTTGGATTCTTCGACGGACGCCAAATTCTCCAAACATTGGATTGTCGACACTCCAAATTGCTTGTTTGTAGATGCCCCAACGGTGGGACGATTTGTCAAGCGGTTGGTCTCGCGGCTGGCGGATGAAATGGCCACGGGGCATTTGGCTCAACGACAACCCGAACTGGCCAAGCATTTATTTGTCAAGACCAAGGAGGAAAATAAGACATCCTGCTTTATCGACTTGGGCGTCTACACACGGAATCGACTCTTTCGGTGTTTTGCCAGCTCCAAATTTGGAAAAAAGGCGACATTGGAGGTTTCTCGTTCCAACAAATATCCTCTACAATTACCACCCAAACAGCCACCCAAGAAAAATGCTAGTCTACAAGATTATATTGCAGCCAATGACTGGGAACCTCATGCGCGAGTCTTGGCCAAAACATTGGTGGTGCCATTGTCATTGCGGGGCGAAACAGACAAACCAAGCAAAATTCGCATACTAAGAGTAGAGGAACAAGCGGAGATGTTTCGTCAATACAAAGGCGCCGGCAGACCTCGGTGGAATGAGCGACACAATAGGCCCGTTCCCATTCGAACCAGTGCTTCCCCGGTTCCTTCGTTGGACGAGTATGTGAATACAGAACTGTCAAGTCGAGGAGGTGTGCAAGGTTCCATCCGTGTCTGGTCTATGGAGTTTGGTCCTCGGGATGTTCCGGTATCTATCACCTATCAGCTCAACAAGAATCGATATTGCGAGCTGATTGGAAGGTCGCACAAATCCAACAATGTCTTTTGGACCATTGACCTGGCGTCTTGGACTTGCATTCAAGGCTGCCACGATCCCGAATGTTTTGGCCGAGGGACTCCCACCCCCATTCCAGCAGATCGTTTGAAACCAATGCAAGAGGAGTTGCAACAGTGGGAAGAGGAACGCTTTGAAGAAGCCCTCCTGGCACTGAATTTGGAAGAAACCGATGATAACACAACAAAAGAAGACGAGGAAGACGCTACCGCTGCTTCTACTGATGTTATTACTTCTGAATCATCTAGCAATTTAAAGGCTGATGATCAAGTGGACAAGGAAGAAGTGGATAATTTGTTATCCGATGATGCTATACTTGATGCTGTCCTGTCCAACCCCGAACTATTTCCTTGAGTTATGATAGTTGGTTGTCTCTCTTTCTATACTATCCACCAACAGCACTTGACTTTTTACGGTTAAAAAAGTCAGCGTCAATGGTGACAATCTCATCGTCACCTTCCTCCGAGGTAGACTCACTTTCAGAGTCTTCAAATCCTTCAAAAACTTTTCGCATGACTTTTCTGGTGCATCTTACTTTTCTCAAGACAAGTCCCCCAACGTCGTACCTTCGACTTGCTGGATCGTCGTACAAGGTATCGAATTCACGGTTGCCATAAAAGTCTAATGCACCAGTATTGTAGTCTTCTACTTCCAGCACGATTTCACCCATTTCCCATGTCTTCTGAACATACTCCTCGCAAGCATCTAGCAACTTGGATCCCACTCCATATTTTCGAACAGCCTTTTTCACAGCCAAGTTGGTCAAAATAGGCCGTAAGGGAGGAAGAGGTTCATCATCATAGACTATCCTTCCTTTTCCTTTACCCAAACCATATGGTTTTTGCGTAATCTCGACAAAGCCAATAATCTCCCCCCGCACATATTCCATTCCCTCTACTGGTGATAGGTTTTGAACAGATTCCAAATCCAAAATCAATGGTTTGTCCTCGGCGGCGGTACTGCTAGATGGTACAGGCTCGACCTTGTAGGCCAAGAACATTTCGTTAGCTTTGGGATAAATTTTTCGTCGTCGTTGCAAATCTGCTGTTTGCAAAGTCTTGAGTGAGCTGATTTGTATTTCCTTCCACGGACTATAGGGTCAAGAAAATGATGATGAGTCGAGTTCTTCTCTTTCCATTCCAATTAAATATATCGGCCATATCTTTACTCTTTCATGTCCGAAACTTACGCAATTTTATCTTTTGGCTTGGCACCCAGGCTTTCCTTGAAGAAGACGTCAATGCACATTTCAGCAATTTCGGCAAAGACTTGTTCATTGGCTGCCCGGCTTATTGGTTCGACGAGGTAAGCTATTGATGATTCACCATTATTCTGAGCCGCCATATGCGGGAGTGTAGTGGCACAGTCATTAGTGTTGGAGTGCCATCGGATGAAAGTTCCCGACTGAAGTTGGGATGTGAGGAAGGATTGCGTTCCATGAGGTAAAAGTAGCAATAGAACGAAGCATATTTGGCTCAAAGTCGCAAAAGTAGAATGTCTCTGGGAAAAAATCCTTTGGCCCCGCTGTAAAGAAGCCATGATTCTGGCTTTGTATTTCAATTGTACAGGTATCTATCGAATCGAATGCCCATTGAAGCAATACAGTAATTCTGGATGTTCCACTGCAACCGTGAACCGCAACTGCAACGTATCCTACGCGTCTGCCTGTCGTCTGTTATTCTGAAAACATCAGAACTCTCTTCTCCGGGTCTCCAAATACGTGGAAGCTTCAAACGGTCGAAGGGCGCACATATATTCTCAATCCATGATCACTCCCAAGATCCGTTTCTCCTTCGCGCCGTGATGACAAATCTACGAACACGCCCCAAAATTGAAACCGACAAACCACGCACTCGTTGTTACAAATCATGACACTATAATCTCATACTTTCGTTCCAAGTGATGCGAGTTAACTTTGCTGGACAGATTGTGAACGATCAAGACAAGTCTACTACCATTTTAGTAGACAGACCACAGGCTGAAGAAATAATGGGTGTGGAGAACGAGGATAACGACAGCGTTGCGAAACCACCAACGGTTCCGGAACGAAGCGATGATGATTCTGTAAACATCAACCAGACTTTGGGTGGCGAAGATGATGATACGACAAAGGCGAGAGAAATGACAAAGGATGGCGTTCCAAATAGCTCTGGGGAATCGACAGTTCCGCCTCTTCCGCCAACAAAAGCGTCCAGACATCAAACAGGAGGGCCTCACAAAAAAGACTCTCTCCAGACCGTCAATACATCCAACCCGCCTCCGCCTGTTGAAGGAGAACTGGAACGTAACCAATATCTTCAGCCCGCTCCAGGTGCTGTTGTCGTACACGGTACCGAACTGTTGAATGCCCAACCAGTCGAAGAAGAAGACTTGGAAATACAACGACCCGTGCCCATGGAAACTGTTTCGGCAGTGCCAATCGAAGACGAGAAAGCGAAGACTTCCAATGAACGTGGTTGCCCCATCAAATTCATCTTGTTGGGTCTGCTCGTTGCGGCTGTGGTCCTTGCGGCCGGCTTGATTATTGGCCTTCGTAAGAACGAAACTAGCACCAAGACTCTGCTGTTTGCTACCAACTCTCCAACTCCCATTGGATTGACAGAGGCACCAAGCTCTTCCCCAACCTATTATTTGGAATTTGGCCCGCCAAGTCCAGAAGAGTGTCGCAATATTGCTAATGGCAATCCGCTAATGAACCAAGAGGATCAAATCTTGAGAAACTTTGAAATTCAATTGGATGTCTCGTTTTCGCAAAACTTTACCACAATGGACACACAACTGCTCAGTCTCCTTGACGATGCAATGCAACGAAAGTTGGCAACATCCCTGGCTGGGTGTGGCGAAGTCGATTATCAAGGAGAAAGTAGAAAGCTACGACGAAGGCTCCTGCGCAAAAATGTCGTTTCCAATGCAGTATTCCGCACAACTTTCCGAGACAGTGATGAGCCCTGTCTACCCAATTCCCCAGTCTTTTGCTATCGATCAGTTGCTACAGTTGAGCTTTATCTGAAAGGGAAAGAGAGAATCAACAAACTTCTTGGCTTGATCACCAATGCTTTTGATCATGAATCATTAGTGAACACTTTGGGTCTCGACCCACCATTTTCGAGTGTCATATTTGCAGCCATCAAGTCGACTGATCCTACCGAATCTCCAACGCAAGCTCCCACCTTCCAAGATAGTGATGCTGAAGACGATCAACTTGATGATTTCTTGCTAGGTGACGATGGCATGGATGATTTCTTGCTAGATGACGACGGAATGGGTGACGATGGCATGGATGATTTCTTGCTAGATGACGACGGAATGGGTGACGATGGCATGGATGATTTCTTGCTAGATGACGACGGAATGGATAGCAATGGCACTGATGATTTCTTGCTTGATGACGGTGTCATGGGTGACGATGGTACGGATGATTTCTTGCTCGATGACGATGGCACAGATGATTCCCTTCTCGATGATACAACAGGAGATGATGCCGTTGGCGGCATTGGCGATGATGCCATGGGAGATGATTTCATGCTAGTAGATGACAATGTCATGGATGATTTCTTGCTAGAAGATGATCGCCTTGACGATGATGGAATCGATGATTTCACGGAAGGCGACGATATCACAGGAGATGATACCGTTGGGGGTATCGGCGATGATGCTGCTGTCGATGATGTCACGGGAGATGATGTCTTACTAAATGACGACGGAATCGATGGTTTCACTGGAGATGACGCCACAGGAGATGATTGGGGTGCTGATGATTTCTTGCTCAATGATGTCACAGGAGATGATACCGTCGGCGGCATTGGCGACGATGCCACCGCTGATGATGCAACGGGAGATGATATCTCGCCAGGTGACGATGGTACGGATGATTTCTTGCTCGATGACGATTTCATGGGTGACGACGGCATAGATGATTTCTTGCTAGAAGACGATGGAATCGATGACATCATCGGAGACGACGCGCTCTTTGGAGACGACGACGCAGTACAGGGCGCTGGAGTAGACGATGTCACAACTGGCGGTGAGAGCACCGATGACGTCGCTGTAGATGATGCTGTTGGAGGAGATGATGGCACAGATGATGTTGCACTTGATGATGAAATTGGAGGTAGCGTCGGCACCGATGATATAACTGTAGATGATGCTCCAGGACAAGATGATGTCCCAGCCGACGACGCTTTCAGGCAAGACGACGCCACAGGGGGCGTCGCATTAGACGATGATGTTGGACAAGATGATACGGTAGATCCTGCCACTGGGGATAGTGGTCCAGCAAAAGCCCCCGTCACGACTTCACTGGATCCCACAATAACACCCTTCAGTGCCGCTCCCATCACAATTCCAGTGGATCCCACTGTATCGCCAACTCCCACTCCAACGAAGACCACAATGGCACCGTCGAGTGCCACTCCCATCACAATTCCAGTGGATCCCACTTTATCGCCAACTTCTACTCCAACAAAGATCACAATGGCACCGTCGAGTGCCGCTCCCATCACAACTCCTGTGGATGCCACAATATCGCCAACTCCTGCTCCAACCAAGACCACAATTGCACCGTCGAGTGCCGCTCCCATCACAACTCCAGCGGATCCCACAATATCACCAACTCCTGCTCCAACCAAGATGCCAACCGCCCCTCCCACGTCTCGTCCAACTGCTGGTGAGGACCAAGAAGACGACCTCATTGACGTCGATGATTTTGCTGGCGATGATCTTGGTGTTGGTGGAGTCGATGACTTCTTTGATGCGGACGATGACTTTCTCACTGGCGGAGACGACGACGACGGTGATGTTTAATCATAACAAGAAATGGGGCCCCTTTCATTGCAATTCATCAGTAGCAAAATAAAAGACTAGTGCATTTCAGCTCATGTATATTTCCATTTGTATTGTGGGTTTGCAGCAGCCTCCTCCTTCACATCATCAAACCGTCCATTCTCTCCATGCATTATTAGCGTTCCTCGAATTTCTTCCCTTGTCTTTGCAAAGTGCTCTTCCTTCATGCAGCGCTGGAACCACCGCCCAAGCCTTTTGAAGTCTTTGTTTATTTCCGTCTCATGAAATACAGGTGTCCAGTCGAAAACCCGTGGTAGTAACAGTTCCATGAAGACAGCTGTTGGAAACCAATTGATGTCTGCATGAGTGATTCTTTCTCCGACCAAAAAAGGTTGTTGTGCAATGCCCTCCAACCATATGAGCTGCTGATACAACTCGGCCAACTTTGCTGCTCGAACATCAGTTGTCATGGTTCGACTTGCTGGAGTGAAAGCACTTGGCTTTGAGCCAAGATACATACATCCTTGGATGTGGGAAAAGTTAGGCTGTGTGCAATTCGGAGAAGCAATGTAAAGGTCGTGGCATCGAACAATCAAGTTGCATATGGCTTTGTCTTCTGGAGTGTCGAGAACAAGTTTTGGTGTACAGCCCTCAAATTTGTCCTCCAGATATTGAAGGATTACGGACCCTTCAAAAAGATGGATCCCTGTATCGGTAATGAAAGCAGGAACCTTGCCAAGCGGGTTGATATCTTTGTAGCCTGGAGCCTCAATATCAGCGTGAGTCAACATGATGTTATCGATGGATTCCTCCAGATTCTTCAATCGAATCCACAACCGGATACGAGCCGCGTTATTGGAATGCTTCATATCGAAGAACCTGCCCTTTTTAAGCGGCTCAACTTTCGAAGTAGTACCATCGTTCATCTCTTGCTACCTTCAACCTTCAACAGTGATGGCTTATTGGATGCGATATACTGGTGTATTCTGCGCAACTAAGATTTCGGAACTGACAAATGGAGGAAAAGAGAAAGACAGTTGGTAGACGAATCAAAGTATTATGTGCTATCGGTATTGATGTATCTATGTATTGAAATAAAGCTATGAAATAAGTAAAACATTGATAAGGCAGATCATCAGTGCATATCCTCCTCTTCATTCACAGTCACTGGCCCTGTCCTTCGAAGACTCGTGCGAGAAACAACTACCAAGTCTTCCTCCCTGTCATCCTCCTTCTCTTCCTCCTTGCGAACCAGAATACCTCGCATTTGCCAACTAGCCATCTCACCTGTATGGGGTAGCGTACTATTGTTGCGCTTGATACTCATTAGTGTGGTGTCCAAGGACAGCAACTGAGGCTCGTCCAAACCCTCCGAGGTATCACCCCAGAGACAGGGTGGAATCGCCAAGTAGCCGTGTTCGTCGTAGAGTCCCTCTCCGGATCCATGGATTGGCTCCATATGACACAACAGTTGCCCAGTATCCGCATTGTACAATTCCATGGACAGACAATGCGGTGCGTGGCAATGGGGACCTGCATAGATCAACTTTACACCATCCGTCTTGGAAGAATCAGTACTGCCCTTGCCTGTGCACCAACTCGCATCGTGAATGGGACAATCCCGTGTCATGTCTCGGACGGTCCATCGAGAAGTAATAGTTTGGATGCATTCCGACGAAGGAGTGCCTTCTCTGCACTGGACAATATCGTACTCTCCAGCATGCGCCTCCGTTTGCCAATACAAACGAATCAATTGCTGATGCGATGGAGACTCTGAAATATCAGACGATTTTTTGTATTCTTCAAAGTAAAACCGAAACTTCAGACGATACTCCAGTGGTTGATCTTGCCACGGAATCTCTTGAGCCTTGTCCAAAAGCGACTTGCCATTGCGACAGCACGACAAACCTCCTTTGTAAGTCTGAACGTCACAAGTGGGATTGCTTTGATCCAACAGGTCGCTGTTGGGAAATGGAGCACATCGGTCGTTATCGAACTGCAATCCATCGATAGTACCTTGGATTCCGGATTGACACAGCTTCTTCGGCGTGTCTACTGGCAACAAATTGACCTCATTTGGACCGTGACCACAGTGTTGAGCGAATTTCAAACTGCACCCATTCGCCATTATGAGCGGAATGGACGGAGATGACGAATCAAAGGTATAGTAGTTTGCAGTTGGACCCTTCAGCGGACGTGAAAGAGTTACTGTTCGAGTATCGCCGTCGACTTGATTGGAATGGACAGTGATACTGCTATCCAAGACAATGCCCGCACCGTGATGGTCTAGCTTTCGTTCCTCTACTTGGTCACCAGAGATAATAATGGCATATGGCCCTCCTCCTGGACATTCATCCCCTTCCATATGCACGCACATGGTCTTGGACCCAAAGCCCACACCAAACCATTTATCAGCTGGACCTGTCAATTTGAGTTGTACAGATGTTGCTGCCTCAGATGTCGGATCCATAGCAACCGTCATATTAACCAGACCCAAAGAAACACCTACGAGATGTGGTTGGTTTGTCTCCAAATCGGTATGGCCCATCTGAGATTGCACGGTGGCCTTGTTCCAAACGGCTTGTACAATGCCCTCTCCATTAAGAGTCCCAGTGCAACCAGACGGTAGAGATTCATCATCGATGGTTTGTGTGTCGTAGTGAACTCCCTTGATAACATATTCCACAGCCGTGAAGCATTCCGTAGCGTTCTGAATCACTTCTTTGCATTTTGTCTTTTGTGATCCATGACAGCTTCCCTCATCAATAGCATAAGTCATTCCCCATTCAAAGGGAATACGGTCGCTGCATGGGCATTCCAGTAATCCATTGTAGCCAGCATCGTGAGGAATGCGGGAACTAGATGGCAGTGGTCCTGGTAGATAGGTGTGGTTCTTCATGTTTCGGTTCCAAGTATCAATCTGCATCGGAGAAATGAGGAATTCGTTGGGTGACTCAATGATTTGCGCGTATCCTTTGGGGTATCCGTGATAGCTCATTCTCATTTCTCCACCATTTCCCTCAGAAAAGAAGTGAAGCTGCGGAATCTCGTCACCATCGTCGTCATCTGGTTCCATGCCATCGAGAAATTCTCCTACCAGATGATGCGAAGCTCCATGTGCTAGTCCAAGTTTTACAGCATCCGGCGTCGTAGGTTTCATGACGACCCGAAATTTTCTATTGTTCATTAGATTTGCACAGAAATGATGGTTGTAGGCCCAAGTAATGGGAACGGGAACCTCTTCTCCAGAATCCAGCTTTCTGACTTGGTCGACTTCGTATCCTGTGACAGCCATAAGTTTGCCACCCTCAAATCGATCAATAATGTATTGCGGAAGAGTAATATCTCCATGACCCATCCAATGAACTTGACTATATAGCGTCTTGATGGGCTTCGAGTAGACGTCAAAGTATTCGCGATCATCTGAGTATTCTGTATCAAAGGTATCTGAATTCGAAATCTTGTACGAACCACCTTGATTCATGTTCTTTGCTATAACGACATGGTTCAAAAGCAACAGCTGCTCAAAGAGAAGAGCAGAGATGAAGAGAAAAGGCGCTTTGCGGAACATCATGATTACAATCGCTCCGCAAGAACTGATATGATTGTCTATCAAGATGCGAAGTCAACCAAAAGAATCAATCTGACGCCTACGCTATTTCTCTACTGTACCCTACGAACGCTTTGACAAATTCGAATGACAATCAACAAATGTGGTATGGTACAGTACCAAGTGTTCAACAATGAAGATCAAAATCTGTTAAAAGAACTCTAGTATGCATCATGTTACAGTGAATTTGGTTGCACGGATTGGAGCGAATTCAATGCAAACCCTCTTCTTCATTCACAGTCACTGGCCCTGTCCTTCGAAGACTCGTGCGAGAAACAACTACCAAGTCTTCCTCCCTGTCATCCTCCTTCTCTTCCTCCTTGCGAACCAGAATACCTCGCATTTGCCAACTAGCCATCTCACCTGTATGGGGTAGCGTACTATTGTTGCGCTTGATACTCATTAGTGTGGTGTCCAAGGACAGCAACTGAGGCTCGTCCAAACCCTCCGAGGTATCACCCCAGAGACAGGGTGGAATCGCCAAGTAGCCGTGTTCGTCGTAGAGTCCCTCTCCGGATCCATGGATTGGCTCCATATGACACAACAGTTGCCCAGTATCCGCATTGTACAATTCCATGGACAGACAATGCGGTGCGTGGCAATGGGGACCTGCATAGATCAACTTTACACCATCCGTCTTGGAAGAATCAGTACTGCCCTTGCCTGTGCACCAACTCGCATCGTGAATGGGACAATCCCGTGTCATGTCTCGGACGGTCCATCGAGAAGTAATAGTTTGGATGCATTCCGACGAAGGAGTGCCTTCTCTGCACTGGACAATATCGTACTCTCCAGCATGCGCCTCCGTTTGCCAATACAAACGAATCAATTGCTGATGCGATGGAGACTCTGAAATATCAGACGATTTTTTGTATTCTTCAAAGTAAAACCGAAACTTCAGACGATACTCCAGTGGTTGATCTTGCCACGGAATCTCTTGAGCCTTGTCCAAAAGCGACTTGCCATTGCGACAGCACGACAAACCTCCTTTGTAAGTCTGAACGTCACAAGTGGGATTGCTTTGATCCAACAGGTCGCTGTTGGGAAATGGAGCACATCGGTCGTTATCGAACTGCAATCCATCGATAGTACCTTGGATTCCGGATTGACACAGCTTCTTCGGCGTGTCTACTGGCAACAAATTGACCTCATTTGGACCGTGACCACAGTGTTGAGCGAATTTCAAACTGCACCCATTCGCCATTATGAGCGGAATGGACGGAGATGACGAATCAAAGGTATAGTAGTTTGCAGTTGGACCCTTCAGCGGACGTGAAAGAGTTACTGTTCGAGTATCGCCGTCGACTTGATTGGAATGGACAGTGATACTGCTATCCAAGACAATGCCCGCACCGTGATGGTCTAGCTTTCGTTCCTCTACTTGGTCACCAGAGATAATAATGGCATATGGCCCTCCTCCTGGACATTCATCCCCTTCCATATGCACGCACATGGTCTTGGACCCAAAGCCCACACCAAACCATTTATCAGCTGGACCTGTCAATTTGAGTTGTACAGATGTTGCTGCCTCAGATGTCGGATCCATAGCAACCGTCATATTAACCAGACCCAAAGAAACACCTACGAGATGTGGTTGGTTTGTCTCCAAATCGGTATGGCCCATCTGAGATTGCACGGTGGCCTTGTTCCAAACGGCTTGTACAATGCCCTCTCCATTAAGAGTCCCAGTGCAACCAGACGGTAGAGATTCATCATCGATGGTTTGTGTGTCGTAGTGAACTCCCTTGATAACATATTCCACAGCCGTGAAGCATTCCGTAGCGTTCTGAATCACTTCTTTGCATTTTGTCTTTTGTGATCCATGACAGCTTCCCTCATCAATAGCATAAGTCATTCCCCATTCAAAGGGAATACGGTCGCTGCATGGGCATTCCAGTAATCCATTGTAGCCAGCATCGTGAGGAATGCGGGAACTAGATGGCAGTGGTCCTGGTAGATATGTGTGGTTCTTCATGTTTCGGTTCCAAGTATCAATCTGTGGAGAGAGAGCAAAATTATGTTAGGCAATTCGGTGGCTTGTGTGCATCTATGTATGGTACTAGATCATTCTCATACCTGCATGGGAGTGACAACAAACTCATTTGGCGACTCGATTGTCTGAGCATACCCCTTTGGATATGAATGGTAGCTCATTCTAAATTCACCACCATTGGCTTCGGAAAAGAATTGAATCTGGGGAATTTCTGTATCGTCGTCATCATCGGGTTGCATGCCCTCTTTGAACTCCCCCACCAAGTGATGAGAAGCTCCATGAGCCAATCCGAGTTTGGCAGCATCAGGAGTCGTCGGTTTCATCACCATTTGCATTTTTCTCGAATTCACAAGATTAGCTCCATAATGATGGTTATAAGCCCAAGTAATAGGGACAGGGATCTCTTCTCCCGAATCAGTAATGCGCACTTGGTCTACTTCATATCCAGTTACAGCCATGAGCTTGCCCCCTTCAAATCGTTCAACAATCTCTTGCGGAAGCTTGATGTTTCGATGGGATATCCAATGGACTTGGCTATACAGTGTCTTGATGGGTTTGGAATAGACATCAAAGTACTCCCGATCGTCCGCATATTCCGTGTCAAAGGTCTCTGAATTGGCAATTTTGTAACGACCACCTTGATTCATGTTCTTTGCATAAGCGCCATGATTTTGCCACAGGCAACCTGGTCCAAGGATAACCAGGGAGAATAGACCTGGCGCCCTCTTAAACACCATGATCAAAGCTTTGTCAACGACGACTTTGGATTGTTGGGAACAGGCAGGAAGAAGCCCAAACACAACTGTTATTGTGCGGGTTGACATGAAGAACAACAGTCGTGTTCAAAGTACTGAAAAAGCTCTGTGGGTGTCAAAATGCGAATTGGTGGCACATATTGGCAGAGGTACCGGTGCTGGCTCCTCATGAGTGTACTAATGCGTACTAATTAGTCTTGTTTTAAACAATGCTTCCATTAGTATTACAATAGATCGCTATGTTACGTTGCTTAAAATAAACTACACAAGGATGGTTCAGTTGTGAATCAATCTGGTTAACTAACGAAGCTCGTCTTCCAAAACAGCTTGATCCTTCCACAATCTACTCTGTCAATTGATATTCCACAGCATCTGTGGCGACTGAAGCATCTTCTAGAAAGTACCACCTGCCATTCTCCTGACGAATGTCCAAGAGTCCAAGCCGTTGATGTGAGGGAACTTCGTTCGACCACTCATCATCGCCGATGGGAGCAGAAGCATGTTCCCACATTGGGCTGGTGCATCCCTTTGCGGCATGAATCATGGATTTCCAGAGACTTGGATCAGTCTCATTGTTGGCTTCTTGTTTGCTATCTTTGCGAGAAGCCTTTCGACGATTGTTCGCCGATCGTAAAAGGGCTGCACCTGCAGAAGTTGCCGAAACGCGACGACTTGGTTTCGGTTTGTTGGGTTTGGTTCCAAAGCGACGGTGAAAGGACTTCCAATTTTCCATATCTAGGCCATTATTGTTGTGATTACAAAAGTCGTCATCGCCGTTTCGTACTTTGGAAAGGTCCCCCATCGCAACTTTGGAGCCGCGATAGGAAGATACAGTACTTGTTGAAGATGTTGATGTCGTGGATCGGCTCCCGCTGGAAGACTGCGATGACGATCTGACAAAGAAATTACGCTTGGTAGGAGGTGAAGACGACGCTGTAGTCTCGGAATCACCATTGGACTTGAAGGATGCGCACATTGCAGTAGAAAGAAGTGTGGGCATGTTTGGTGGTTCTGCACTTGTACTGTGAAAGTCCAAATGAAAGCGCGACTTTCGTCTTTTGTTGTTGTTTCTCGATGAAAAAAAGTGAGAAGAAAATAGCGAAGCAAGAGTCGGTGACTTTCCTGTGAAAAAAAACACGGTCCGTTTCGAATGCGTGACCGTGTTGTAAAACTCGACGAGGACAGAAACGTCATTTCGCTGATGTCCTTGCTACATAGGCACACATGGTTCATTTCCCCATTCTAGAGAGCGTAGCCACCACTTCATGGGACTGCCTTCTGAACCCGAGACATCGTTGGATCCAGGCCTTCGGTTGGTGGAACGACAAACCGCAAATCAGAAAACGGTCACTTCTGTCATCATTCAAGCAAATCACTCGCTTCCAAATCAGCTATAAAGGTCCTAGCATTACAAACATGAATTAGCCTAGTGATTCATGGAGGAGATATCGTAAAGGTTGCTAATGGTCGAAACCCAAACGATGCTAATGGTGCAAGTTGTTGCAATGACAATTAACAAAAGAAAACGATGCATATTTATTATCTTCGTTTCAAAATTTCGAATTGAAGTCGACCACTACGACTTGACCAAATAGTTTGATCAGGACCATGCATAGTACCGGTACAGCACTGCTGTAGCTACGAGCCGATTATTCATAGGTAGCTACTTCATACTATGCCAACGTATCATTTCCAAGTCAAGAGTAGCTGGATCATAGTTCATAAGAGTTGCATTCAAATAGAGTACTAATTGGCCATCGTGCCTGTCATACCTTAGAGTGTTTCTTATTCATCATTTGAAGGAGCAGGTTTCCAATAGAACACTCGATTTCTTCCACGGAATGGCAGCGTGGTCTCTTTCACACTAGGATGCTGCTGCAGAATGTACTCACACAGGTCATCATAGGTCCGGACCAATTTTCCTGATGGTTCCAATTGACGTTGTTTGAAAAGATTTGGAAAGACACAGCATGGGATCACTACCCAAGGCAAGTTCAGTGCGAATCCAATGTCCATTATTGGGTCGGTGGCCTGATCTGGATGGAGTCCCACTAGGACAGAGCATCGTTGCTCCTTGAGTAGCTCTCGCAATTTTTCGTTAGCTTCAACAAAGTCTGCTCGTTTTCGGATCTTGCTGCTTGGCAAACCCTTGAGGACCGACTCGGTTTCCAGCAAGGTTTGTAACTGACGCAAGAGACCATCGTCCGATGTCCCGGCTTGAAAGCGTCCCTTGAGATTTTCTACTAGTGGTGTAGTCTTGTCTTTGCCAATACTGTCCAATGCGTCATGGCTTTGATTCCGAAACTCCAAATGCTTCTTTTGTCCTGCCGAAAATTGGACGGGACGTGTATCGACTACGGTACACGGAAGTTGGTGTTTGAAGACGAGTTCAAAGGCCAGTCCTCCACTTCCACCGGCAACATCTAGAACCGGCAGAGAACCGAGGCCATCGTATCCGCCAAACTCTGAAAGCAAAAAGAAGGCCAACTTGGCGAAGCGACTGTTGTCATTCGCTCCACGATCTGAGTTTTTGGGTCTTTTATTACCAGGCCTCTTGTTGTGATGTTTATGATGACCATTTTCCAAAGAGGTGTCATCTTCAACTTTATTGCTCTCAGCAGTGTTGGTGTTAGCATCAGTGTTGGTGGCAGTCTTTGTGTTGACGTTGGCGGATGGATCAGTCGTCGGAACATCCGAATCCTCCTGTGGAGGCTCCGCTTTGTACACTTTGTCCGCTTCCAACAGTTTGATATCGACAGCATGTACAAAAAATATATTGGTTTTATCGTTGAACTTTTCTTCTCGTCGTTCTGGATATCCTGATACACATATGGTTCGATTGCCAGTCGTCATCATGTCGCCCATCAAATCGTCAATCATATCCTTGGTCCATCCATCTTTTCTTGTCAACATTACATCCAGGATTTTGGTTTTTCCCTGTTCCATAACTATACCCTCCAGCTCGAAGTAGCTTCCATAGTCGATGTCATCCTCCAAATCCAATGCAAAGAGAGCAAAGCTTGGAGATAGCGTGGTGCAGAATCGTAGTGTTCCGGTGCCTTGGATTCGGGTCTCTAGTTTCGTTTCTCCAAAGTCGACTTTCAGTTTCGTCATCCCAGACTCATATCCCGTGTCAAACTATAATATATTATACAAAAACCGAGTTGGCAAAGTCATCGCATGCGGCTGTTGATGAGCTGATGCGGTGATGATAATTGGTTTTTTGAATTTGTGTGTTTGTCGAACTCTGTGGTCTTGCAGTTCACATCGTACGTACGTCAACGTGTACGGCCATTCGTGAGTGATCTTCCAAGACTAAAAACTACAACATCAACACTCTGACACAGAGCATGTTGTAGAATCGCATCGTCCGCCTTTGTACTACATCACACCGACCTCTAGATAGAACGATACTTGCTGGCATCGTGCCTTCTTCCAGCGATTGCAGCTGAACACGTTTGTGATTAACGGAAACGACATCTCTCTACCCCATTGTTCTATAATCCACCGGTGATTGACGATACCAAGATACATAACTACGATATCCTGAACCAACGAGAACTGCGCTATAAATCTCCGTTAGAACTCTTGCCCAATATCCATCAAAATGAAAAGGCTTCTACTCCACACTGCCAGCCGAAGACCTTTGACCCTCCCAGTACTGTCAGTGCCATCTTGTGTCCTTGAACAAAAAATCTCAACCGTTGTCACTGGATGTAGAAGTGTTGGAGGTCGAAAATCATCCTTGCATTCATCCTCCCAACTCTTAGGTCGACGCTCTCCGCAACAAATTGACAAAATCAACACATCATCCAGCGTGGAAGACGCTGCGGCAGCGGAAGCACTTCGCGAAAGTATGATTCGTGCACCATTCCAACGTGCTGCAGGTAGCAAGACACTCTTTCCATGGAGGAGTACGAACGAAATCATGGGTCGTCTCATTCCTGGATCGGAAGAGTTTCGACGAAACGGATATCTATTGGGCGGCAATGTCATTTCTAGCAATCCCACCTTTGATGCGTATGCAACGGCTTACTTATTTATGGGTGTCCCGCTGAGTGAAATGATGTTCTTTTCACAGTGGCAAGACGACACGGCAGAAAACATGGCCTGGGCCTTCTCTCAGGCAATGAGCGGAATCCTATCCAACGCGTATGGCCGTAGGTATCACAGTTTGAGTTGTTTCATTGTACCCTTGAATCCCAATGCCTAACACTCGTCCTCGACGCAGAATCCTTTGAAACGATTTCCAAGGAACGTAAGCTAGGTTTTGATAGCGCTGCCAATCCGACTGATACGGATACTGCCACTGATGCTGAAGCTCCATCGGCAGGTTTGTCGAATGATTTTTTGGAGCCAATGGTGGAAAAGAAACTGCTGTCATTATTCCACGATGCCCAGGAATATGGCAAGGACCAACTACAGGTCCGATTGGAATTCAAACCCAAGAATGCGCACATGGTGAATCTTTTTGTCTTTCCTTTCTTGTCACGGAATCTCTTGAAAATCCAACCTGAAATCAAGGACATGTATACCCAATTATTGGAATTCATGGGAACCAATCCACGAGATGCCATGCCGATTTACAATGAATTCGTGGCTGATTTTGGTGATCGGGGATGGACTGAAAATACTGTGATTGCACAAGTTTTGGTACCTTGTGAGGAAGTCTTTTGGGTCAAAGATTTGGCAACTGGAGCCATCATTCAGGGTGTGCAGGATTCCACGCCGCGGACAGTGAACCATTTGGTGCGAATGGAAATGGTCGTCCGGTCAAGGCCAACAGAGGGATTCTTTCCGTTTGAACATGAACAGGGTAATTGGCAAATGACGGATATCGATGACTTGTTGAAGGGTAATCTATTAATCTAAAGTTAAAACTTTGGCGATTTTGAATACACCAGTCGTCCATTTGTGATTTCACTGGTAGTGGCCGAATGCAAGAACTTTGTCCTTGCGCCAGTGTTCTGATCACGTACACGTACAATGTGCGAATGTCGTTGGTGTTGGAAAGATTGATTCATAATCCAAGAGGGGACCAATGCAGCAGTACGCTTCTAAGATCCCAGGTAGGTTTTGCCATTCCTTTCCAGATCAGTTCACAAATTTGTGATTGGCTCGGCATACCACCTACCAGCAACCACATTTCCAATCTTCACAAGGCCCTGCTTCTGAATGAAGAAGCCTCTCTCACTGAACCCAGGAAGGGTTCCACCGTCGGACAAGTCTTTCAGGGATGGTCGCTGGTCTGCTTTTTGCTTTTGTTTTGCTTGTGCGGCCATATGCTGAACTCGCTTTTGCATCTGTGAAAAGATGGAAGGTACGCCATCCATTCGATTTTCCCATACCTGCTTTTCTTCATTCCATTTCTTGGGGCCTTCAATCTGGTCTGCAATCTCATTCAATTCGCCACCAAGTTCCCAAGCCTCTTCACGAGCTGCATAGAATTCTTGGTTCAACCTCTCTAGTTCTTCCGCTGTATACACAGTACCAAACAACGTCAGAGTAGTCCCTGCGTCAATCCAAACATCTCGTCGTTCCATTTTCTTTGGAAACGTCAATTCACATTTAATCTCTTTGTCATTGTTTGAGACTTCCCATTCTCCTCCTCGCACAGGACTCACAACCGCACCATTGGGTCCAGTGAAAGAAACCGTTTCTGCCCGAGGAATTAATTTATTGTCGGACTGAAAGTCACAGGGGATCACTAGAGGCATTCGACATCCAGATCTTGCCCAGTCGAATGGCATGTTGGCCAAAGGCTCGCGACCAATGTCTAGAGTGAGACGCCAAGGATTGGCAGTGATGGCATCGGCTTGTGAGTCGGTCGAGGGAGAATCACCGCGGGGAACCATGGATGACCGAGGTGTGGGCATGGAGAGACTACCGGCACTGAATGCCTCAGCTGAAAGAGGCACGAGAGCTAGAATGGACATGAATTTCATAGTGTGTTCTTGTTTGCTTTTGATTTGACTTCTGTAATTTTTGTGTCCTTGTCCTCAAGATGCAACACTGTTCACGAGCGAAGATGATTCAGTCATTGTCGTGTTAAGTCGTGCTGTTGATGATGCCACTTATCGGTGGCGGTGTCACGATGAGTTGGAAGATACTTTTTTGCTGAGTCAGTCAAATCAGTCAGCGTTGAGAAAGGACTAAACAAGTCCAATCGCCGGAATTGAGAACGTGGGTCTTTGATAGTTCTTTTCTCCCTCTGCTCATTGATTTGAAAATTCGGTGATGAATCAAATTAACAGAAGTTCAGGAGAAGTTCAGGTCGAGAGTCAAATGCCAATACAACATCACAAGCAAAGAACAAAAAGACCCCGCTTCTTCACTGTATTGCACTTCCTTGGATTCCTCGCTCAAAATCCTGGAGAATGCTTTCCCATATCAAAGAATGCGTTGCACAAAACACCACGACTGTCCCATGCGAGTCGATTAAATGACAGCTACCAAGGAGGTGAAGAAGCGGATGATACTGAAAACATTGGAAATGACTTTTTGAAGGCTCTTTGCATCGTGCCTCCAACTAAAGACTGGGATCGACTTCAACGAGCTCGCCATTATGCGGGGGATCCTTCCTTTCATTCATGGCCGCCAGCCGTTCGCTTCTTTCACCCTTTCAGTGCAACAGCACTCGAGGTCGCGCAGGTTGTAGAAGAATTGAGCATTGAGCCATTTGAAATCACATTCGACACATGGGTTATAGTTCCGTACATGGAAGCATTACATACCGAGTGGGTGAATACAGATAATGTTCCTTCCGTTTTTGATGCAACCGACACCGTAGATCCTAAGGAGAAGGAGCAGAATCGAAAAGTGAGGGAGCTCATTTTGAATGAAGAACGAAAGAGCAAGGAAAAGCACCTGGCTAGGGCCAAGAAGAAAGCGGCAGGATCATGGACTGGCTATTCGGACTATATGGAGCCTTTGGTCGACAAAACATCTCCCGAAGAAAAGATGAAGGACCAAAACCGTCTATACGAAGAAGATGGAGGCCCATCCGTCCTCTGCTTGGAACCAAACCCAAAGTCCAAGCAACTACTGATTGAGATGCGACAGGAGCTCGCAGATGTTCTAGATCACGACACATACTCATCGCCCTCAAGTCTGTACTCTCCGCGTGGCATCGAGGATATGGACATGGGATATAGGCCGCTAATTCCGATTTCTTCCTTCCCAAGTCTTCAAAGTGCCTTGGAAGTCGCCAGGCGCCTAAAGGGTCTCTGGGGTGAACCTCTCACCATTGCAGTGAAGGACTTTCATGTAATTTCTTGCCAAGATGACATGGGACAAGATGAATGGGAAACTAATATTCCGCAACCAATGGCTACGTTTGACAAAGAACCTTGGATGTGCAACGCAAAAATCATGTTGGTTGGAGAAGAAATGCAGCTTGATGATTCTAATGATGAAGAGATGATTCGAAAGTTGATCGAGGAAGGTGAACCGGGAGGCTTGGACATCACAAACGACTTCACAATTCTAGATGAAGAAGAAGAATCAGGAGACATCGAATCTTGGTTGGACGTAGACGATGATTGGGATGAGGGATCACAAGTGACCATAGGTAGGACGCACTTTTTTACTGGTGAACAAAGGATTTATCCTGGAATGCCAGCTTCTAGTGTTATTGATGGACGTGATAGACTCTTGGGGACGGCCGGGGGTCCAAGCAGTAGTTTGGTACGGAGACGGCGAAATAATTTCCGACAGGGCGGCCATTGTAAGTTGTGCGTCGTATTGTCTTTTGCGTTATCGACCTATCTAATACGTCGTCCAAAACGGTCTGCAGGGGAAGAAGGAGATTATGGTCGTCGAGATACAGATTACTTGCCCTGGTCGAAAAGAGAAAAAGGAAAAAAAGGAGGTACATCAATGACATAAGAGTTGACATCGCAATGTAATGTAACATTAAAACCCGACATATGGAGTCGAGAAGGGAACTGCCTATGTGGAATAACCCCAGGGATGTATTTTACAGGTTTCTCGTATTTTTATCTTCGCTTCAAGCTTGTGCTTTCAGTTGCTTCTATTTATTGCTGTGTATCAACTGCTATGTCTCCTGCATCTAGTGTGTGTTGGTCAGCCATTTCGCGCTCCTTTTACCGTTGCACAAAGCGAATACCTAAATGGATGTAAAACCTGAAAAATACCAAGCTTTTGCAAAAAGGCTATGGCATTTGTGGGATAGGATCATCACACTTATGTTGGAAAGATTGCTCGACAAGTTTGCATCACACTCCCACTATTGGCTGTACCATCATCTTCTATCGAAAATGGACAATCGCAATAAAAGCGAGTGAAGGAACCAAGATAGGTACGGTGATTTTTGTGGCAAGTTGTTACGCAATTGGAACAGATACCCCGGTTCACTGACTGAGATAATCCACAGTCGACGCAATGATACATATATTGCATCGGTACAGTTGAATTCAAACGTTGGGAGTGTGTCCGAACCGTGCAGCAAAATGATGAGATTGCTCGTCCACTTCGAGGAGGATCGAAGGATAGTACGCGTTGATCGACGAAACGGAGTGATGGTGGAATGTTCGCCGACTTTTGTCGGATCATTTGACCAATAGAATGGGGGCTGTTGTTGATCCCCCTGGCATTGAGATCAATCAATTGTCGGAGTTGCAAAACGGTACCAAACAGCGCACTCGCATCAACCTTTGGGCAGTCGCGTATGTCCAGCACTAGCAAAGAATCCAAAGAAGCAATCTCACTCACTGCCGTACCAGAAAGCAATGGGAGACTAGCAATCTTGAGCGACTTCAATGTTGATCGATGGCAAAGTCTCTTTGGATTGGACCTGTCATGAACAAGTCTTTTATTTCGGCATAATGCGATGACACCTTCATCTGAGACTTGGAAGCAAGCAGAGAAATCGCATTCTGTTAGGCAAGTGCAATGGGTACCCAACGCCACAAGGGCTGCATTCCCAATGCGACATGCGCGCATCTGAACGACTGTCAATGTGCCACGACAGACTTCTGCTAGAACTTGAATTTCCAAGTCTCGAATATGCTCACATCCAGACAAGTGAACCTCTCGGAGTTGTCTTCCTAAAGCAAAATAAGTCAGAGCTCCTGGAAGGAGGCCTCTTCGCGGTGTTCCGATAGCGTCCAACACTAGGTGCCGTACCTTGTGACGAGATATGGGTGCATTTTCCCAAGATATCGGTGGATCTTGCAAATGTAGCAACATCATGCGATCAGTGGATGTTCCTCTCAGCCGGAGCCCCTCGCACGAACTCAGATTAATGGATTGGATTGAGGCTGGCAACTGAAATAGAATCGGATCCTTGAGTCTTTTGAGTGCTTGCAAGTCCAAATCTTTTAGCTTGCTTAGTTTGAAAAACATCCTGTAAATGGCTGAATTATCGATACTTATCGAGCATCCTCCCAGCGAGAGTGATTCCAGTTCCTGATGGCAATCACGTATGACACCGACAACACTGGCCCCAACTCGAATACAGCCCTTCAAGCTGAGTCCCCGTAGAGAAGTCGGACAACCATTCAGAAAAGTCTCAAGAGTATCGGGATCTAGGGAAGCACAACCACTCAAATCCAATGTCTGCAGTTTGCAGCGGTTCTGTAGTTGCGGCAACCAGGTGGATCCTGACAACTGTCGCATTCCTGAAAATTCAACGTGTTTCAAAAGGTTCTTCTCCTGTAGTAACGTAACCAAACGAATCACTGCATTATGTTGCTCGTCATCACCGTTTCCAATCTTGTTTCTAAAAATTTTCAGCAGGCAACTGAACGAGACGGCCTTTTGTGCAGAAAAAAAGGTAGAGATTGGTTGCTCCCAGTCTCGTTTGGACGATGAAAGAAGATGATAGACATCGAGAATATCGCAGAAGGACAAAATCTGTGCAATAGTATCGAAATTGCAATCAACAAGCCCAATGGATTGTGGAAGTGTCACTTCCTTGCTCATTCCATGACACCCTTTTGTGGAACAATTGATGAAGCTTGTTGTGAATTATATTGCGTTTGGAATAGAGCCCATATTGGGGGCTTTCCAAGTACTTCACATCCCACATTTGAATGTCTGGCCTTCGCGCGAAAAATGGAGGATTGGTCTGCGAGACGACCGACGACCATGACAAGCAACACCAATTGCAAGAAGTGTGTTGGCGAAAGGCAAACATTTGTAGAGCTTGCTTGTTGAACTAACAACGCTATTAATAGATCATGGTAGGCTAACGAATGCTATGGAATGAAACGCGATCTATGCGTCGAATTGCCTTTGAAATTCCATGAAATACCGTCGCTCACATCACTCATCTCTTTGTTTTTCAATCGCAATAGCCAAGTGGAAAAGGAAGCAAATTACTGCGATATGTAGAACATCGCCTGAGAGTGACACTACACGATGGAAGAACGATTATCGGTACATTTCTTGCATTCGATAAGCACCTGAATCTCGTACTGAGCGAAGCAGAAGAGTTCCGCGTCTGGCGAAAAGGAGGATCCGGCTTGATTGAAGAGAGAACCCAAAAGAGAAGTCTGGGACTAGTATTGATACGTGGAGAAAATGTTGTTAGTCTAGCAGTTGAAGGACCACCCCCACCATCCGCAGCTACCAAAAACGCCCCACCGCCACCTGGAGGAATGCCCGGAGGAATGGCCCGAGGGCGTGGAATGCCAATGGGCGGTCCACCAATGGGCGGTATGCCTCCCATGGGTCTTGGTGCCGCTCCCGTACACGGCGTGGGTGGTATGATGCCACCACCGCCTCCACCACCAATGGGCGGTATGCCTCCATCTGGAATGGGCCGTGGAATGCCACCAGGATTTTAATAAGAATCGAATGGGGACGCAATAACAATGGTGGCTTCTTGACAGAAATAATATGACTTTGAATATACATGATTACAATTCCTGTTTCCAATCTTGACCGTCTAAGATTCAAGTGCATTCCCTCCTAGTACTGTCGATAATTGTGGCGAAAATGAATGTTTGTCTACGCTCCTTTTTCCGAGGATTTCCTAGTTTGAAAGTTATATATACATATTAGTGATGAACTTCTTGAGGACATTCAAATCAGAACATTTCCTTTCACTAGTACCATGGGCTTCAGACAGAACCTTCCTCAGAAAAAACATCGAAAGTAATACGGTGATGAGAGCACTCGTGTGTCGTCTGATGAAAAGATGATCTCATTGTTCACAAGGTCTTCACATGTACGTAAGGCACATGGTGTATACATACTTGGGTATAGTCTTCTTCCGTACCGGTACCCGGTATGATGGTGACTTCTTATAAAACTCGAAAGTGGAGTGAATGAATAAACACTATCATCCATAGAACACTTCCAATGATCGGCAAGAGAAAATCATATTTGTGTATGTGTACAAAATTTAACACTATAGAGCACTACCTACAGTATAATACAATGTTACAAGTATAGCATCCCACCATTAATAAAAGTTCATGTTTTATGTTACAAGCAAATCATCCCACCACTGCATGACAAATCTCACTCAAGAAAAATAAGTTGAAACGTGCTTCTTACCAGCATCCAAAAGAGAAACCCTAAACAAATAAACGAAGAAAGGAAAAAGAAAATGTATTGGGGAGGTTCTTTGTCCAATGGGTGGAAACTAAAGTTTCCTGTTTTTGTGTTTTCTTTTTTCATTGTTGCTACAACAGAAGAAGGAGATGCATTACATGCTTAACCTCCGAATCCGTACAAGGTCTTTCCTTGACGCTTCAAGGCGTAAACAACATCCATCGCAGTGACGGTCTTTCTGCGGGCGTGCTCAGTGTAGGTGACAGAATCACGAATGACGTTCTCAAGGAAAACCTTCAAGACTCCACCTAAAGTTCATTAATGAATAATGGTTCGTGATGGAATGGAATAAAATCGATTTGATTTGATTGGAGTGATATAGAAGGAAAGGAGTATTGTCAGTTCAATGTATCAATGTATCATTCCATGTGCAGTCAATACACTTCCACACATCAAGCAGTTACTTACGAGTCTCTTCGTAGATCAATCCAGAGATACGCTTGACACCACCACGACGGGCGAGACGGCGAATAGCGGGCTTGGTGATACCTTGGATGTTATCACGAAGGACCTTGCGGTGACGCTTGGCGCCTCCCTTTCCGAGTCCTTTTCCTCCTTTTCCTCTTCCAGACATGATTAATGTGTTTTTTGTTTGGGAATAAAATGCAAATTGCAAGATTGTGAGATCGATGGGATTATTTTCGAAACTCTCAATTCGATTTCAGATTGACGATGGCGCACACCAAATGTGCTAGAAACTACCAAATACCGTGCAACGCTACGTCCAAAATCGCGGCGCGAGGAGAATGCGCCGGATTTGAAAGGGGTCTGTAGGAAGCGTAGAGTCTGGTACATTTGGGAATGAATCGTACGTTTCGAATGCCGTAGACGCGGTACATTTTGTACACAGTCCGACCACCAACACTTTTTGGCTCGATAAATTCTTTCATCCCATCAAAATCGGCTCACAAAATAACTTTTGACAGAAACAAAATGGCACGAACCAAGCAAACCGCACGTAAATCCACTGGAGGAAAGGCTCCCCGTAAGCAACTTGCCACCAAGGCTGCTCGTAAGTCTGCCCCCGCCACCGGAGGAGTCAAGAAGCCCCACCGTTACCGCCCAGGTACCGTCGCTCTTCGTGAGATCCGTCGTTACCAAAAGTCCACCGACTTGTTGATCCGCAAGTTGCCCTTCCAACGTTTGGTCCGTGAGATCGCCCAAGATTTCAAGTCTGATCTTCGCTTCCAAGGATCTGCCGTTCTTGCCCTCCAAGAAGCCGCTGAGGCCTACCTTGTGGGTCTTTTCGAGGATACCAACTTGTGTGCCATCCACGCCAAGCGTGTGACTATCATGCCTAAGGATATCCAATTGGCTCGCCGTATCCGCGGAGAACGTTCTTAAATTGCTTGGATATAAACCTATCTGAAACATGAACTGAATGAAAATGAAAAAAACAAACAGGAATCTATTGATTCCACCCTTTCACACAAAGTCCGAACCCATCACATGGCATTTCTTGTTGTTATCTTGTACTGTTTTGTGTTGTTTGGCCTTTCGTTCATCTTGACTTATCATGTCACTTCGCAGCAGATGTGAGGTACGATTTGCTGTTGCATTTGTTCGATGATTGTTTGTGTAACTCTTCCTTTTGCATTTCCACAGTATCATGTAATGAACGCGATCTATTAATCATAAAACATATTCATTCGATACTAGTCCCACTTTAAAAAAAACTCATGTGTACTGCTTTTAACTTTATCAATCGTTTCAGCTTTTACCATTCAACGATTCCATCTGTTTTCAACTCTAATGGAAATAGCGCCTTTCTTTTCTCTTGACGATAATTACTGTAGGATGAGTAACCAGTTTTTTTTCTTTCTATGCACTCTTTGTCTCCTTTGCAACAGATGTGGGCTAAGACTGGTTGTTGCATTTGCTTTCATTCTTTTTTCTGTTATCCGTTGTTTGTTTCTTTCTTTCTTTATTTTTCCTGCCTTCTCAATCCAGGGAGGATGCTTTTCATCTTGGGAAGACCGCGGCTCAAGATTGCGACACCCTCATCAGACATCGACGAAGTTTCAAGCTGCAGCGACTTCAACGCTGTGTTTTGTATCAAAGCCGACTCCAGCACCTCCAAGGCTACGATAGAATCGCTCAAGTCGTATCCATTTAAATAAAGTGATCGCAATGTTCCATTCTCGTGTAAGGCTTCAAACACTGGCAAGAGAATATTGGTCTCCTTGTCTCCTCGTTGATAGTAAGGTTTTCTAGCTTTCAACGTCAACAGGCTAGTGTTCGCTTTCAGGCCTTCGCCCAGAGACCTCCATGACCCTTCGCTTATTCGATGACACGAAATATCGAGATACTGCAGAGAGCATGTTAGTGGGAAGGCTTCCCCGATACATGTCCATGCATCAGGGTCCATTTGGCGATTGCCTCCACTTGCAGATATATCAAGCTTCTTCAGACACGTACTTCGCTTCAGAAGGTTTGCGCACTCAAAGATAGAATCATAGCCAGCCAAATTGTTCCGACAAACGACCAATTCCTCCAAAGTGTCAATATCTCTCAAGGCTATTGCTAGTTTCGCAATATTGATTGTCAAATCGCTACTACCGTATCCTGCCGATATATCAATAGTTTTAAGGTTGGATGGTGATTTCTTCAGGAAACATTCTGATAGACAATCGATGTGGTCTTGAGAGAGATCTGTAATTCGGGCCAAGTCAAGCTTTTGTAGAGACTTGCTTTCGCATATTTGCCGCATGTAGTCGTTGAGAGTTTGACCTAGTTTCTCTTGCATCACAGCAAAACCTCCGAACTGGATGGTGGACAGTGATTTCGAAGATTTCACTACATCAAGGACCAAGTGTTGATCGTTCTCCAAGTAGTGATCACCGATGCGTAGTTTGCGAAGATGAGGATTGGTGGACAAAAAGTCCTGCACTTCAGCTATGTATTTCTTGTCGACAAACTTGAGATTGAAAGAGGGCATTTCCATTTGCAGCAGGACCTGAAGAATGTCTTGGGGATTCCCGGAAAGAGCATAGATTTCGATACTACCGAATAGTACGTCTCCGTACACGGATGCCACTTCATACCCCGACACGAGGAAAGCGCAATCTATATTATCGTTGTGCTGCAACTGGATGTCGAACACAATTTCTCCTGGGAATTGGAAATTGTCAATCCCTTCTGAACGAAACAGCTCTGTCAAGTATGTTTTCACTAGTTCGGAAATGATATCCACCGTGCCAACTTCCAGATCCTCTGCAACGCTAGGGACCATATCCATCACAAAACATCGATTTTTTTCGTCGACCTGTGACGCGCATGATGGGTTCTTGGTTGAATCATCGTCAGTTTCAAGACATTTCTTGGTATCTCGGCTATTCGTCTTTGAATTGACAATATAGTAAACCCGCGGTGGCTTTGAGCATAGAACCATCTTACTGTGGAGCCACTAGTGCGGAAGCTGAAGGGAGATCTGACAAGCAATACTACAGAGCTGTTGGTATCCATCATACAATACTGGTAGAATAAGTCAGGACGAAAAGCAAATTTGAAAAGATCTTATTTATGGTGCCTGTAACACCGCCATCCCCCTAAAAACGTGTTCGACCCCCAAAACTTCAATTTCGTTGTGCTATATTACTATGTACAGTAGCGGTACAGTAGTACCTGGTACCGGTACTCTTCGTGTTGTCCCTCTGCAACAGAGTGTGAGGTAAGATACGTTGTTGCCTTTGCTTTCATTTTTGTATCGTATGATCGATCAATAGTCTGTGTACAACTGTAGCTTTCTATTTTATTGTTGATCATAGTCTTGTAATATCTCGGCCAAAGATCTGTCGGTTGATCCAATCGTTGATCACCAGCACGCGATTCCTCACACTTATTTGCTTGCTGAGGTATACACTTCGCCACAAGGCATTTCCAATCTTGCCTCGTCCCTTAATTGGTGGAGCGCTTGGAAGAGTCGAAACTTGTGCCAAAGCCGAGCCTCCTCCAGTGTACGCCAAGATGCCAAGGTTCAAGAATTGGAATGGTTTGGCATATTCCCCTCCATTAGTGGAGAAGCTGGCGATGGCTTCGGACAGCTTTCCGTCGCTCTCTGGGTTCTTTCGTGGGGGCAAAAAGACTCCATCGTCCGATATGGGAGGACTGATTTCAAATTCATCGTTCAACAGATAAGCGAGGTATTCTCCCTGTTGGGATGCCACTTGTGCTGTTGCTGGAAGGAATCCATCGGGCCCATCAATGACGCAGGAACAGTCACCAAACGCAAGGATGCTTCCCTCACTTCCATCCGCTCGCAACCAGGGGTCAGTGGCAATGCGTCCTCTAGCAGTGCCTTGGTGAGCAGCTTGCGCTTCGCCCAACTGTTCAATCACATCCAGAGTAAATGGCAAAGGACCATTTCCGGCAGCCCAAACAGCGACTCCGTAGTCAATGCTGCTTCCATCATTGAGGTGAATTGTCTTTTCCGTGACTTCCTTCACAGAGCTATCAAGCAACAGTTCCACCAACTTGAATCCTGATGGAAGCATGGAGGAGGTAATTTCGTCGTTGACTTGCACTCTTCTGTTCATTTGAGTGATAGCTTCGTCTTGCAGCGACTTGTCGAAAGGTGCTAAGATGGTGGACGAAGCCTCAATCACCTTGATTCGAACAAACTTGAGAAGTTTAGGGTAATATTTGGGACCATCTTGCTCAATAAAGTCACGAAGCTCTGCAGCGAACTCGATGCCTGTTGGACCGGCACCAATCACAGCAAATGTGAGATCTCGAATGCGGTCTTCATCGGTCAATCCCGGGAGGTTTGCACGCTCAAAGCAGTTCACAATGGCTGTACGAATTCTTCGGGCATCTTCAATTTGCTTCAAGAAGTTGCAGTATTCTCGGACTCCTGGAATTCCAAATGTATTGGTCTGAGCTCCTACAGTGATGACTAATCGGTCATACTCAACAGAGAAATCTGTAATCTCGCACGAGTTTCCGTTGCAAGTAACAGATTCACATGATAGTGTCTTTGTTTTCGGATCAATGCCTGTGGCAATACCCTCTAGATATGTTGCCTTGCGATTAATCTTTTTAAGTATAAGAATTTGGTTAGCCGGATGATGAATTCCAGCATCGTGCATCCACGCATCATAAATCCAAAGAACTCACCTCTCGCACTGGTTCAGTAATGGATCTGAATTCGACAGTGCCAACACTAGCCCCAGCTAACATGGGAGTAAAGAGAAAGTAATTTCTTGGCGAAACAATTGTCACATCGTAGAAGTTCGCGTCTACATCCTTCAAGAATGATGCTGCGCCCCACCCAGTCCCAAGAACAACAATCTTTTCCTTCTCGCTACCGATCGGGTACTTTGGAGCATCAAATATATCGCTAAGTATTTTTTCCCCAATCTCAGCAGCCTTTTCCGCGAGGAAAAGAGGGTAAGCTCTCTTCTTTGTCATTTTCTTCAGTCTTGCTTCCCATGATTTGCGATCGATTGAAGTTGTTGTGGTTGTTTCGGTATCTTCTGGTATTGTCCCGAAACCTTCGCCATCAACAACGGCATATTGCTCTTCCTTATCGATAATAGTGTTTCGCTCCTTAAGTTCTTCTCTAACAAGTTTTTCTGTGTCCTTGGTATCTGTGCCCTCCAATAACCGTGTGTTTTGCCGATGATTCCACGAAGAAACTCCATTAGTATTCGTCACCACAAAGGCATTCGTAGCGACACTAAACAGGATGCATGAAAACGTAGCTGACGATACTCTCATGACTAGCCAAGCTGTACTCGTCTTCAGTCGAGTATATTATTGTGTAATGTACCTACCACTGTCATCGATTTGTTTCGGAAAAGGTACGTCACACCAAATCGGGGCTCTCGGACGCGGTGATGCGCGAAAATGGGGAACAGAGAAAGCTCCTTCTGCCTTCAAACTGTGAACGCAACAGTTTATAGTATTACCATGAGAGTTTTACAGAGCATCACAATCAGATGAACCAGCAGTCTACTTTTCTATTCTCTAATACGATATAATTTAATCTGTTTCCAAGAGATTGGCGCCACCTAATGGTTCCCATCCAGAATCAATCTCTTGTGGCAAGTCCCTTTGCTTATTTAGGAGCTCGACAAGAGCACCATCGGCGTCGTACAAGAAAGCTAATTCGTACACACTCCGTCCAATCATCTGCTGCCGAGGTGACAGTGCGATTCGTAATGTCTTTCCAAACTCCTTCAAACTTTTTTCGTTTAAGTTTTCCATCCACTCAGATAAACTCTCTAGTTCTTGACTTTTGATATTGCCAGTCACGTCTAGTGCAAAGTGATTCATTCCCAAAAGATCTTGCCGTTGCATTAAATCGATGGCTCGGCATTTCTGTCCTTCTGGTTCGTTCAAAATGTGAGATGGAACTTCAATCAATTCCAACCGTGTCCCTCCTGCTCCTCGTGTTGATGTAGTAGGACCTTGCTGCTCCAACCAAGCAGCTTTAGCAGGTCCTGCTCTAAATTTCGTTGTGACTTCAAAATCAAGCAATCCGTAGAATTGTATTGCAAGAGTGATGTTGCGTGTTTTGATGGCCGTATGATGTATTACAGCCAATGATGGTGATGTGTCAGCCGAATTTGCCGCCGTCATCAGGAGGTCTACTGGTGACCGTCCAAAGCACCTCCCCGAAGTGGTAATAGAACCAAATCCATTGATGGCGACAAGGAGCGACAAATAAAAGAGACCTTGCAGAAGATGCAATAGCTTCGTCATGACGATCGCCTTGTGGTTTTCATTGCCTCGGTTTTTGCGTGGCGTTTGAGTAAAACGCCTAGTGAAGTACCATTGCAGAACGAAACGTTACGCTTTCAAGCAAGAGTGTGATTCGAGTTTTAAAATAGGGGCTGTACCTGGTACCTGTCGATACAACAATGACAAAGATGAATGTCGAACTTTACCATGAAGATTTTAAGCAAGAAACGGGACTACTGCTGCAAAATTTCCTAGGATTGTATTGCGGTATATCTTGGAATTAATACACGATACTAGATGCTGTGAAGAGTTCTTGAGACAACATATCACAAGAACCCAGCTAGGATGTCCTGAATAGTCAGCTCAAAAGTCTTTTCATTTCCTCTACCCATGTGCCTCCTGCTTTCTATTTTTTTTAAAACAGTCATTCCCCAACCATTCCAATCGTGATGATTAAAAAGCATCCTACAGCAAAGGGGATTTTTGCTTTGCTTAATTTGTTCGGGTCTTGGCCAAAATAGTACCAGGTAGAATCCACAATGGAAGACCCATTCTGCGCCTCGGCATGCCACTCGTCAGCAACAATAATTCAATAAAATCACCACGTCCTTCCTAGTAAATGGTGTCCACCCAGTCATCGATTGTCTTCACAATGTCCTGCTGGTTTTCATCAATCTCGACAATCGGAATGTCTCCATACGGACCGGACTGATCACTATGTCGATCTGCTACCTTTCTCGAAGCATCCAATATTGGCTTCTGTGAGTTCATGACGAGCATGGGAACAGAATTGGGCTCCAATTTCAATCGTCTTTCTTGAGCATCCATCATGAATTTGTGCCAATCCTCGTCGAGCGCTTTCCCCAGGGCATTCAAGTTATCCTGTACAATTGCCTTGGGTTGATCAAATGCGATAGGATCGACCATGACCAACCCTCGCAAAAAGAGACTCTCAAGGTACAATTGAGCCACCCATGACGATTGTGGACCCCTCGCCACGAGGACACCGTCAGGAATCTGTCCAACGTCAGCCTTCAAGCTGTCAACCCTTTCCGCTAGAGACAATGACTTTTCCGAAGAGATGGAAATAAACGTCATGCCATATTGTTGTGGAACAGTTTTGTAGAAAGTGCTCTCCCAAGAGTCTTGGTAGAGGTTTGGATCTTCCAGGAGAACCAAACTGAAGGGTTTCTCAGGAACATCCGAATTCAATGGCGGCTCGGTAGTAGATGTCACAATACCTCGCAACAAGAAAGGCCTGGGCTGTCCTCGAATGGCCGGTCCGCATCGACTACAAATGCTGGAAAGTGGACTCATAAAACGGTACAGTACAGTAGTGAACAACACGAGATGATGCTGAATGTTTTCATTTTCGATGATGACGTACAGTAAGCACCTGCTTTTTCTCCATTATGGGACCACATTGTACACGTGTACTGGACACGTTCATTCTTCGTGGTGTCTACCTGGAATGATATGGGACTATACCAGTGCTCGTGCTCGCGATCACATTCAACATCTTGATCACATGCATCATTTCTTCACTCAGCTCGTATCATCGTTTCCTTTCGTACCGACTCAAACTTTGACACCGCGCTTTGAGTATGTTTGTATGATGGGTTCAGAAAGCACCGGCACCTTTACAATTCGTGGGTGAGACACATATGCTACTGCATATACCATAACTTTAAAATGGTACACGCACCAATCGTCACGAATGTAGTAGCGATCTTGGCCTTGCTGCTCCTTTCCCTTTCCGAAGGCGTTCGGTCTCAATCCTTATTGTCTCTAAGTCAAGGGGCAGGAAACGAGGACCATGGATCTGGTATTGGCTTAACCAAGAAAGGCGAGCCTCCTCGCTATGCTTTTGCGAACTAAGAAGTCAGAAAAAGCAATGAGTTTCCACAAGTGACGTCCAACCACCAATTGCAAGATGATTCAATCTGGGCCCATGCCGCTACCTTTGAACTGACCGCCATCGGCATGTCCCATTCCCTTTCTGGAGATGGCACCTTTCTTGCTGCAGGTGACTATCGTGAGCCCCCCTTCATTGG